ATAGCCATCAATAGGTGATTCAAAATTATAGCAACTCGACTTTTTTCTGTCTAAACTCGACAACCCCGGTCATCCATTCGCTTTTCGATATTTTTAAATTGAAATTAACATGATTTCCTACGAAAAGAAACGTTGTTTTGTGGTTGAAAACGTTGAAAAAACGTTTGTTGAAACGTTGAAACGTTGAAAAAACGTTTTTCTTACTTTTCAACGATTCTTTAAAATCTATAACTCATTAAATCAGCAGCCTAAAACAGCAGCCTAAAACAGCAGCCTAAAACAGCAGCCTAAAACAGCAGCCTAAAACAGCAGCCTAAAACAGCAGCCTAAAACAGCAGCCTAAAACAGCAGCCTAAAACAGCAACCTAAAACAGCAACCTAAAACAGCAACCTAAAACAGCAACCTAAAACAGCAGCCTAAAACAGCAGCCTAAAACAGCAGCCTAAAACAGCAGCCTAAAACAGACGCAATCAGCAGCCTAAAACAGACGCAATCAGCAGCCTAAAACGAGACGATGACTCTGCCATTTTCACTAGTTTTTCAGGTTTCCTTTTTAAGATGAACAAAGTTTTCTTTTTTCATTCATTTTAATTTATTTTCAATAAAAATTAAGCAAAATCTTCGGACTGCTTATCATTTTTGAATTCAATTTTAAGACGATACCAAAACGCTGTTTTTTCAGCTAAGTTTGCATCAGTCGTATTTTTTTTGCAATAAAGCACAATTTTTCCTAAATTTTGATAACCTTTTATAAAAGAAAAGAATGTAAAACTGTTCTAAGAGCTTAAAAAGATGGAGGGGAATTAGTTTTGCCGAAATTTTGCAAGAAAAACGATGAGTTCTTGTCGCAAACGCCGAGTCGACAGACGATCACGGCGACTCAGATTTGAGCTTCTATAAAAAGGTAAAAGAAAACGTTTTCAGTTAAAACCAAAGTTTCTGTTGTTGTAGATAGTGACAGTTTAATGTTATGTTTAAAAAAACATCTTAAGAGATCTATCGACTATCGACTAAGAGCGGACTATCGAGTTACATCAAGAAAAGTCGAGTTGCTAGAATTTTGGACAAGCTTTTACTTAAATATCACATTTAAATATCATTAATATACTTAAATCTTGAAATGAAATAAAGTTACGAAGGAAGAAATGAAGCTATACAAATTACTTCATTGTAATTTGTATAGTTTCATGTGATCACTTAAACCCGTCAATTTTGAATGATGAGTTTTTGAATAAAATGCAGAGTGCTCTATATTATTTCTATAGTATTTCTATAGTATTTCTATAGTATTTCTATAGTATTTCTATATTATTTCTATATTATTTCTATATTATTTCTATATTATTTCTATATTATTTCTATATTATTTCTATATAATTTCTATATCATTTCTATAGTATATTCCCTCCTCTTGATAAATCACTTACAAACTTCAATCTTTTTTCTTGGAACTAAACTATTCAAATGAGGAGTGGAACAATTTTGCGAGAGTTCTTTATTTTATTCATTGATGAGAAGCAAATTCTTATAAATATTTAATGTTGACACGTAGACTCAATCCTCCCAACTAAAGAATAAAGGGGAAAGATAGAGATGAAGAAATTTACATAAATGGCAAACAAAATAGGAATAAGTAGTCATCTGATAAGAGAGATTGATGAAATTCATTCAAAAGTTGTATGATTTTGGCTTTATCTGGATTTTGTATCTGTTATCTGAATCTGTTATCTGAATGCATGAATTCATTTAGATTAATAACTTATTCTTTGAAAAGTATCCATTCTAGAAGATCAATCATCTCAAAGATTCTTGTTTAGATTTTTCGTTTTTGTACAGATTAAAAGTCTCAAACTCTTTTTTTTCTATAAAACTTGAAGTCTTTTTTTTTCTGATCTTGAATTCAATCTTTATTTTGATATTTTAAAAACTTAACATCAACAGTTAGAAGTTTTTTTGAATAGAACATAGCAAATCTGATAGCTGAGGGAAATATGTAGTTCACAAAATCATGGTCGACTAGCTAAGAGCCCTTCGGGAGGTCAAGAATTCAATCCCACCGGCTAGATTATTGTTTCTAGATATATTAGGGTTGTCCATAAGTTCTTGCGGTTCTTAAATTTGTGATTTCTTAAAAACTAGCAAACATTTTCATTTGAAATTTCTACTGAATAATCTAATAAGTATATGGTAACTAGTAGCCAAAATTTGATAACAATTGCTTGGTTCAATGGAGAGAATGAGCATCTAACGTTGATGTGTGTCTTTCAACCTTTGTGCATTTTGTGAAGCTCTATAGAAACACTAATGAAAGAGAGAATTCCGAAGATTTTTAGGAGGATTGATCGACATCCGGATACAATTGAACTTAAAACTTACCTCTCTTTTGTTTTATCTTTTAGTAGAAGTATGGAGATTTCTCTCCTATTAGCCCTCAAAATAAGGTCAAATACTTGGCTGACTTCATTCAACAGTCATTCATATCTCATTCTCTCGATTCAACCAAGCAATTGTCATCAAATTTTCTCTACTAGTTAGCATATACTTATTAGATTATTCAGTAGAAATTTTAGATGAAACTGTTTCAGATGAAAGGAAGGTTTTAAGAGTTACAGTCGTTACAGTCGATAAAAGATACAGTCGACTCTTGATATAACGATGTTCCATATAACGATATGTTCTATATAACGATATGTTCTATATAATGATATCAAACCCCGGTCCCGATCGAATCGTTATATCGAGAGTCGACTGTACTGTTAATCGATTATATAGATACTTTATTCAGAACCTGGAATAAAGTGCGCTAGATTTAGGATTAATACAGTCTATACTCTATTAATACAGTCTATTACTCTATTAATACATATTACTCTATTATTGGGTTGGGGAGAATGAGTCGGCGCCAAACTTTAAAGGGACTTTTTGCACACATAAAGCCTTCTTTAAACATACGTTTGGTTTCATCAAAAGGATCCACTATTTCTCTACAAAATGACTTTTTGAGAGATTCCACAAAGCTTTTCTTTCGTGGAGTTTATGAACTTCCAAACGCAGCTGGTTAAAATGGCAAAGAGTCCGACTCATCATTTGAACAGTTTCTTTCACATAAACCTTCTTTGGTGTTTATATAAAAAAGATAGAGCACATTCAATTACTTAAGTTGCCAAATTTGCAGGAAGATCCCACCAATGGTTTTTTCTAGATCACAGTTTGTAGTTTTTGTGAAAAAATGGCTTTTTCTTGAGCGGAGGCGCTGTTTGAATTTTCTTTTAAATGTCATTTTGTAGAGAATTAGTTAACCATTCTACTCATATCAAACGCATATTATTTGACGAAGTCGAATAGAAGTTTTAGACATTTTTTTGATTTTCGGCGCCGACTCATTCTCCCCAACCCAATAATACAGTCTACAATCTATTAATACAATATAGATTAGAGCTAGAAAAACACATCTAATCTTTATTTTAAAACTTTGATTAGTATCAAAGTTTAGAAAGAATTAATGTTTCGAATTTTTGTTAACGATTTCTTTCATTTTTCCCATACTCCCCCAAAATTTGACTGTAGTTTTGATTCAACAAAAATCTTCAGCTTTAAAGTTTTCCCTTGTTTGCAAGCATTTTTCCTTTCATTCGTCAACGGCAAATTGTTGGTTTATCGGATAATTATTACCTCGCCTTGTCTACATTTATTTCAAAAATTCAAAGAGTGTTGCCACTTTTCAGCGTATTTACCACCATTTCACACTACATAGGGACTTTGTTATTCTAAAAATTAAACAAATTATTGCTCAAAAGTTTTTACTCAAAAGCTTTTGCACAAAAGTTTTCCCCAAACAATCACACCTTGAGATTTCTTTTAATTTTTAGCAAATTTAAAATAATATCCAATAAATACATTCAAAATAAAGCAATTTTTAACTAAAACTTTTTTAAAAAGCTAAATTTCAAAGTTTCGTTTGGTAAAAATCGATTTTTAAGCTTTAATTCATATCGAAAACATTTTATCGGCTCTTTTGATATTTTTTATACCGTATTTCTTCAAATAGAAGACCGGGTAAAGAGTATGATCGCGTACTCCTGCGTAGCAGCCCTTTTTAAAATTTCTTTTCTGCATAAAAGCTTTCAATCAAGTGCTATAGGGCTGGAAAATGGCTCAAAAATACCACATGAGCTAACAGATTTTTGAGTCATTTTCCAGCCCTATAGCACTTGATTGAAAGCTTTTATGCAGAAAAGAAATTTTAAAAAGGGCTGCTACGCAGGAGTACGCGATGATACTCTTTACCCGGTCTTCTTTTTACCCGGTTAATTTCCTTGGTTGAGAGCGTTCAGCGTCGTTTCAGTAGGAGGGCGTATGCCCGTTGTTTCCCATCGAAAGAAATTCCTTGCTATTCTGATCGACTTGCTCTTTTTGACCTTAAACCCTTATCCCATCGCCGCATTTATTTTGATTTGGTCTTATGCTATAAAATCATCTTCTCTCCTAACTCTCATCCGGAACTTAAAGGACTCTTTAAGATTTCGAATCACGCCAGAAGAACTCGTAGTCACAACTTTCAGATTACCCCCTTTCAAAGCTTTCATAACCGCCAACTGTATCATTCTTTTGCTTGTCGTGTTCCTCGTATTTGGAATAAGTTACCTTGTGATATTTTTTCGTCTCTGAACTATTTTAAATCCTCAATATATAAGCTCGATCTTGTAGCTCTGTCAATTTTAAATTAATTTTTAATATCATATATACACGTGTCTAATTGTAGTTGTGTTTGTATATCAATTATCTTTCTTCGTCTACGCTGTTCAATCTGTTTGCATTGTCACTTTTCCTTGTCGGATAAAGTATATATATATATTCTATTCGAAGAAATACGGTAGTTTATATTTCTATTTATAGTTTATATTTCTATTTTTCTTTTTTTAAATATTCATTACTTTTTAAAGCCAATTACCTTTCATCTATCTAAATGTAAAAATTTTTCAGGAAAAATCCCAATAAAATGTATGGTTTCGCGTATTTGTTGCTGATATCAGTTGCGACCGTCTTGGGGAATCGACTCGGTAAGGGAAAAGGAAAAGAAATACGAAAAAATTGATTAAGTTCTAAAAATAAACAAAAATAAACAAAAATAAACATATTTTCATATTTATACTAATAAGTCGAACTACGATATAACAAATTTGAAATTCTGAAACGTGCTCAAAAATTTCCCCGTAGCTGCCCCAGCCAAATGCAATCAGTGGCCATCCAGGGCGGCTACGCAGAAAATTTTGAGGCACTTTTTAGGGTCGTTATTAGTTCGACTGTATTTACATTCGTTCTTTTTTCAAAATTTCAATTTTCAGTTGAAATCGATTGTGACATTTTATCTGTTTGCGGTCAAGATTTGCAATGTGGTGAGCAACTTGCCGAACGATTACAGATATCCGATTGTTTAGGTGATTTTTTTTTTTCAAAATATGAATAATCTAAAAAGTATTTTACATTGTAATATATCGGGAAAAGAGTACTGTAAGTGGAGTGTAGAAAGTTTGATATAAGCTTCTCGTTAGTAAAACCCAGAAAAAGTCGTTTCAAAATTCGGGCCAAGTTCTGTGTTTTTTTTTGAAACTCGTTAATTTTCAAAAACTACCGTAAGCTTGCTTCTAGTTTTTATCCCATTTCTCTACTTTTGCTATGTTTTCAAGTTTTTTTTACCCACAGTTACAGAAATTGTGCCAGTTTTTTTATTGTTTTTAACTCTACAATAATCAAAACTCTACAATAATCAAAGCAAAATCAAAATCAAAACAAAACAAAAATAGATGAGAAAAATGGAAAGATTTGGGCTTGGGAAAGCAAAAAAATAATGAATTTTCACAAATAATGAGTTATGTTGATTTAGAGGGGAAATTTATACGTCTATTTTCGACAATATATAATAAATAATACCGTAAAAGCTGTAATAGTAGACCCCCTATAGGAGCGTCGCGTAGTCTAAGTCTACACTCAAAGAACCACTCATATCTCGGCGCGCAGACATTTGTTTCTGCGCGCTTTGGTATCAAATTAAAGTAGAGTGAATGGGTGATTTTTTGAGAATAACACATATTTTTAGCATTAACCAGCGCTTAGAGAAAAATGATGAAAAATCGGCCTTTTTTACCACTTTTCAATCATTTTTCTCTAAGCGCTGGTTAATGCTAAAAATATGTGATATCTCAAAAAAAAATCACCCATTCACTCTACTTTAATTTGATACCAATGCACGCTGAAACAAATGCCTGGGCGCCGAGATATGAGCGGTTCTTTGAGTGTAGACTTAGACGACGCGACGCTCCTATAGGGGGGCTCTTCTAGTAAAGTTTTTACGGTCTTATTATATATTATTATATAAACGCATAAATTTCCCCTCTAAATCAACATAACTCATTATTTTTGTCTACTATTAGTAGACATGGGTTTCGGATAGCTTTTTTTCGGTTCGGTTTGGCTTGGTTTAAAACAAAAGTTCCCAAATTTCGATTAATTCGATTTTGCAGCTAATTTTTGTAAGGTCAATCGCATGCACTTGACTGAAATTTCTCTTCATTTCTAAGCATCAATAAAAACTACCGAAAAAGTGATACAAACCAATCATTATATACTCTGAAAGTATATTTGCATACAACATTTGCATTTCAAAATAAATAAGGAAAGAAATTTGCGTTCGACCCAAAACCAAAAAAAATTCGGTTCGTTTCGATTCGATCCGAAACTGAATCGAAACCCATGTCTAGTAGGGGGTATTTTGAAAATTTTCGAATCAATGATTCCAGCCACTCAACAACAGCAACAACTTGATAAACGCTCCTTCTACAGTGATAAACGTGGACCGCAAAGTATTCGACGAATACTCCTACAAAGGACACGAATTTGAGAAAAATGACACAAAAAGCTTATATTTCCAAATTATTCAATCAAAATGAATTCAAAAAAAATATTATATTCAGCCTTTTTTCCCAAAAATACATGTCAATTTCAAGAAATTCCCCCTCAAAACTCGATTTTTCCCCAACTTTCTCTCTCACTTCGATCTCTTGTGAATGTACATTTGTGGAGTTTTTTTTTTGATTTACCCATTTTTTTAAAGAATAAAGATTAGATTCTGTTAGTTTTGAAAGATTGATGAAAGTGCAAAAAACGTAAAAACATTCAAAATGAACACTTGAATAAATTAAAAGAATAAAGATTAGATTCTGTCAGTTTTGAAAGATTGATGAAAGTGCAAAAAACGTAAAAACATTCAAAATGAACACTTGAATAAATTAAAAGAATAAAGATTGGATTCTGTCAGTTTTGAAAGATTGATGAAAGTGCAAACAACGTAAAAACATTCAAAATGAACACTTGAACTGAAGAAAAAGACAGAAAGTGCGAAAAAAGACAAAACTTTGTATACGGTAATTTGTATTTAAGACGGTTTGTCGTTAAATTTTTGCCGATTTCCATTTTCATTCTTTCACATTCGATTTGCTCCTTTCTATTTTGTGTTTCTTCGAGATTCAGTTAGTAAGTTTTTTCACTATTTTTCGGAATATTGAAGCTACAAACGTTATCACCGTCAAAATGTTTTCCTTTAGGACAATGGCGGAAAAGGAAGCTCTTCCGCATTCTGAGCCTGGACCCAACTCACCGAAACTCGACGAAAATCACGAGGGAAGCTCCGATGACAAGGATTACGATTCGGGTGAGGAATTCGAAACAATCTTGCTTCATTTTGCACTCCTTTTTGTGAATTTAAGCGAAATGTTACTATTTTTTAAAAACATCTGTAAATTTTCGACATCGTATTTAGATGCTTCAACAGAGATCGAGGTGGCCGAAGGAATGCAAGATTTGATGCTCGACGATGAGGTGATTATTGCTGTTGTTGGATGTAAAGTTATCCTACTTGTTCAGATTGTTTTGGGTGCATTCGCTCGTCAACAACCGCGTCCGACTTTTTGGGATACTTTCATTGAAAGTTCAGTCGTAAAAATGGTTAGGCATTTTAACAGTTGCAAGATTTTTCTCGTTTTTAGTCATTTCTCATCGGGATGGATAGCGTTGGCTCGTTTACGTATCTTTACATGAAATATGGAGGTGAGAAGGAAGTATTTCAATCCTTTTTACTTGGTTTTCTTTAGCGTCGGTGAAATGGCCGTTGATTGTGCAACTATTGGTATTGGGACTGCCCGTGTTACTGCTTGAACTTTCTTTGGGTCAATTCACATCTCTCAACCCGTCTTCTCTGTACAAGAGAATGGTTCCCGCTTTTGGAGATATGGAAATGTGATACATTTCATTGAGCTTTTGATATTCAGGCATGGGATTCTCGACCGTTTTATTGAACTTTGCCCTCATAAGTGGCCAGGTTCAACAAGCCGCCCTTTATACAGGTTCGTTTGTCTTTATTAGCTCTTTGCAAAAAAATGTTTAGGACTTTTTCTTGAGACGATCAGCTCTGGCAAGACTTATAAGCTTTATGAAACATGTACTATGGACTACAACAATCAGAGTGAGTTTTCCTATCTCGCGTATTTGACGTATACCTATGTACCTTTAGAATGTATGGTTGCTTCGACTAGTTGCCCGAAGAATCAAGCTCTTTTGATTGACAGCCGTTGCACCACCAATATCACTTTCAAATACAACACGCTAACTATGAATACGTAAGCTTTTTAATGTTTTGCTAGATTTAACAGCAAATTTTAGGGGATCTGTTGCAAAGGATTTACCCCATGTTTTCCCACTTTATCAATTTCTGTGAGTTTATTTTTGTATATTAAATTTTGTATGTAAAAACTAGATTTCGCGGAATTCTTGGTGAAGCAGACAATATGATGGTATTAAGTCAACACGCAACAGGAATTTTCACATATGCTGCAATTTGGCTCTTTTTGATGCTTGTAACAACAAAAGCTGGAACAAAAATCATTAAATGGGTGGGCAACTCGTGAATGGAGCCTCACTTTCAGATACATTTATCGTCGTTACATACGTATAGATTTTTCTCTTACAATTGGTTGCTTACTATTAGTAACTTACAATTAGTAATTAGTTGCTCCTTTTTATGTTTCAAATTTAGACCGCAATTTTGGCAAACACGAGTCTTCTGGCTTACATATTTACCTACACGATGATTTGGTTGTTTTTTGAGAGACCATTTACCTTTGATATTCAACAGGTAAAATGTCGAAATTGTGGTGTTCATTTGTCTTGCATTTAGCTAGCCGAATTGGACACAAATTTTAATAAGACAACACTCACGGAAGATGCAAGCTGGTGGATGTGGTTCGATGTGGCGATACATGTGAGTGATAAGATTTATATGAAATTTTATTCGATGCTATCTATCATACTTTAGATCATGACGCATATGGGACTCGGTGACGGGGGAATGATTGCAATAGCCTCGAATCAAAGTTTCACGTCTTCTATTCTGATGTTTGTCTTTACCCTCTTTCAGTGTTCATATTCGTTTTTAGTGATGCTGTTTTAATTGGCATTGTTTGGGGTCTTGTTCCTTATGTTTGGGCTAGTTGCACTCAGCCATTAGCCATGTATGTTCTACTTGTGATTATGCTTAAATTGTTTTCTTTTGTAGAAATCAAATCTATCAGATGGTCAAGAGGAGCCAGGGGTACACTCATGGCAATAGTACTTTCATCCGCGGATGTAAGTTTATAAAAACGATTGTAATTAAATGATTCAGACCATGGATACATTCGAAAAGCGGCATATCACACAAATATGTTCTCTTTGGCACTTGGATTAATGGCTTTTAAGGTTTGGATTTCTGAAATTACTGTATGTTTCGAATTTTCAGAATTTTGGTGATGGACTGCTGGGTATATTCTGTGTTGCTGGATTCTTTCTTGTGATGACAAACGTGGTGAGACTTATCCATATTGAAATCTCAGGTTAATTTGTATCATTAGGTTATCCGCTTTGAAATAATTTTGAGTTGTTTGTCAGAACAAATTGTTGGATTGAAAAAGGTAACATATGCGGTGAGTTATTTTTTATTTCCTGTCGTCCATGGCTTACCTAGGTTTTAGTGTCGTGTTCGTGCTGTTGTTGTTTTGGGCCTTCTGACTTTACTCTTCACAACACATCGGGTAATATTTGCAAAAAAACTTATTTTACTTTAGCCATTACTTTAGCATGGATTGCATCTTTTGAACGCTTTTTATAGCTATTCGTTGATCACTGTCACTAGTTTTATTATCATCATGGAGGTGAGCTTTTTCCGCTCCGTTCATCATGTATTTTAAGGTACTCATATGCTTTATTTATTCACCGCGACGAATATTTGCAGACATCAATGCCACTGAAATAGCTTGGTCTTGGGTTTGCTATTTAAAAATGTATTACTTTTTAGCATTCTTTCAGGTCTCTCGATCTCGTCGCTTTCATCAATGCTTAGAAGTGCTTTCCCTTTTTGCAATTGGTAACATTTAATATTCCTTGAACTTAAAGCTCTTTGAATCAACATTTAACAACAAAGCAAATCATGTATTACTTTAGCTTCATGGTTGCTGGTACCAGTGGTCTTGATTGGAGTTGTCATCATTCATTATGCAAAGCTTGAAGAAGACATGGAGCTTCAATCATTCAGCCACAAACTTGTAAGTATTTGTTGCTTCTTGTTGAACAAACTATTTAGATGGGATTTTTGATGAGTGTGTTCGTGTTGGTGCCAATTTTTTTGATTTTCTTTAAACGGGTTTGTATCATAAATCGTAAAGCAAGTTATGAGGCTCATTTAGATGTATATGGTTGTGAAATCGAAGACAAAGTTGTCCCTCGAGTTTAAACCAAATCGTCATTTATGGGGACCGAGGAGGGCAAATGATCGGTATCGGTTGATAGATTATTTTAAAACTTGGAAAATATCTTGTCAACTAAGAATGGCATTTTCGATAATGACATTGTTAATTTTAGGGCGTTGGCTCAGCACGTCGAGCGTGAGTACCGAGTCCACTTTTGATGACATTTCAAGAGGAAAAATGAGAAAATGAAGTCGAATTCCGCTAATAAAGTTTTTATGACTTTCATATTGTTGATGCGTATAACAAGAAATTATAAAAATAATAAGAACACACTTGCTATTAAACAACAACGATGTTTTATAAGTTAAGATGAGATTTGAAGGACCTTGGTGGCTTTATATTAGTTTATATTTAAGGGGCTTTATTAATTTATATTAAAATAGCGTCGTGCAAAACAGCGCTCAGAAATAGCGTCAAATTTAAAGATTTTAATGTAGATTAACCAACACGCTTTTAAAGTTTTCGATAAAAGCTTCAGTTTTTCTGTGCATTTTCAAGTAAAATAGATGAAAACTGGTTTATTCAATTAACGAAATGGAAAAATGAAACAACGGAGTTAACACGCATGAATGTAACAACATAAAGATTTTAACTGATCGACCGGACTCCATCGATTTAAATTTTAGATGACCCAAAGATCCATTTTGAACCGCAACTTTTCTACACGCTGGCCGTGAAGAACTTTCGACGATTGAGGTAGAGTTATGTGCTGATATGTAGCTTCTTCTCCTAAAAGAATAGATAAATATTACAAAAACAAAAAATAACCTAAATTCTGCGGAAGATCGTCTTGAAGAAATGAAAACAACAGAAATGCATGATTGTTGTATTGCCGTAGACTGCCATAAAACCGTTGACAATAGCTCCATACCTAAAATGTTTTATAAATTATTCGACACAAAAATAACCTGTTTTAATTTTTGTTGGTGATGGCAATCCCAATTGTTTGACCAGATCAAAAACGTCGCTATACGTTTGTGTCAACTTGCTTGACAGAAATGCATAGGCACACGGAACGAAAAGCTGTTCTCTAGAAACAGGACTATAAAAACCCTAACACACCAAAAAAAAACCCCAACCCTGATTGCTAGAATTAGAGAAAATCCAAAGGGAGCCGCATGAAACGTCCCATCAATACTCCAAATTGAGTGCTAAAAGTATTTAACTTTTGTTATTAACGTTGAAAGCTTAGAGTTTAATATACCTGCCGCAACATATCGATTCCCCAATCAGTAGCATAGAATTTTATTGCGTTTAATATACCGTTTACTCATGTCCATCTTCATCGTAAAGTTGCACTCCATCTTTCTGAGATAGTGACATCCCTAAATGAAAAAAATGTTGAGAAACAAAAATTTTGCAGAAAAGAGTAAAAACTAGCTTAATCTCTCTTAATCTTAAAAATTAATCCTCCCGCAAAATTAATCCTCCCGCACAGGTACTTTTTAGCAACAAAAAGTACCTGTGATTGTCGCTGGCCACGTCGAATCACTTGCAACGAGTCTTCTATTCCTTCAGGTGACGTTCTTTTACCTGAAAAACACAAAAATAAGTACCAAGAACAGTAAAAACAAGAAACAAAACGATTAAAACAAAATGTGCCACATTGTTTATCTAAAATGAGCCATAAAACATGATTCTAATGATGAATTAATCTGTCGGTTTGTCAAAACACGCGCAAGGTGCTTAAAAATAACAGAAGTTAGAAGTTGTTATAAGTATAAAAACCTTGGGGTTGAAAAATCTAATCGCAGTCTTTTTCAATTTGGCCCGGTTTTGGCGCCGCTATTGACTTTTGACTAGACACCATGTTGAATTATTGTAGTTTTGTTTTCCGATATTAAATGGTTTATCTGAATATCGGTTTGTTGGTTGGCTTAAACACCGGTTTGTTCGACTCTCCACTAGTTTAAAAAACTTTTTCTGGGGTAATTAATTGCGCTAAATCCATTGGAAGCATTTCTAAGCCATTCTGAACAACTTTTATGTCAGTCTGAGCAACTTTTCCGAGCCTTCAAGAGTGTCTCTATTTCTACTGGGTTCAAAGGTGCGGGACTGAATTAAGATGCTTAAAACCTCAGTAACTGCTTGAAATAGCTAGAAAACATTTACTAAAGCTTGGAAACAGCCATGGAAAAAAGTATCCGAAATTTTCAAAAAAATAGTTGTTTGTAAATTTTTCGCAAAAACTAGAAACTTTTTGCTCATAGTGTTAATAAGTCTTTTGGTATATACTTTTGAAGTACCGCCCCCAAGTGTCCCCCAAGAAGTGTCCCCATATGGGGGCATTTTTTGATACTGAAATGCTTCGTTTTCTTTTTTCTCTCGAGCTTTTTTATAATTCTGTGATAGAGAAAAATTAATATGAAGAGTTTAAAAAATTTCGTCTATCACAGAATTATAAAAAAGCTTGAGAGAAAAAAGAAAACGAAGCATTTCAGTATCAAAAAATGCCCCCATATGGGGACACTTCTTGGGGGACACTTGGGTCTTTGATATACACTATAGTATATCAAAAATATGGTTTTGTAGCTCGAAATATCCTTAACAACTTTTAGAAAGATACAACAACTAAGCGTTAGCATTCAAATAACAGACTATATGATAATGAGGCCTTTTACATTGAAATAAGTCGTTTTTTTTGTTTACTTTTCTGGCCCTGAACTACTATAGCACCGTTTTATTTGTTTTTTAATGCTTTTATAGGGTAGCTTTTCCTTGCTACCCTACAGTCTTAAAGAGTCTTAAAGAGACAAACCATTCTTTCGTTTTATCGATCCCTCGAACACTACTTGCACACTAGAATTCAGTTGTTGTTTTTGCTTTTGCTTTAACAATCTTTAAGTTTATTATTCAGGATCTGCAGCCTTCGTTGGATGGTTGTTCTTAGCAACTGAAGATGATCATTTCGGAGATTCCATACACTGAGGAATATATCGAGACTTCTTGCAGCCTCCCGAAATCAGATGCCATTCAGCTTGGAGCTTTGACATGGTTGGATTCTTTTGTTATTTCTAACTAGTTTATTTTAGCTACAACATCAACATTCAAGTCGAGGTGGAGAAGAGTGACAAACACTCGAAAGGAATGACAACTTTGACGCTTCGCGAAGTCCCCAAGTTTCTCGTCGATGCATTCAATATTGTGCGTTCAAATATCGAAAAGGAAGGGCTCTTTCGGAAGGCCGGCAACAACGCGCGCATCAACTCGTTCAGCAAGAAACTCACGGTAATTTCAAAATTCTCTATGATTTTATGGACTATATAAGGCTATCTACTCTGGTCGAAAGAAAATACCTGCGGAACTTAACTATTTGGATGTATGCTCTCTCATCAAATATTTCCTCAAAGCTTTAAAGGTAAGAGTTGTTTCATGTGATAGTTTAACAATGATAGTTTAACATGCTTCTTTTAGATACCTCTACTTTACAGCTATGATTTATCGGACAAACTACTTGAGTTGGCTAAACGGCGCCAGGCTGGAAAACTTGTAAGACTATTTAATCGATTAGTTATCAATTTATCTAGATAAGCGGGGATGATGTTCAAAGACTTTTTCGACCACGTGGAATGCTTCACAAAGAACTTCTCCCGGAAGCACACATTGGAACCTTGGGATTTTTGATGCGTGAGCTATACAGGGTATCTTGTCTTTAGTTTACACATCAGAATCCAAGTTTAGATTTCGCTATATAGCGAAAAAAATGGAATGACAATTCAAAATCTTGCAACATGTTTTGGACCGACTCTCTTTGACATCACACCGCGTTTGGATCGGGAAAATCTAGCACCGAAGAAATCTGCAGGGCCTCTACGCGTTTCCAGCCTAAGCACTATCGATGAGGCAAAACTAACGTCACAACGTGCCGCAACAGCTGTGGCTATTTTGATTGAAAGAGCTACTTGGATAGGTTTGTCACTAGGTTATAAATTAATTTGGTTAGTTTAGGTTTGCATCGGGAATGTTATGTGTCAAGTCAAGTTCGAAGTGCATCGGCTGCGCCGCTTAATCGGTTAAAATGATGTTTAAATCTCAAATAATTTTCTTTCAGAACCCCATTATCACAAATGCAAACAACGGCAATCAAGCGAGTTTCGATGCGTCCTACACAAAATGATCAGGGTCTTGTCAGGCAGCCTAGTGAGGTGAATTGCATTAATTCTTTTTTTTTTGCATCTTGCATGTTTCTTAGAATATCGCCCCGGCGGGACCAAATGACTGCAAATTTAGTAACGCCGTTAAACATTGTGCTGTATGTTACTTAACATTCTAACAGACTTGCATTTAAAAATGGTTTTATACATTTAAATACATTTGTTTGCTTTAGCGGAGATCACTCGATTTTCTTGCACAAATGTCGCCGAAACTTCCCGGTCGCCGAAACATTCGAACATTTCTTCGACCACAAAAGTCGAGCGATACACTTACTTCAGAGGAAGGTTGCCTCTCTGTCGAACAAATAAGCACTAGCGAAGAAGCTTTAGATGATTTTGGACGAGAGCCTGTGGGTAAAAATTAACATGCTAATTAACTATAAGAAACAAGCAATTGCATTTGAATTTAGGCCCGTCTTCATTTTGCACCTCCTCAACAACGCTCGCTGAATACGTCCCCAATGCCCGAACGGCACGAAGAGGTTTTTCATCTTTACATTAATATACAATTTTGATTATTTAGATTCCACAAGAGCGAGCGATCGAGGCTCCAGATGTTGATGCAAAATCCTTGAACCCAGAACCGGCAAGAAATGAAGAGCCCGTACGAATGTCAAGACGCCGCTCAAGAACAACGATTGAAACTCCGATGAATTCAGTGCCAAACTCTCCACATTTCACGCTCAAGAACTTTCTGCTACCTCCTCCCCCTGATGTGCCGGTGACTGATGTGACAGATTTACCACCTCTACAAACTCCTCAATTCACTTGGAAAGGCGTAACATCAAAAGTCATCAAGGAACGACCCCACATATGTCCACCAGTAATTTTCTTTCCTTTCTGGCTAATAACACTATTACTTTAGGAAAGAAGTCTCTCAAGACAACGTAGTGCTGATGATTTTGAACTTAGCGATTGCTATAGGAATGCAATTGTTTCTGCGTCTTCTGCTTCGGTAAAGAAATACGAATTGTTTTATGAAACCTCTTCTTAGGAGTTGGATGTGGGAGGGGGTTTTGAACTGCGGCCTTCAGTTGCCTTCATTTCTCAGAATCGAAGAGGCTTGGTTCGAGATCGTGTCTGTCAATTTGGAGGAGGGAATCTTTCGACGGTCAGTTTGTTTCCTTTTTGCATTATGAATTGTTGTATTAAGGTTTCATCTGGACGTCCTTCAACTTTATCCAATGTTTCACAGCAATCGGGGAACGGACGTTTTCTCAAGCTCGACCCATCGCTTTCTTAATCCATCAAACCGGTTTTAAGTTTTTTAGTTGTCTTATGTATTATTAGAGTAGTTCTTATGCCTTCTGTATTTATGGATTAGGTCTAATATTGATTGTTTGCTGGTTTCTTTTTCAACGAGTGATTTTATGTCAACTGTTTTACACTATTAGTATCAATTTGTTCTAATACTTATCACAAATTCAATAAAAAAATTTCTGTCTGACGTGAAAGGTCCGATATGATAACTTACTTCTAAACGTGAATCAATTCTGGGGTGGTACTATTTGGACAGTTACAAGCTCGTAAATTTCAAAAAGTTGCCTTGTAACTAGATTTACAAGACTTGTAACAAAAATGTCTTGTAAAAGCCAAATGGTACCACCCCCGAAAACATGTAAAATGGTTTGAGTGTGAACCCAGAAATTAACGTTTACAGCTTAAATAAAGCCAAAGAACGGCAGGAAAAATCACTTTTCAATTCTCATCTCGGTTTATCGGAGAGGAACAACGCCACCTCCTAAAGCAAAAAGCGGGATTTTTCTTTTTTTAGATGATCTTAGTTTTTTAGAGCAAAACAAGCCATCGACGACGTTCGGTAACTTTTTCTTTTTTGACTGAGAACTTTTCACGTTTAGGATTGACCGCAATAGCTCCGGTATTTTCCCAGCCGACAACGCCACCGTCAAAAGTTCAAAAAACCTCGGGCAAAGAAGTAAAGAAACGCTTGCGCGCAAGCTCGGCTGAAGGAAAGAAGAATCGCAGTGGAAAGAAAACGAATCACAAGAGCCAGGTTTGTTTTTATAAAGTGTGATTTGAGATATGAGCAACAAGAATATTTTCCTATTAGCCACCAAAACCACCAAAGCAATCACCGCTGCCGGCGGCGCGCAAAAGGAAATCGGTGGAAAAGAAACCGGAAATTGATCAAAAGCCAGCCAAGGTATTGTTTTGCTACTCTTTCGAATAACCAACTTCTTTAGATCGAACAGAAAGACTACGCTTCACTTCCTCCCGGCATGAAACCCTCCGATTTCAAGCGACCGGAAGGAGCGGGAACAGATTTTGTACTCGATCTTGGACCACCAAATAAGTCTCCGCAAGTTTTTATCTCTACCTTTTCAAAATTTCATTTGCTAGATTGAAATCGCCGGCACCACCTCCAAAAGAGCTCCGCATAAATCCATCTGGTATGTTCTTGCTATGAAAACTGTTGAAATATTGTTGTTTAGAGCCACATCGAGTCAGGGCTTTGGAAGTTGAGGGTGGAAAGAACTTCGCCACACTTCCAGAAGGAACCAAGCCCACTGATTTTGCTCAACCAACCGAGGCTGGCACAGGATTCGTCTTTGATATGACACCTAGTGAGAAGAAGATTGAGAACAAGGCTGAAAAGAGGCCATCGACTACGCACCTTCAACAAAAGGATCGATCGACGACACCGTTGCGCACTGCTACAGCTTCAACCAGCCAAGAACAAAAGCCTCATACTTCTGGAAATGGTAAGTTAGTTTTGAGCGGAAAATGTCTTAATTTTATTGTTAGTGCCAAAAAAGATGAACGCTCTTGAAGTGGAAGGTGGAAAGAATATGACCTCGTTGCCACAAGGATCCAAGCCGGAAGATTTTGCACAGCCAACTGAAGCCGGAACTGGATTTGTGCTTGACTTGACCCCAGCGCCAGTAAAACAAGAAATGGCACTTACGGTGCGTCATCATTTTCTATTACCTACTACCTATTTGATTTTATTTTAGACAGCCTATCATGCCGTGATCCCCAAGCCGATCGTTGCAGCACCTCCAATGTCACAAATGTTAGCCGATCCTGAGAAAGAAAAAGACAAGAAAGACGAGCCACCAACGGCTCCTCAAAAAAAGACAACTCCGGAACAGACGTTCCCTCATAATTCATCAGGATTTAATGGTAAAGTTTAGTTGTACTACTAATTGTATCAATTCATTTAGGAATCGTTTCAATCAAATCCTCCACTTGATCGAAACCTTCTCCCTCAAATTAACCAAAAAAAATTACTCATTCCGGTTTAATAAATTATTGATTTGGTTGTTCATAATTACTTTGGTTTGACCTGCCTACTACTGGCATTTTATATTTGTGCGTACTTGTGTGCAGGCTTCAGGAACAATTTATTGCATCGATAAAAAATAGCTACTGCTTTAGTCAGTTGCCTTAAAATAAAAATTTTGCTTTCGATCTGCTACTGGCATTTAGCTTTCCAAGAACCTAGCTATAAGAATTCTTAAGAAAAGTTCAACGTTGAAAAGCGTTTTTGTACGCGGTCGTACAAATAACTGGCACATTCAATAAAATTTTGACAAGAAATAAGCCAAAGTTCTTCGAAACTGGAAAGTTTTATATATATTTGGTTTACTTTTTACTTTAATTTAATATTTAAGTTTAATATTTTCCAGTATATGTTATTTAGAATGGTTGGCGAAAAGGGTGGAGTGAAGCGAAAGCGACCAGCCGCCTCGCGAGTCTCACGAAGCAAGAAGAGATATTGGAGGAAAGGAGCCGATGTTGGAGAAATTGAAGAAGCGGCTGTACAAATACAACATGGTATTTTTTTTGATGATTCTAGTAGCAATAACATAGCTGCTTAAAAAGCCTTTATTGAAAATCCGGTTGATTTAGAGAAAGATTCTGGCGGGCAAATTGCTGAACGAGCCGATGATGATCTTTTCTCTATTGATAGGGTAAGTAAAATTTCATTTAAAGTATTGAACCTTTAGGCACCAACTGCAAAAGAAGAGAAGAAGTTCACCAAAAAACAACAGGCCGCTCTTAAAAAGATTTCGGCACTTGCGACAAGGTGACTTTTCATGGCAGTGTTAACTTACTTAAAAGAAATAGTAGAAGTGTATATGATTTTTTATCATTTGTGATTCAGGAATGCCAACGAGGTCTCGCTTCCAATGTTTCCAAAGAAGCCGTCAAAACCACTTAAAAAATTACCTCGTCCAACAGTCGAGGTAAATTTTTTGAAATTTTAAATATTTTAAATGTTATTCAGGTCAAGAAAGCGATGAAAACAAGTGTCAAGAAAAATTTTGATCTTTGGGAAACAGGTATACCTTATTTTAATCGTTTGAATTCAAATCGCTTTAGATCTTGAATCAAAACTGGTCCAGTCTGTGCCGGATGCGGCCAAGGATGGAGCCGCTTACTATCTTCAGCAGACAAAGAAAGTTCAATCTAAAGTGGTATAATTTAGCACAACTTTTATTAGATTTATTAAAAGCTTTATTTTAGCCCAAAACTCTTCGTCTGAAATCATCATTGTTGAAAGCCGTTGAGGTGCCTGAAGCTGGCGCCTCGTACAATCCAGAATTGGAGTCATACGTGGTTAGTTTTATTTCACTCAAATCTTGCCCTTATTTTAGATCATGTCTAAATTAAATATTTTTAGAGCTATGTGCAAGAGATTGCTAAAGATGAGATGAAAACGATCGCTGAAGAAGCGAGATCGGAACGGCGAAGCAAATTGGCTTCCGGAGAATCGATGGTTACTTCGGTAAGCGTTTGTTATACATATAAATCAAGAGGGTTGAAACAATAGTGATACGCACTACTATTAGTGAGAGAGCCTACAATTTACGATTTTATGTATAAGTTTTATTTTAGAAAGACAAATGGAAAGAAGTGATGGCCGGATTGGAAGATGACGAGTCAAATGAGGTCAAAATGGAAGCAGAAGACGTCAATGGGGGTTAGACTAAATTTTATTACCTGATTTCTAAAAACTACAAACTTGGGAAAATTTCTTTGCAAGTTGAGCTGTTTAGAATCTTTCCTCTCTGGACCCGTTCAAGTCAATCCAAAGACTCGACGACAACGTCGTAAACAAAAGGAGCAAAAGGAACGTGAGCAGAAGAGATTGTCAAAGAAAGCCAACGAATCGAATGTGTTCAGGTGGGCTATATTTAGCATTTATAAAAAAGCTAAAATAAAAATTCTAAATTGGAAGCGAGAGCAAAATTAGATTCAAAAGTTTAGGTCTAAAAAGATACTCAAGAAAATCGCTGAGGAAGAGGCGGCACATAAGGATAAGCTGAAGATGATTGGTGATAAAAAGGTACGAAACAAGATAATAATACTAAGTTAAGCTACTTTTAGGCTCTTGATGATATGACAAAGCGAAAGAAGTTGGGCAAAGGACGCTTTGAAGAGGAGGAGACACCGTTCTTACTTACGGTCGGTATTCCTTTTGATTACCTAAATGATGAGCAATGTTATGAGGAAAAAATTTCTTTTTAGGAGGAGATCACCGGTTCATTGCGCCAGCTGAAACCTCAAGGAAATTTGCTAGCTGATCGAATGAAAAGCCTTCAGGTATTATCTTGATTTTATGACATCTTTAACCTTTTGTTACTGAAAATATGAAATAAACTTGACTAAGAAATTTTACAACGCTAAACTTTCAGAAACGTAACATCTTGCCAATTGCTGGTGATCGAAATCAACACCGACTCAAACAAAAGCTCCGCTTCAAGGTCAAGGAGAACAGATCGCACAAAGAAGTCAAGCAGGGTACAGTACTACGGTGATTTGTTGTCGCATTGTTGTTACATTATTTGATTCTTTTATTGTTGAGACGTGTTTGTTATTGTTACTTTTGGGATAAAATTTATTTGTTGACCCAGTAGTCAGTCACAAGTTTAGAATCGCAAATTATGAGTTACAAACACTTGGGCATTCTTTAGCTACCAAGTTGCAAAGCCGGTGTACTTTTTGTCGCCATTTCGAAGATCTTTCGAAGCCCAACCCATACCACTGAGAATCGAACGTCCATCTGGAAAAGTTACTGCATAAAAAATGTTTCGTTTAGTTGGCGTTGAGGACTTTTTTCCTCAGTTTTCCAAATACATAGTGCTTGGCATTCTGTTTTTTGAAAGCCAACCTCGATCCACTCGAATATGTGTCCGATTTCTATCATTTTCTTCCTCACCGAGTGCTCGTCGAATCGTCCAATCATCGCCTAACACCACCTCACCGTTTTTCTTTGATAAGTAATCAGGGAACTTTTCTGAACAGATTATTCAGCTTTCTTTGCTTTCTTTTATCCCCACTTTCACTCAATTCATACTTTTCCGGATCAAATGGTTGCTCCAAATGGAAATCGAACGATAAACCGGAAGAGTTGTTGTTTAGACGCTAAATTTGGAATAGAGCTTTGACAACCTGGATTTTTGTTACCCTCAACTGTTGGATAATTGTTTTCCCGCTGATATTTGTATATCCAAATATGTAGAGAGTTAGAGGATTGTAGATTGTTCTTTCTTCACAAAGCGAAGTGAAATCATCGTCGTTGAAATCGTAGTGAAAGTTGTTTTCATCATAGGCTCTCCATGACTGAAAAATCGTTTTTTTTAACATTAGTTTTGATTGTTTACCTTTTTTGCCGGTCCCACGAATATGTGATTGATTGATTTGAGAATCTCAGCTTTTAGGAAAGACTTCGTCTCGGATGGATCGGTTGTCTGAAAATGAAAGATTCTACAGTATACAGGCCTTAAAAAGTTTGATTTTACCTGAAGATAGAAAAACTTTGGACAAGTGTTGGCGAGAAATTGAGCCACTTCATTTGGTTGTCGATCGCCGTTCAGATCGATGATCAGTTTGTGGATTCGTTTTGTTTTGATTCGACACAGAATATCGGATAAACAAGTGAAGAGTTGTGGGGAAAGACCGGACTGAAAAAGATGCTCAAAATGGTGCTCAAAAAAGGTTTCTCAATTTGAACTCAAATTTCTTGCGTAGCTGCCCTGAACGGCCAACGATTGTGTGTTGGGTGGGCAGCTACGCAGAAACCAAGAACGTATTTGAGAATTTCAAAATCATTGTATTGATTATCAATATCAAGAGTCGATTGTAAATATTTGTTTACTATGAGCTTTGGTCTCTTCAATGTTTACAACTAATATTTCATTTTGTTGTTGTGATGGTTAGACTTGCCTATCGACATTATCAATACGAATGACATGCTCATGTTTGACCGTTCAAATCTCAGCCTCTAAAGCAGCTATCAATCTGAAAATTGTTTCATTAGAAAGTCAAGAATGTCAGCTTTTGATTGCTATTTTATACATCGCGACTTTTAATGAGTTGACTTTTAAATGACTTTTAAAACTTAACTTTAACCTATTAAACCTTATCGATATCAAAAATATCGATGATCGATCAGCTTATCGATAAGTATTAATAAGCTTTTTAAGGCACTCGCCTATGAGAATTTGCTATGTGTGAGATAGCAATCAAAAGCTGACATTCTTGGCTTTCCAATGAAACAATTTGCAGATTGATAGCTTTTTTAGAAACCGAGATCTAAACGGTCAAACGTGAGCATGCCGTTTATCGATAGGATAAGTGGTGATGAATTTTTCATTTACGAGGAATCATGTATGTCATTTACGGGGAATCTATACTTTCAAAGTGTCCTCCTTGCCCACTCAGCTGAATATCTTCTAGTTTCGTGGGGAATGTCAAACAAAAAGGACAGTTACGCAAAAATCAACGCAGAAAAAGGGGCGCGGCTTCGTAGCTTTCATAGCTGCCCCATTTGTTTGAATTTTCGCACAAAATAACTGGGAATTGTGATAACCAAATAGAAAAACACCCAAAATAGGTAGGCTACAGTTTGAGAAGTGGTGAATCGACTATACTTTCAAAGTGTCTCCCCTTGCCCACTCAGCTGAAGATCTCCTAGTTTCATGGGGTATCATAGCTGCTTCATAGCTGCTCTATTTAAAAAAGGGACAGCTATGCAAAAATCTAAGCAGAAAAAGGGGCTAGACTTCTTTGCTTTCATAGCTGCTCCATTTTTTTGAATTTTCACATAAAATGAAAAGATATTCAATTAGAGCTTAGGGGGACAATTTGAAAGTGTAATGTAATGAGGGAAATCTTGAAAAAAGTAAAAAAATATGACAACAAAAAAAAACAGCTTTTACACCTTGAGCCACTTAAAATTTTTCAGAAATTTGAGTTGAAATGGAGAACTTTTCTTTTGATCAGACAGAGACATTTAGCATTTAGCCAGTAGACATTTAGCCGAAATTTTTTACTTTTCCTTTGTGTAGACTTTTTTTCCGATTGGATTTGTTGTGAATGAACAAAACTGTCGCAAGGCTTTTAAAAAAGCCTTTCAAAGCTATCGAATCACTTACAATTAGAATTATAAGCGGAAAAAAAGCGATAAATTTAAGATCTTTTGATTTTTAAAGCAAAACCGAACGAATGGGGCAGCTACGCACTGCGACTACGCAGAAATATAGAAATATAGCTACGCACTGCGACGGAAAAAGCCGGAAAAACGTAGCTGCCCGATTTTGTGACTTTTTCTTTGTAAATTAAAAGATATTCAATCAATTTTTTTTTCGCTTTGCAAGCCTGCTTACAATGTACAGCTCTTCTGTGCAATAGTTCTCAAAAATTCGTTTCATTGTGTAGCTTTTCGCTTCCTCGTAGTCACAGCCATCTGGTAATGGGCACAATTTTCGTGAGGTTTTATGCTGAAAAGTTCTTCTTTATTTTTACTTATTGAAACTTGATTAAAGTACTTAATTAAAGGTACTGAAAGCCCGGTAAGCTCTTTATTATTTTCTATCTTTATTTGCATTTTCCTCATTGATAAATCGACTCACTTTGAACTTAAGATTTCCCTCATCATCGTAGTCACCAAGAAACAAATTGTAGTCATTTTTCCCATTTGATATTGTCGTTATTTTAAAGAAATGATCGCAAAATCCCTCCTGAAAAGGCATTTAAAATTGAAAATTCAATTTTAAGTGCACTTTATTAGCGCAAGATTATGTAGAAAAGAAGATATTGGGTTGGTGAATTGAAAACTGCGGGCTATTGTCATATGTGACAGTTTGAGCACTTTCTTCAAAAGAAACCCATTTTGGTGTCAATGGAAAAGTTGTAGAGAATCAAAAATCAAGCTTATATTCAAATTTTCAGAACGATTCAAAAACTGGTTCTCAAGAAATGCTAAATTTACGAATTTTCACAAAACTTGCATTTTAAGCGAAACTACTAAGTGTATCTTTTTGGAAATTCGGATATAAGCCTAATTTTTGATTCTCTACAACTTTTCCATTGACACCAAAATGGGTTTCTTTTGAAGAAAGTGCTCAAATGCTCAAACTGGGACATCTCCAGTCCTCGATTTTTGAGTCTCACACTTGTCTCACACACAAACCAAAATCCTACTACGAAAAAGGAATCCGCAAATTGCCTGTAAAATGGGCAGAAGTCGTCAATAATAATGAAAATTATTTCGAATCAATTTATGGTTTTATGTTGAATAAATTTTAGTTCAAAGTCCCGCAGTTTTCAATTCACCAACCCAATCGATTTCCTCTAAACAAATTAGGTTCCTTTTGTCTACAAACTCGGTTCCTTTTGTCAACGTATTCTAGACAAATTTTGAAAAAGAAATTGAAATACCAGAGTCCCTTGTTCGACAAGGATTTCATCGACTTGAATACGTTTCAGACGATGGGAATTCACGGTGAGAAATGTGTTGATTCGTCTGAAATTATTTATGCTCAAAAAGGTTCATGAAACAGTTCATAAAACCGCTTAAAATGTTATATTTAGTGTAAAGAGTCTTTGAATCTAAACAATGAGCTTGGCTTTAGCGTTTTAACAGAAATCGGAAACCTTTGACTCAATCGAAATTCTCCCAACTCGTTTGGCGATAAACATTCGCAGATTTGAAGCAAAATCTCTTCAGGTAAAGCGAATAAATGAAACATTTTCAAAAAAAAAATGATCAATAGAATAGATTTTGAATGTTTATCGCTTTAGAATCATCTTTTGAAGCTTGCAAATCTTCAATCAATTAATAATTCAATTATCAACTTGGAAAGTTCATTAATTGTCTTGCCTTTTTATCGCAAATTGTAATTTGGCATTGTTTTAAAGATAAAAACCTTATCGATATAGGGAAATGTCAAGAATTTGAACCAATCAAAACATATTGTTATTTGTTTGGATTTCTTGCGAGTTTATCTGTCTATATTGAACAAAACTAGTAGGGTTGATACAAAATTTCATATTATTCTAAAGGCTATTCGCTATCTCTTGGTTTGATCCCATGAAAGTCGTTGTTTCCCTTCTTCTCTTATTCCAAATTATGAGACTAGACTTATAGTTTTTGATTTAAAAAACCCCGTATTTACTTACCGTATTTACTTTAATCTTATTTTTTTTTGCTATAAAATTCTTTTCCACCCTAAGTCGCATCCAGAATTTCGAAGCCTCTTGAAAATTGTGGAAATTTCTAGAAGTACACGTAGTGATCCTTCTCAAATTTCGGTCGGTTCTCATCCCCATCATCTTTCCCTTTATCATTCTTTTGCGAACCGTATTAGTAGGGTTTGGAATCAGCTCCCGTCTGGTATCTCTCTCGTCTGTAGGAAAGTTGAAAGTATCTGTAAACGAATTAGATCTTATTGCCATGTCAAATCTGCTCTATATTTAATCTTTTTGTACTCTGTGTTTCCTAACTTTAATCTTACTGTACTATTTTTAGTTTTCTTTCTTTTTTGTGAAAGTATTGTAGCAATATGTGATATGCGGTTATGATTATCTCATTCGCTTCTATTCGCCCCCTGAATAAAGCATATATATAACCATTGTCCCTTTGAAGTAAAGTGAAGTAAACCATTGTCCCTTTGAGGTGAATTGAAGTAAACCATTGTCCCTTTGAGGTGAAGTGAAGTAAACCATTGTCCCTTTGAGGTGAAGTGAAGTAAACCATGTCCCTTTGAGGTGAAGTGAAGTAAACCATTGTCCCTTTGAGGTGAAGTGAAGTAAACCATTGTCCCTTTGAGGTGAAGTGAAGTAAACCATTGTCCCTTTGAGGTGAAGTGAAGTAAACCATTGTCCCTTTGAGGTGAAGTGAGTAACCATTGTCCCTTTGAGGAAGTGAAGTACCATTGTCCCTTTGAGGTGAAGTGAAGTAAACCATTGTCCCTTTGGTAAAGTGAGTAACCATTGTCCCTTTGAGTGAAGTGAAGTAAACCATTGTCCCTTTGAAGTAAAGTGAAGTAAACCATTGTCCCTTTGAAGTAAAGTGAAGTAAACCATTGTCCCTTTGAAGTAAAGTGAAGTAAACCATTGTCCCTTTGAGGTAAAGTGAAGTAAACCATTGTCCCTTTGTCCCCACCAGCCGTACTAATGACGATTATTTTTAGTGTAAAACTCAAGCTTTTTAAGGATCTTTTAAGGATTTGTTATTTATTTTTTTTGCAGAAAGCTCTCGTTAACTTTGTATACGAGTTTTAAAGAGGAGATTCACGGCTATCGAATGACTGTAAAAGTTTTGTTTATCTTTGAATGTTCACCAAATTATCAGTGAAACAGTTAACAACTACGGGGCTGTACGCTGTACTTACGCTCGTCGCAAAAGTGTTAAAAAGCATCTGACTTTTATTCAAAGATGAGCAATTGTTATTTGTACTTTTCACTTATTTAAAGTGTAATTGTCAAAGGATTTTATTTTTCAAAAAAAAAAAATGAGATCAGATGAAAGGAGACAAGATTTGCACCATATTTTGTGAGATCATAAGAGAAAATTTGTACATTTCAGTGAATTGGCTAAAACGATAAGAAGAATATAAAATTTGAAAGCTGTAAAAATAAAGATTTACAAATATTTGCGCTAAAAAGTGCTCAAATTTCGACAAATCCCGCACCCAAGCGCGAACTCTTCCCCCGTTGGTGGATGGTCGATCCTGAAATTTGGAAAAATCCGTATCTACCGTAATCATTGATTGATTCGACAAAGGGTTACGGTATAAAGGTATCAATCAGTACCTTTCTACCGTAACCCTTTGTCGTTTTATTGTAGTAGGCTATTTGCTAGTTGCTATTTCATAAAAAAACTTGCTAAAAAAACCTTGTTACATCGTGGGTTTTCTTTTGAATAAAAATATTCAGGCTGATTGAAAAATACAAGTTTCAAAGTCAACAATCACCCGACTTGCTATAGGAATTAAATTCTGATAGATCTCATCTCACTTATTGAATGCAAACGGATACTTGAGCTCCTTAAGCTTTTAATTTAATACAGAATTAATTTAATACAGAGTCAAATTATAGCGATTCACTTCTGAGGGTCTAGCTCGGCGAGAACTCAATGAATTTGTATGAAATTGTTTGGAGATGATTTTTGAGTATGTTTCCTGTAGCCAAGCCAATTTTCTAACTAATCAGTGCTTCTAGAATCTTTATATGACCTTACAAAGTTGAGAGCCTGACGAAAAACCCAATTTAAGTTTTTGAGAGCCGTTTTTGAAATTATTTAGCCAATATTATTAGCTTCATGAATGAAATGAAGCCAATATTATTAGCTTCATTTTGATGGTAAAAATTTAGCAAAACTCTTTAAAATAATACTCAAAAAATCACTTTAAATCTTAAGATACTCTTAACGAAGCCTCGTCGATCGATAACCTTTTTAGAATACTTTTTTTGAAGTTTTTTGTTGAATTTTTGGTATCAAAATGAAGCTGATAATCTAGGCTTTCTGATAGAAAAAGTTTCAGATTGCTAGCAACTTTCAGTGCGCTGATATGACTCGTTAAACTTGAAGCCTCGTTAAGCCTCATTAACAAGTCTAATAGCGACTCACTTCTGAGGGTCTAGCTCGGCGAGAACTCAATGAATTTGTATGAAATATTTGGAGATGATTTTTGAGTATGTTTCCTGTAGCCAAGCCAATTTTCTAACTAATTGGTGCTTCTAGAATCCTTACAAATATGACCTTACAAATGTTGAGAGTCTGCCGAAAAACCCGATTGAGGAATCGAATTCAACTTGAACCCGAACACCTTGAATTCAAGGTTTTGAGGAATCATTTTTTTTTCTTAAAATCTTACAGATTCCTTGTTTTTTTTTCGATAAATTACAGCAAATGAAGAAGAAAAACCGATAATGTCTTTTCAAAAAAGATGTTAACAGATTTTTTTCTCGAATTTTTGAGTACGCTTCCTAATACATTTTGTCAGGAAGCCGCAGTTTAATTTCGGTGACAGAAAATCGAATTTCTATGAGTTTTTTTGATCTTTTTGATCTTTTTGATCTTTTTTCGTCTTAAACTTGATCATATTCATTAAATAATTTCAAAAGCGGCTCTCAAAAACCTTCAATTGAGTTTTTCGCCAGACTCTCAACATTTGTAAGGTCATATAAAAATTCTAGAAGCACTAATTAGTTAGAAAATTGGCTTGGCTGCAGGAAACATACTCAAAAATCATCTCCAAACAATTTCATACAAATTCATTGAGTTCTCGTTGAGCTAGACCCTCAGAAGTGAGTCGCTATTAGACTTGTTAATGAGGCTTAACGAGGCTTCAAGTTTAACGAGTCATATCAGCGCACTGAAAGTTGCTAGCAATCTGAAACTTTTTCTATCAGAAAGCCTAGATTATCAGCTTCATTTTGATACCAAAAATTCAACAAAAATCTTCAAAAAAAGTATTCTAAAAAGGTTATCGATCGACGAGGCTTCGTTAAGAGTATCTTAAGGTTTAAAGTGATTTTTTTGATTATTATTTTAAAGAGTTTTGCTAAATTTTTACTATCAAAATGAAGCTAATAATATTGGCTTTCTGATAAAAGAAGTTTCAAAATGCTAGCAATTTTTAGTGCGGTGTTATGACTGTTTGAACGGGAGCAACCTTAGAATGTCTAGTCGCTATAATTCGCGGTACAATTTTTGTCGTTTTTGTCGTTGTTAACCAAAGAACAACAACACAAAAACTGTCTTGTTTTGTAAAATCAACAATTTTGAAATCTTTTACCTCAATGGACAAGGGCCTTCGTCCATTTGAGCGGCTCGTGGAGCTGCCGGGCATTTTGGCAACATGTGCTTTGGAAGGGAGACTAATCGCTGAAAATTTCCATGTTCTTGTTCTTCTTTTTACTGTTCTTGCTCTTCATGATTATTCTGTGTGTCCAGAAAGAATGTGTTTCGAATTTTAAACAAGAAAACTCTAGGCAATTGAAGATTGGAAAAAGTGCTAGAATTTTAAGCACAAAGTACACTCAAAGAGGGACCTAGTCAAAATAGCGCCGTTCAAAACAGCGCCATTCAAAACAGCGTCGTTCAAAACAGCGCCCATACAAAAATAGCGCCGCCAAAACAGCGCCATTGAAAACAGCGTCGTTCAAAACAGCGCCCATACAAAAATAGCGCCGCCAAAACAGCGCCATTGAAAACAGCGTCGTTCAAAACAGCGCCCATACAAAAATAGCGCCGTTCAAAACAGCGCCAAATTTAAAGATTTTAATGTAGATTAACCAATGCTCCAAGAACAGAAAAAAACAGGAAAAGCGATGAAAGACAAAATGTGTCGCATTGTTTATTTAAAATGGGCCATAAAAACTGATTCTGATAATGAAATAATCTGACGGTTTGTCAAAACACGCGCAAGGTGCTTAAAATTGTTTAAAAAATAACAAAACTTACAAGTTCTGATGAGAAGTATAAAAACATTGGGGTTGAAAAATCTAATCGCAGTCTCTTTCAATTTGGCGCTATTTTTGTACGGGTGCTGTTTTGAGTGGCGCTGTTTTGAACGGCGCTATTTTGGCGGCGCTATTTTGACTAGGTCCCCTCAAAGAGGAGTCTAGCCAATGTTTTTGAGCTTCTACGTGGCTTTTAACTGCAGAAATTGATCATTGTCGGCTTTAAAGTGATCGCTTTTTTTATTTATCTGATCGTTTTTTTGCAACTTATCCCTGGATACATTAAAACTTGCGATTGCCTTTTTCTCACCTGAAAATCATCGTGACACGGTGCACAGAAATGCGTCGTTCCGAAGCTAAATTTTCAGCACGCTTTTAAATTAAGTGAAACTTTTGTTTTCTATAATTTTCAGAGTTTTTTTGTATTTGTTTGCTTGCTTGTTTGTTTGCTTGTTTGTTTGTTTGTTTTTCTGTTTTCATCTTTTAAAACTCACCAAAAGTAAACAGCAATCGAGCAGCAAAAGCGACATTTATACTCCAAATACTCGACTCCGTGACGGCCACAAATCTGGAAATGATCGAGAATTTGTTTCCACAAAAAGAAACAAATCAAATCTTCATTATTTGTTTCAAAGAAAAATCTTCAAACTTCAAAGATGTTCAAACTTTGGAGACAAGTCAAAGATTGGAGACAAGTCAAAGATTGGAGACAAGTCAAAGATTGGAGACAAGTCAAAGATTGGAGACAAGTCAAAGATTGGAGACAAGTCAAAGATTGGAGACAAGTCAAAGATCTTCAAAGTCGATTGACTTGTCTCTTTGGAGACAAGTCAATCGAGCACTGTTCATCGTTATTCATTTGGAAAACATTTAGAAAAATCTCATCCAAAGCTCATCCAAAGATCATCCAAAGATCATTCAAAGATCCAAAGAAGTTTTTTTTAAAATACCTGTGCTCCGGAGACATCCGAACACCCACCACAGATCAATTCGGATGGATTGTACTGTGAAGAATCGAGAGGCTAAATGCGGTTAAATTCGATGAAATATATTTCGATATTTCGATTTTATTCAAAAACTTGAAATCTGTATTATCTTGAAATATCTTTTTAAAGAAAAATTCTAGAATTAAAGGAATTTGTAGCAAAAGTAGAGCCAAAATTTGGAAAAGAATTGATCCCAGGAACCAAATCTATAGAGAAAAGAATCCAAATCTTAGAGAAAAGGAACCAAATCTGTAGAGAAAAGGAACCAAATCTTAGCGAAAAGGAACCAAATCTGTAGAGAAAAGAATCCAAATCTCTAGAGAAAAGGAACCAAATCTGTAGAGAAAAGGAACCAAATCTCTACCGCAAAGGAACCAAATCTGTATCGAAAAGGAGCATAGTGACGCACAAAGCGACTCGATCACTCATCAGTCCTTTCCCTTTAGGAATGGAATGGTGATTCTTATATACTCAAAGGCTGTGCCAAAAGAAAAGCCTTATATACCCAAAGGGTTTGCCAGGTCGCGAGTGATTACACCGCCGCACAAAGAAGTCATTTACTTAAGGATTTTTCGCTTTTTAGATGTTATCAAAAAGATATTCAGCTGGAAATTTGTACTCGCCAATTTTCCGGAGCGGGCAAGTGATTGGAGCTATTCATTTTATTGAGTCTACCAATTGGAACATGGATTTAATTGGTCTAAACTTTTAGATCATGTGATCCAATCAAAACCTTTTTTTTTAATCATTTGTACTCTTAAAAAGTCTTCTTTTTACTCCAAGAGTTTGTCTTCGTTAACGTTAACTCAAACTTCTTTAACTTCCTGAACATTTTACGGACTAAAGCCGGGGATTTCGCATTGAACGCATTGAACGAACGATCGCATTTCGTCAAATCGCATTGAACTCACCAATTGACAACGACTTTCTCCTCCGAAATAGGCTTTCCCACATTTGTGACATTGCACATAGACGTATCTCTCCATCGCATACGATTCGGGTTGACCGAAGAATTCACTAGAAAATTGAAAATTATTGAACCTATTGATCCTTTGGATCCTTTTGATCTTTTGATCTTTTGATCTTTTTGATCTTTTTGATCTTTTTAATCTTTCTGAAACTCGTATTTTTCTCTACAAGTCAAAGTATTGCTTTGCTACAGTAAACTAAAAAAGTATTCAGTTGGTAAAGGTAAAACTTTTCCGTTAACCACATATTTTGCAAGATATTGAACTTTGATTTGATTTGATTTGACTTTGAAAACAAGATTTGACTTTGAAATCATTGAATACTCGATCAATCATTGGTTCTGATACGATATTCTATCGATATTCTATCAAAATTCTATCAAAATTCTATCAAAATTCTATCAAAATCCACTTTAAAGTCTACAAAGTATGCAAAAAATTCGTAACCAGCTTGGAAAGTGCGCTTTCGGACCAGCCTCGGGTACTTTTCTATGAATTTCTCGTAAACGCTGCTGACAGTAAAGTTAGATAATAGAAATTAGATGATTTGAACTTTTCTGCAAGTGACCGCGAACTTTTTTAACAACCTAGTACATTTTAAATTGCGCATTTTATATGTAAATAACATACCGTAAATACTGTAATAGTACCCGACCCCCATAAAGACGGTGTGGAGCGTTGCGTAGTCTAGCTTTGAACGAGTTTTTCTCGACACTGGTTTATGCTACAATGCGCACTTAGGTATCAAAAAATAGCTGAAATTCAGGGCTATTTTTTGATACCAAAGACGCATTTTTTGAAAGTACGGGCGCTTTAAAAAAAATGAAATACCAAAAAAAACTTTTGCGACTACACGACTGTACGACGGGGGTGGGGTACTATTACAGTATTTACGGTAGGTAATGGCTATAGGAAAGTACTATTTTTACCAACCAATCTTGAATCAAAAAAACTTTACAATAACAAAATGCTGACCTGTTTTCATTGACCAATGCTGGACACCCGAGAAGTCCATCGTATTCCAAACGGAGTTTTGCTTTTTGAATGACATCATTTTTCAGAAAATTCAACGAATCGAGAAGATCTTTTACGCCGGGATGATCGATCTGAAAGTTAATTGAGCTTTATATTGAAAGCTTTTTATTTCGTAGTGATTTTATTGTTAGATTTTAATTTAAACAATCATATTATTTAATCATATCACTTCTCAAACCTCAATATTGCATAGCGGGCAATTCATGAAACGAAAGAGTATCCTCGGCCCATTCCATCGTTTCTCCAACACTGTCCGCACGCATAAATAGTGAAAAATGTGACCGCACTAAAAATTTTAGGACGTTTAAATCGATGTTTCGATCTTGAAATCATTTGCTAAAAGTTGAAATTTTGTTTTTCTAAATCGCGACTCTTTTCGTCTTTTTCGTCGGATTACTGTAAGTGTGGCTTTATTTTTTTTTATTATTTCATTTTTTTTGTCATTTTTCTTTCTTCATGATCATTCTATTGGGATAGGCTACTTTGCGCGAATTTTTTTGTGCAACAGGGTCATTTGTGCAACAGGGTCATTTGTGCAACAGGGTTATTTGCGCAACAGGGTTATTTGCGCAACAGGGTTATTTGCGCAACAGGGTTATTTGCGCAACTGGGTCGTTTGCACATCGTTTGCACTCGCCATAACTTTTTTTCTAAGTGGGCCAATCTTTATGGTTTTGGTGTCATTTTGTAGATCTCAATAAGTGCAACAAAATGACACCAAAACCATAAAGATTGGCCGAATTTTAAAAAAAGTTTTGGCGAGTTGCGCAAAAAATTTGGCGCAAAGTAGCCTACCCCTTTTTTTGTCATTTTTCTCTCTTCATAATCATTCTATTTGTTTGTTTTTTGTTTTGAAAACTTTCAATTCAAATCATAAACTAATTCAAATCATTCCTATTACATTCCTATTACATTCCTATTACATTCCTATTAATTCCAATCAATTCCAATCATATTCAGATAAAGTTTAAAACAAAAAACACAAGTTTGACCGAATAATCGCAAAAAAGGACTTTAATTCTTATAATTTAAAGATGATTTTGAAAGAAACACATTTTAAACAGACTTTTCGCTGTTTTCAGGTGTTTCAAGTTTTTGATGATGTAAAAATTGAAGCTTTAACTTCTCAAGCTTTAACTTTTCAAGCTTTAACTTCTCAAGCTTTTTAACTTTTCAACTTTCGAACCCAAATCAATTTTCATTTATATACTAAAAGTAAGAGATTATATTTTAAAAACTAAAGTTTATCTTGTACTTGTTTTTTGTTTATTTTGTTTTTTTTTTAAAAGCTCTCACCGTCAGTTTGATACAAGGAGCAGCACCAAGTCGATCAGTGAAACAGATTACACAGACATCATCTCCATCTTGAGAAGCGCCTAAAAAAATTTGGAATTTAATCGAATCCAGAATGTAATTAGATCTAAATTGTTGCTTTTGATGATTGTTTTTTTTTGCGTTTACCTTTTCGTGGACATTGCAAACACTCGAGACACGACAATTCATCGATAATTCCACCACATCTGAAAATTAACAAAGAAATTAAAGTTTAAAATTTTAAAAAAACATAAAGAAAATGATTCTTTTTCTGATAAAGTTACAAATGTAACACATAAATAAAAGCAAATTCTTAAACTTTATGCAATAAATTAAAGTTTCAAGCTAAACGGTGTTAAAGTTAAAATGTGAATTATGTCGTAATTCTTTAATATTAAAAGAAAAAATATATCACCGTCAAAAAAATCCGAAATATTTATGTCGCAGCCGCTAGTGATTCAATCACCATCGGCTAGTCGATGGTGATGGTGATAGTGTCGATGGTGATTGAATCACTAGCGGCTAGCCGATGGTGATTGAGTCACTAGCGGCTAGCCGATGGTGATTCAGTCACTAGCGGCTAGCCGATGGCGATTCAGTCACTAGCGGCTGAAAATCACGAGCGGCTGCGACATATATAACTAGTTTACTCGTGACTTTAACTTAAATATTTTTATTAAATAAATCTTAGTTTTCTTTTCCCTACCGATGCTCACACGTTAACGTCTTTCTACAAGCGATTTTCCCCAACTCGATGCACTCGTTGTGAGCGCAGATTCCCTCATAGCTCTGTAAAATTTTTTCAAATTGAAATTGAAACAAATTAAAAAATGGTGGCGCACAATTATCGAAACTTTACGGTTTTTCGACTGTAACTCGACGCACAATTATTCAATTCCTCTAATTTCATATTTATATGAAATTTCAAGCCATTTGAAGAAATTTCATTTGAAATTCTGCGGTCAGTTTCAATTTTAAGTTCAGAAACACAATGTTACACCTTTTATAGTAGTTTGAAGTTCAAAGGCGCAAACCTCTCGGCAGAATCGTTGTTTGCCAGCATTTGCACATATTTTGAAGAATTTCCCGCCTCGTATTTACTCATTTTTGCTTTTTATTAAGAAATAGAATTTTCTGAAGCATTAAAAGATCTTCAATAAGTTCAAAATTTTGAGAGCCAATTCCCTTTGAAATTCCCTGAAAGCTGATCAGAGCAGCGATCTGTATGGTAACTCTCCAAATCATTCCTGATTTGCTGTCCTTCAAATTTAATGCATTTATTCTATGATCTTTGTTTAAATTTAATTAAGGAGAGCAAAAAAAAACTTAAAGAATTGATTGATTTGTGGGCAATTCTTAAGTTGAGAACTATCGAAAACGATGATTCTGCCGAGAGGTTGGCAATTCTGAACTTCAAACTACTATAAAAGGTGTAACATTGTGTTTCTGAACTTAAAATTGAAACTGACCGCAGAAATTGACTTGGAATTTCATATAAATATGAAATTAGGGGAATTGAATAATTGGGCGTCGAGTTACAGTCGAAAAACCGAGTTTCCATAATTGTGCGTCATCCTGTATACCGTATTCTCTATAATAGTAGTGCGCACTACTATTTTTTCAACCCCCTCCTGGACCGCAATACTATTAGAGAGTGCACTACTATTAGAGAGAATACGGTATATGCCGCACCAGTGTACTGGGAAGTGAATGATTCTCAAACCTGTCGATCACCAATCAATTGATTCTCGCAGAAACGACATTTTTGATGTGATGTCGATGGGATGAGTGGAAGATTCGATGAATGAAGTGGACGAGAATGGAAAGAAGATGATGGGAATAGCGGATCACCGGCACTCACTTCAACGAGGCCATTTAGAGTGGAGCCGTGGAAGAGAACCTCAATTCAGACTTTTAACTCATTTCTTGAAGTCTAATTCGTTTTCGAGTTAAACTTAACTAAGTTTTCTTCAAGTTTTCTCAATTTTAAGCTCTATTAGAAATTTAAAAGTTAACTCACCAGCATATTTGATAATCTCAACCTTGAGCATCCTTCATGAATCTCGACTTGCGGTGTGGTTGTTGATGAGCCAAGTAGACGAACCTGGCATTGTGTAAGATAAATTAAAAAAAAAATCTAGCTAAACCTCATGATTTCGATTTCGTTTATTGAGATGAAGAATTGAGAAACAATCTCGACAAAGAGCACACCGACACACTTCACAAAAAACCTAGAATCGAGCTTCTTTTATAAAATAAAGTTATAAAAAAGCTTAAATTCTATAAGAAAGAAACCTGTGCCAGAGTTCTTCCATCATCATGGTTCTCACACAAAGGCTCTGGCTCATGAGTTCGAGTACCCTAAACAATCGTGTTTCAAAATTTGATTGATCTTTTTTTCTAGAGTTTTAGGGCAAATTGGCTGGTTGGCTAAATTGGCAAAACAATTTTCATTTTATTAACCTTCAATTATTTTACCTGTACACTCGTCCATCCATCCGCTAATTCCATCCATTGTTTCTCTTTGACAACACTCAACGCTGAGACGGCCAACCAAAAGCGACGCGATGAAATAACCGGACAAAGTGAGGAAAGGGAAGCTGATGAACGGACACCTGAACAAGGATTCGATTACGATTAAGAAAAGTTGACTCTTAAGTAGAATTCAAGACTTTTGAGAGATTCAGGTAGTTATTTTTTTCAATTAAAGCATTCAAGAAAGTTAATCTAATAGCTAATCGTGAGGTTTTCTTGCTTGAAGCAAATTTTATTACTGACCACTTCAATCCAAATTGCCCTAAACACGGCAAAGATTATATCTGCTAATAAGATAAAAACATAAAATTAGAAAGTAAAAGGTTGTGGAGTAGCAAGTAATTTATAAATAGTAAAAAATAGCAAGTAATTTAACACAACTGGGTAACTAAATTTCTCAAAAATCCTCAAATCTTTCAAAGTTTCGAATTCTATTCAAAAATCTCAAATTGTTTTTGGTGTTCGGCTGTCCATTTTAAATAGTTTTTGTACCAATTGACAGAGAAAGACTTGGTGCATCCAATGATACTAAGAATATTTAAATTCGACAGCTCAACACCAAAATATTTGAGCTTAAAATTAGTTTGCCAATGGCAAAAGAGGCGGGGCGCTTATCAAATGTCCGAGCACCCTTTAATTTGGTCATTAAGTGAGAATGTGCCCATTCACATGAGTAAAGAAGCTATGAAATCATAACTACCGCTAAACTCCTTTCCATTTCCGAATCAACCAACCAGCCGACGAGGTGATCGATCCAAAATCGTGTGCTCCCATTCTCAGCACTCCCACCACCGCCGCCGCGCATTCTCGCCGAAATGCGGCCGCCCATTCTTCCGAGAAATCTCCCTGGCTAAAAAAGAAAACTTTTATTCGTTTCTTTCTGAAGAACTTTTTATTCTTTTTGATTCTTTTGCAAAATTGAGTCTTTTAAAAAAGATGCGATGAGATGGTAACTTGTTTTTAATAGCTCCCTACTAATTCTTCACTTTCGTTGTCGATTAATAGATCGTTGGAATCAACAAAATTGTTGAAATTGTGGTTTCTTTTGAGTTTTTTTCAATTCTGACTCGATTGCTTCAAAAGTTTAAAGTGTTTAAGTTTCAATTTTACCGCACAAAGACTCAATGAATCAGAGGCCGGTTTTTGTTGAAAAACTTTAATTCAAGAGTGTTCAAAGGAACACTCTTGAATTAAATGTTTAATAGATCTTGAGGAAAATAAATTCCCTTCTCAACTCACCAAGCATTCAGAATGAATCGATGAATCAATCTTCCCATTTCCGCGCTCATCACTTTTTCCACTTTCCAATGACTTGGCGGTTCGGTGACCGAACTCTGAAAAGTGCTTGTTTCAAAAATAATGATTATTTGTTTAATAGACGTTTATCTTCAAGGTTAAGATTTTTAACAAGCTTCAACTTTACTTTGTTTTTTTACAACTTTGTTATCTAGGACTTATTATTAACTTTATCACTTACCACAAGTGTGGCCGTGTTGACAGTGTGCGCCGATTTGTCTCTCACTTGAAGGCAAATCACTTTCGCCACACAAACGAGCAGATTACCAACAAAGCGTCCGCTTTCCACCTAGAAATTGAAAGAGTCAGGTTGGTCAGATTGGGACGAATTCTCACTCAAAACGAAACTATCGGCAGATAGGTGTAGAACTTCTGGTTTTATGTGGAAAGAGATTATTTAAATCGGTTTATGAATCATTTATCAGGTATTAAAAGATGAAAGCAGCTTTTCAGCCTTGACTCTTCAGCTTTAAGTGTCAAGTTTTAGTTTAATAAGGTGGAATTTGTAGGAAAAATATAGCCAAAATTAAGCCAAAAATTGATCCCAAAAATTTGGGCACAATTTTCGCCCAAAAAGGCAAAATCGGCTCAGTCCTTTCCCTTTACCAATTCCAAAAGGGAAGCCTTATATACTCGAAGAGTTTGCCAGTACGCAAGTGATTACGCGACCGCACAAAGAACACCCAGAGGCTGTTTTACACAGGGATTTTTTCGCTACTTTTGCTTTGTTGATAATAGAAAGAGAATATTCAACTGTAAATTCGTACAAATCATTTGTGCTAACTGCCGATAATTTGGTTTTAGTGGGAATCGGTCCTAATTCGGATCTTATTCGAAATTTGTTGAAAACAAATGCTAAATAAGATATATTTTCTCGTTAATATTATATTATTATTGTTATTTTATTAATAAAATGAAAATATTTGTCAAATCAAATGCAGGAAAGCGTTTTAGCACGTTGGATAACATCTAGAAAAGAAATCTATTTCAAGTAATGCCTTGAGAAATCAGAAATTTCGAAACTAAATTGACACTGAATGAATATTTTCCCAGAAAACTCAAGTTGTTAAGTCAATAATTCACTTTATACCTGTGCCGGTGAGAAAACGCCTAAGAGTTTTTCGATTGTTTCGATCACTTGACATTGCACAACCTAAAAATGAATTGAGTTGAGAAATTTCAAACGGAAACTAATAAATTTGCTTTTCAATTGAATAAGTTGAAAGATCAGTAGAAAAAAACAAAAAAAGTTCAGCACCTGAGGTGAGAAGAGAAGCAACTCGGATAGCGTGATCAACAGATAGTTTCTTGCCGAGAAAACCTGAATAAACAATTTGACAATATTTGGCCAGGTAAGCTTTAAGAAGCGACTATTATTTTAATTTAAAATATTAAACATCTCTCACCTCAGTGCCTCTTCTCGACGCGCAAATCCTCGTCAAAATATGCATTAAACCGCACGCGTACGAGTAGTTTTTCTTCGAGCGATCACGTAAGAAAATCACTTCTCTAAAAGATTTAACGGTTCTTTTCCAATATCGGGGGAGCGAAAGGAAAATCGGGGGAGCAAATTTTGGCAGCGCTACATATGTCCTATTTAAAATTGTGACGAACGGGAGCTTGCTTTGTTGCAAAAAGTTATCGACTCGAATCCCTCTTGAATGCTTGGGGACCTTTTGCCGTGCGCAAGTGTCACATACCCAGCGAAATAGATCTTTTCCCTTTGAGCGGACTTTCATCGATTCGCCACATTTGCAAATCCACGACTGGATGACTCCTTTGGTGACGAAATAATCGATTGCCGTCGATTTCTTGAACGCACAAATATCGGAGAAGCGCATCGTCGTTAAAGTTTTAAAAAAACGTTGGAGTTAAAATATAGTCCCGGAAATGCATTTTTCGAGGGGGCAAAATTTGCTCCCCCGATTTTCCTTTCGCTCCCCCGATAATCTTTCCGCTCCTCCGATATTGGAAAGGAACCGATTTAACTATCATCTTTTTTGATATTTACACAATCGTTTACTACAATCTCGACAAGTTAAAAGTTCGTAAAATTTAGAATTTAGATTTTTGATTTGAGCTTAATTTATCATATCAACTGATTAAAACAAAACAAACACTAAAAACAACGCACTAAAAAGCTAATAAGTTTAAGCTTCTAAAAAAGTTACCGATCAAGTGCGTTAGCAATTTGTGTGCAAACATGTGTTTGAAGAGGCTGCAGTTGGACTCGGCTAAAATTTTTAAACTAATGGTTTAAATATTGAAACGAAAACCTAAACAAAAGATCGATGACTCGTTGCCGAAGAGTGCCATGTTGTTCTTCGGCCATTTCATCGGAGAACGCCTAAAAGAAACAATTTCGGTGTAGCGGAAAACAATATAAATCACAAATACTTTAGCATTCATTCAATCAAGAATAAATACATCAACCAACCTGTGCGGAAAGCGCTTGAAACAGTGAAAAAGCATCGGATTGTGTGGTTGAGAAGAGTAACTGATGGGATTGCGATGGACGGAGAAGGGATTTCTTCGGGGATAGAGATGGAGATGAGTAGAAGCCGGAGATTGATAGCTGGAAAAATCATGGATTCTTAGATGATCCTCAAAAATCTGCTCACCTGTCGCACTCGTTGCGCATTGAAGGGACCGCGAAGAACGATTTGGACTTGAGCCGCTCCCGTGATGCAAGCTTTCATCCAGCCAACGAATTGCTAAAAAAAACAATTTTAATAAAATGTATTAGCCAATATTTTTAATAAAGATCTTAACTTTCAAAAATTTTAGAGCTTTAAATGATTCACGCAAAAAAAAAAAAACATTTTTTATCAGCAAGCAGACTAAAAATTTGCACTTGGGGGTTTTCGAGGGTGCTGATTTCGAATTTTTTATTAATTTTTTTCTATCCCCGTCTAGAAAACATCAATATTGCTAATTTTGGACGTGAGTGTTGGCTTACAAGCGTTTTGGGCATGTATTAGTGTTTCTAGGGATCATTTAGGCTTTAGAATTGATATTCAATCAAAAAACTAGGAGTTTTCTTTGTGAAAAACGTTTCAAATCGGTTTAATTACCCAAGTGGCAACTTTACATCCGGGGTAGTGTGTCAAATAGCGCTTTTTCCTACGAGCAACGCGAAAAGAGCGCATAAAATGGCTGTTGCGGCGGTTTTTTCGTATTTTCAGAAAAACTAAAGTACTGTTTAGAAAACTGAAAACGGATTCTGAAAGAGCATAAAAAGTTGCATATACTCTCAAATTATTGGAAAAAGAAAAAAAAATCTGTCGATCCAAACCCCCAACATCATTTAGTCAAAGTTTTGTAAAGTCGATGGGGGTGGGACAAATGCGACCTTTTTTTTTGCGCACCTGGACATTTGCGCACCTTTTTTTTGCTGGAAAAAGCCTTAGGAAAAGTCGTAGAGCTTCAAAAACGTTTTCATAGAAGGGAATCGTATGCGTAGATTCCGAATTTCGACAAATCAGACCTCGCTGACACTTCCAGCAAAAAAAAAGGTGCGCAAATGTCCAGGTGCGCAAAAAAAGGTCGCATTTGTCCCACCCCCAAGTCGACTTGAAAATTTTCAAGAGAAAATCATTGTTTCTTTCAACAAAAAAATATTCAGTCAACAGATTAAATATTTAATAATTGACTTGAAATTTTTTAGGGGTAGGCGAATTTCCGCCATTTTATTTGCGCAACTCGCCATAACTTTCTTCTAAGTAAGCCAATCTTTATGATTTTGGTGTGATTTTGTTACACTTTTTGAGATCTACAAAATGAAACCAAAATCATAAAGATTGACCGACTTAGAAGAAAGTTATGGCGAATTGCGCAAATAAAATTACGTAAATTAGTCTAGGGCAATTTTTAAGAAAAGAGCATAGTTGTTTTTGGCGAAAAGATATTCAGTCAACGGATTGAATATTTAACAATTTAACAACAATACTGTGATTTGTTGTATAGATTATTATAGTAACTGTTGAAATAATTAGAAGTATATAAAAAGTTATTATAAAAACAATGCTTGCTGAAAGTATTGATTTCTCGTTTCTTTTTAAAGTTGAATATTTTAAAACTCGATCTTTTCTCCTTGATCTCTTACCGCATCCAATGCTTGTGAATGAAGATTTCTCTTTGATCCGTCTGTAAGTAGAGCTCGGATTTGAACAAATGATGTTCTGAATGATTTTTTTTGGTTTTTCGGATTTGAACAAAGATATTCTGAATGAGCTGAATGAAACTTAAAAAATATTGTCTTGATAATAGTAATAATGCTATCAAAACAATATTTTGTCCTACTAATTCTAAGTTTGAATGCAATCAATAGATTTTCTTGTGTCTGCCTTTTAAAGCAAAAAAAAAACTTCCAAAAAAGCCTTTAGTTGAATTGTTTTTGGTCCAATCTCATACCTGAATTGCTCATGGCTTAGGCTTAGGCTTAGGCTCAGGCTTAGGCTCAGGCTTAGGCTCAGGCTTAGGCTTAGGCTTAGGCTCAGGCTTAGGCTCAGGCTTAGGCTCAGGCTTAGGCTTAGGCTTAGGCAGTCAAAAAGTAGATGATGATCCTTTTTCTTTGATTAGATTCAAGAAATTCAACCAAACAAATAGCGCAGAGCTTTTGCTGACTTTATTATCATCGATTCAACTAACATATTGCTATTATTTTTAACCATTTTAACTATACTGTGAGCATTAGTTGAATTGTGTTTGGCCCAATCTCATACCTGAATTGCTCATCTCGAACATTGTCGAAGAAAATCGCCAACAAAACCGGGCTCATCACCTCCGATTCACAATTGATCGATAAAAGACGAGAACGGGATTTGTCCTGAAAATGATCAAAAATGATCAAATAATTAAATTGACTTTTCTGTTAGATTAAAAGGGATTTGGGGGAGGGGTCTGAATTGGATTTTCTCGATTCTCGCTCACTAAAACCAAATTGACGCTTTACAGGGGGAAGACAACAGTAGGATGTGGCAAAATGAGATAAGCCATTGACCATTCGATACAGAATTTCACGCTGATTCCGAAGCTGCTTTCCGTTTTTGCAAAATGATTTTCTAGAAAAAGTTATACGTGTTTTAAGTTCTAGAGTGAAAATGCGAAAATTTAAAGCCGAATGCCTTTATAGGGGTTCTCTCAAGGGTCCCGGATCTGCCTTGATGGTCTAGATGATAGAGCGCTTGCATGCAAAACCAGAGCTCCATTTTTTTTGCTCGAATTCGATTCCTTTTTGGCACTTTTGTTTTGCGTTTTGACGTTTTAACACCCTTCACAGATTCCAAAAGGGAATCCTTATATACCCGAGGGGTTTGCCAGTTGACGGTCGCACAAAGGACGCCTCTCAGTCATTTACATAGAGATCTTTCCTTTGCTTTGTAGATAGTATAAAAAGAAGAGATTCAGCTGGAAATTTGTACCCTAGGGTTTTCGGGGTCGGGGAATCGATTGGCAGTGTTCATTTTATTCTATCTCCTCTTCCTCTTAATACTTTATTGGTCGCTTCATTTCTATCACCCAAAATCGATACGATAAGAAAATCATTTCTTGATGAATTTCTTTTCATTTCTAGAATCATCAAAAGTTCTTCGATTCTTTTCTTCTTTAAGTGAAGTCCTTCTTCAAGTGAAGTTCTTCTTCTTCTTTAAGCAATTTTTGCACACACCTCTTCTCCGCTTTCCCAAAATGTTTCCATACTGGCATCAGTCAAACAAACGACCATCGCTTGTCGGGATGAGGCCTCGATACGACAATGTTGTGTTATCTGAATAACAATAAAATACAAAGGATTTGTAAAATTAAAAAAAGGTGTGAATAAATTTGAAACTTTTCCTTTCACCTTTACATAAAAATAAATAAATAAATATTACATAAATATAGTTTTTACTTTTAGAATCTTTTCCACAAACTCACATCTTCCATTTGCTTCACTTCAGCGTTATTCTCAGCGTTGCTTGTCACTCTGAAAGAGAATTTATTAGAAATTCTAAAGTAATTTTAAAAATTTTGATGAGCCAGTTTAGACGCTTTTAGCTAAGGAAACCTATCTTCGTGTCAATAGATAAAAGATAGAGCATAAAGAGTCTAGAAAATCGTTTGGGACTTATAATTAGCTTTAGCTATGATTTTTTTATTTAAAATAAACCTTTGTGTGATCGAATTTTGTTGCTCCGATCCGGCTTGACTCTGGCTATCAACCCAGATTCGATCATTTGATGGATCCGAGAGAACCCTTCCAACTGAGGCAAGAATTGAACAAGTCAATGAAAGGAGATCCTGGAATATTGTTTGTAAAAAAGATTGAGCAAATGGAAAAGTTCAATCAAGTTTCGCGTATGGGATTTTTCGCGTTGTAGATGTTAGAAAAAAGCTATTCAACTGGAAATTTGTACCCGGGGGGTTTTCAAGGTCGGCGAATCGATTGGAGTTATTCATTTTATTGAGTCTACCAGTTCTTTTTGTTATTAGCAGTTTAGATATCGTTTTCTCAGGATTGCTTATTCTAATCAACCTCTATTTGACATCATTATGAAGAGTCCTCGTTAAAAAGAATAAGAAATTCGTATACTTTTGAAGAGGACACTTCACGCTTTCAAATTATACTTAATAAAGGATGATTGAAGCACAAAAACAGAAGAAAATCGAGGAACAAGACGTTCACGTTTAAAGCAAAAAAGCTTGGAATGGATAGGGATCGAACCCGGCACACCCCTAGGGCAGTCGTTTTGTAGACGGGACGTTAACCACTCAACCACACTCCCCTCCTGACGGCCTTCCAAGGGCCGTGGCTAAGTGGTCTTTCTGCTTTTTTTTACGCGCTTTTGGATGAAAAATTATTTTGATCAAAAAGTATGTACCTATTCATTTTTAATTCCATATTGATTAAAAAAAGTTTATTAAAATCGGTTCACAGGAAGCCGAGATCCAGAGTGTGGACAGACGGATGGACAGACAAACGAACGACCATTTCTCTTTTATATAGCAGATAAGCAGCTATTGAGTTCTCACTCAAAGCGCGGTTACTTATTCAAAAATCCCTGAGAACGGATATTTTTTCTACAATACAATGATAAATCTTTTAGTTGAATCATTTTTACCTGTTCATGAGCGGTCAACTGAATTGTCCACGCTTGGAAGCAAAGACTTCTGAAAAATGGTGATTTTGTCTTATAACATTTATAAAGAAATCAACTTGCTAAATGCTATCAAATCTTACCGTAATCCCGGATCGACTCCACTCGATTGAAGTATCACAGCGATTGTGTAGAGAAATGAATGCAACTGTTGCACCATTTTTACGGCTATTGGACCTGAATCGTTAAGATGAATCGTTAGATGAATGCAAAAAGGATATTGATTTAAAGTAAAGGAGATATACCGTAAATACTGTAATAGTACCCCATCCCCCTCGTACAGGCGCGTAGTCGCAAAAGTTTTTTAGTAATTCATTTTTTTCAAAGCGCCCGTACTTTCAAAAAATGCGTCTTTGGTATCAAAAAATAGCTGAAATTCGGGGCTATTTTTTGATACCTAAGCGCGCCTTGTAGCATAAACCAGTGTTGAGAAAAACTCGTTCAAAGCTAGACTACGCAACACTCCGCACCGTCATTATGGAGGTGGGGTACTATTACAGTATTTACGGTAGCTTTTTAGAGAGATTTTAAAGAGAGAACTTCTTTTAAAGAGAACTAATATTTTTATAGAATACTGAAAAGATATTCAGGTATTGCAAAGTTGTCTTTGTGCCGGTTTCCGTTTACTTTTTCTTTACGTAAAAAAAAGCCTAGTTTCAACATATTTAAACTCGTTTAGGAATTGGTTTCTTTAATATATAATATTTTTAAATAAATTCTTGTTAGCTTTTGCAATTTTAATCTTATTTAATTGAGAAATATGTGACAAACCAGCCAAAAAGCAGAGTCTCCACGGATGGGCGAGCAATTTGACAGGCGCTTTTGATGATTGCGATGGATCGACAAGGGGAGAATATGAAGAAAGAGAAGAAAGATATTGAAGAACGATATCCGAGACACTGAAAATTAGAATACTGTAGATACTGAAGAAATGGAGAGAGAAACACTATTATAGCTATGCCAGAATTGAAATTAGAGGCTATTCTTAGAGGCTTATCTTAGAGGCTATTCTTAGAGGCTATTCTTAGAGGCTATTCTTAGAGGCTATTCTTAGAGGCTATTCTTAGAGGCTTATCTTAGAGGCTATTCTTAGAGGCTTATCTTAGAGGCTTATCTTAGAGGCTTATCTTAGAGGCTATTCTTAGAGGCTATTCTTAGAGGCTATTCTTAGAGGCTTATCTTAGAGGCTATTCTTAGAAGCTTATCTCTTTCGCTTTTCTTCACGATTACTTTAAAATAAAGCTTTTATTGGTTAATTATTAGTTAAATAATTAGTAGATAGATTTGACTACCTTGTTTCCGAAGAAACCAATCTCAGCAACCAGTTCCACACTCGGAATGCGTGCGAAAAGCCGACAGCTCTTCTCACGGCAACGATTGACGATTCGCGAACTCTGGAAAATGTTTCTAATGCTTTGCAACATTTTTTTGAATAGTATTAAGTCGTTTAGACTTTGGAAATAATAAGATCCTTTTAGTAAGAAAATTTGTTTATCGAATAAGATAAGGTTGGCTTTCTAAATATATTCTTTCAATGTGGTAAAAACAATACACAAAGCATGCTAAAGCTTGCCTTCTTAGCTAGCCCTCTTAGCCGGCGGGATTGAACCCTTGACCTCTCGACTAAGATACAGGCCTCTTAGCCAGTCGGCCATGGCAGACGCGCTCACTTGGCATGGAGGTCGAATAAATTGACAAGGGAACTGGCTGAGATGACGAAATGCCATGCGATCTATACCATTCAACGCAGAATTTTATGCTGATTCCGAATATATATTCGGTTTTTGCTAAATGACAATCTGTCAGGAGTTATAAGCGTCTAAAGTTTTATTAGGACTCTGAAAAGAAAATGTGGTTATTTGGGTAACGCCATTGGAGTCTTAACAATCTTTTAGAGAATCGGTTACTAGGCTTGGCTTGGCCGAGTGGTACAGCACTCATTTCTAGAGCGAGACTTTCTAGATCTAGAGCGAGACTTTCTAGATCTAGAGCGGGACTTTCTAGGTCTAGAGCAAGACTTTCTAGGTCTAGAGCGAGACTTTCTAGGTCTAGAGCGAGACCTCACAAGTTCGACCATCTGCGGATTTTTTCCACAGTCAATGGTCGAACTCAAGTCACAAATCAAGTCACAAATAAGGCTTTGAAGAGGTTACCTTTTTAAGTCATGATGCTCAATGACAAAAGCCATCACGGGCCTTCTCATCATCACCGATTGACCGGGCGATTGACAAGCAGAAGAGAGGGAAACAAGAGACACCAAAGCAGCCGATGGACTTTGGAGAACCTGTGAAAAAAATAGATAATTAAGGGAAATGATTCGATATTCTTCATTTTAAAAGCTGATTTGGAAACTAAAAGCCACAGGAAAAGGAACAAGAGTAACCGAAATTCGAAAGACTTTTTTTCAACGCGATTTTTCGCTCCAATATTTTGTCACTCACAGCTATTCTTATCGAATTTACCTAACAATAAATAAGTACATATTTCTAAACTATTTTTTTAAAAAATAATTTGCTCTTTGACTTAAAAATTCATTAAATAGCCTTCAACATTACCTCAGCATTTATCTGTACTCGTTCTTCCATCGAACTCTCCGCTCGACTTGATGTGTTCACCTAAAAAAAAAATGATCTACTATATATCTACGATATATAAAGCAGAAGAGACGACTGTCCGTTAGTTAGTTGTCCGTTAGTTATTGGCAAAAAGGGGCAGGGCTTAGATTGCGCGAAAAACGCAAACTTTAGTGAGCGTTTTTCGCTAGTCTACTATATATTAGGGACTTGCAAAAGAAACTGCGGATTATAACCAACATTTGAACAGCCCAAAAATCAAGAAGAAAACAACTTTATTCCAAAAGATATTTGTCATTATTATCAACTATGTTCTTACATTTTCTACGTAGACTTCGGATGTCTGATTCGAAAAATTCGGGGTCCCGCGACGCAACTTAGTCTTGCACCCAAATTTCGACTTCTTCAGGATTGTTAAACTTTAGCTTTGCAAGAGAGTGTTGCATAGACAGGAACAAGTGGTAATCTGAGGGAGCAACATCAGGCGAATAGGGCGGATGAGGCACAAGTTTCCAGCCTAATTCACCATAGTGTTTTGAGACAAATTTGATGTGTGTACCCGAAAATTGTGAGCGAGTATATGGATTGTCCTTGGATTAACACCTCTTTCTCGTAGAATTTCATCAACTTTCTTCAGCTGTTCGGCGTAGATTTGAGAAGTTATAGTTTTTGAAGATTTTTGTAGTTCAAAATAAACGATTCCTTTCATATTCCAAAAGACCGACAGCATAACTTTCTTTCCGTGAAATTCTGGATGTGATGTCGGAATCGGCCTTTCTCCTTTGCTCAACCATTGTCTTTTGCGTGTTGAATTATTGAAATATATTCACTTTTCGTCCATCGTCAACATGCTTTCAAAAAAAGCACTGCCCGTAGCCTTTTTCAATAAAATCCGAGACAATAAAACTCGATTGGCTTTGTTTTCAGGGGACAATTCATGTGGGACCCATTGACCACAACGATTCCTTTTTCCAATAAGCGCAATGTGTCGTGAAATTGTGCTCGAATCACATTTAAAGTATTCGGCTAATTCGGACAAAGTTTGAGTTGGATCCAACTCGACAATCTCCAGCGACTCCGCATTATCGAAAACAACTGGACAATATCCATCTTCCAAGCCGCCATCCCCTTCACGAAAACGTCGAAACCGTTCCTGGCAAGTTCTTTCACTCAAAATGTTTCCTCCGAATGTTTCACAAAGATTCCCCTGCGACTTCGATGCTGATTTCTTCATTTTGAGGTCATAGAGAAGGCACGCTTGCAACATGAGTTTTTGATCCGTCATCTTCTACCGAAGATTATGCAATATTTAATGATAGCAATAGTTGTGAAAATAATTAAAATGAATAAGCAATAATAATACAATATAATACAATTTAAACCGGACCATCACACTTTCAAATAAAAAAAACTTTGGTCCTCGGAAGTAATCCGCAGTTTCTTTTGCAAGTCCCTAATATAAAGCAGAAGGAACGTCTGTCCGTCTGTGTGCAGCCATTGGCAAAAAGGGGCAGGGCTTAGATTGTGCGGAAAACGTGGATCTCCCCAGTGGAAAACGCAAACGTTAGTGAGCGTTTTTCGCTGGGAATATATACTTTATTTCAGTAATAAAGCGTAACAAAAATCTTCTAACTGACTCCTTTTTAGTCCTTGATAGCTTTGAAATCAAATATTTCTCACCTTTGGTCCTGGATCTGATGAATGAGCGACAGTGTTTGGTTGTACTGTATCGGAATCTCTTCTTATTTGGTGTGATGTTGTGGTTAGCTAGGTATTGAAGCATTTTTTTTTTCTACAATACATCAAAGCTTACCGTATGCTTGCTGACACCGAAATTGACGGATCGATGCACGGACGGGGTGATTGTGGTGAGTTGTCCCGGGAAAACCGTTGTCCAGCCTGAGTTTGTCGCCGAGCTGCTCTGAAATAGAATATGAAATAAATACTGAAAACTAGCCCTGCTTAACGAGTCCGAGCATAATTTTCAGACACTCTGCCATGCTCTTCGATTTTTTTACTGCCCAAGGCTTCTTCGAGCATGAAACCCAAGCTTCATTTTGATACTAAACATGGCTAGGTTCTGTTTTGTCATTCTTTAGATTTCGATCAATCTTTCGCCGGACTCGATCAGCTTAACGAGTCCAGAAAAGTTTTTGTCTAAAATGATCGAAATCTAAAGAATGGCAAAACAGAATCTAGCCATGTTTAGAATCAAAATGAAGCCTAGAATAAGGGCTTGCGGGGGAACTGGGTTTCATGCTCGAAAGAGCTATGGGCAGTAAAAAAATAGAAGAGCGAGAGAGACTGTCTGGAAATTTTGCCCGGACTCGTTAAGAAGGTCTACTGAAAACTGTAAATCTATTGTTATTAATTTTATTAACTTGTGGATGTTTGCCTTGAAGTTCAAATTCACAAACTTTACTCCCATCAGCTCCCTCGACACTCGCATTCAACTCGAGCAAAAAAAGAGCATTTTGTTTGATGACAGTCTCGGGTCGACAATCGATTTGCGCGGAAGAGAGACGAAACTCACGCCAGCTGAAATTTGAATAAGAAAAGGATATAGAAAAGGATTTATTTAAGATGAATGTGACACAAACAAATACTCAACTACTACCATAATACTCCTGAATTATTTTCAAATAATGTTTCAAAGAAATTGTAAAAAAGTTGTAAAAAAATTGTAAAAACTTCAAGTTAAACATCAACAAATTTTCCTTAATTCCCCTCACCGTCGACTTCTTTCCTGTTGATGTCCAGTAGGCGTTTGTTTGAGGTAACGAGCACGGCACGGAGGACACATTAAATACCTGGAATGAGAAAGAAAGCTTATCAGAGTGTTCAACTCTTATATCAATATTGATATTGAGATTTGATATTGACATATCAAATAGATCAAATAGATCAAATAGATCAAACATATCAAACAAATCAAACAAATCAAACAAATCAAACAAATCAAATTCGATAATGTTTTCCTCACCAAGTTGTATTCGATCGTCCCCCATCTCCACACAAACCCGCCCAACCAGATGTGTATTTTCCATTGGAGTTGAAGCCATGTCCCTGACAAGCACTCCCACAACCCGGATGCGACATTCGCATGTGAACTAAAGATTAAAAAACTAAAGATTCATAACAAATAGATTTCATTCGTTAATATATTTACATGAAAATTATGAATGAATGAAAAAGATTGAGAAAAAGATCTTTGAAGATTGAGACGCCGAATGGCTAAAGCCTACTTCAGTCACCGTAACTCAACCAAGATATTTAACACAAAATCCAGGCAAAGTGTTGCGAGTGTTGCGACACGGTGATTAGAGGCAATTTATCTTTACCTAGTTATTGAAAGATCGCCGTTTGGTTAATTTGGTGAAAAATTCTCTTCAAATTTCAACTTCTCTTCAGCAACCGTAACTCTCAATCACTTTACCCAGATGTTTAACACAAAATCCAAGTGATTAGAGGCAATTTACCTCTACCTATTTATTGAAATGTCACCGTTTAGCTGATTTGGTGAAAAATTCTCTTCAAATTTAAGGAATTAGAACTGATTCTCATTAGAATCAAATTTTCAGCATTTGTAGTATCAGCATTTGTAGTAATATCATGTTTTTAGATAAAGTTTTATGTAGAAATGACTAAAGTTTCTTTTTGTGCCATCTACAAATCAAAAGAACACTGTAAAAGAGTCAGGTGTTCTTGTTCTTGTCCACGTGCACAGTCGGTCGCCATCTGGCGAAACCTTTGGGGTTTATAAGGCTTCACTTTTTGGAATGCGTAGCGCGGTCAGCGACTGAGCCGATTTTGCTCACTATGCCCAAACTTTTGAGAGTAATTTTTGCCTTAAATTTAGCCTTAAATCTAGCCGTATTTCTCTACAAATTCGACAGCTTTTTAAAGCTTTTTAAAACCAGCTGAAACACTGAAGGCTTTCATCCTTTAACCCATTCGAAACTTCTGCAGCGAATAATCGCTGCAGCAAAAACTCAGGAACGGACCGCTTTGATTAATTAATCCGCTACTAAAATATTAATTAATTTGTCGTCGATAAAATAAGAATAATAATCGATAGGATTTTGAAAAGTACTGAAGTCAAATCCAAATCGTTCTTCATCAAAAATAAATGGTGTAGGAGACTCTCTTAAGTCTTTCCAACCATCTGGATAAACTGCTTCGGAGTCAAAAATGTCAAAAAAAAGGCTTGGTCCGCAGACGCAGAAAGAAAAAATGCTGCGGTTTCGAATGGGTTAATACCCAATAAATTATTTTGATAAATCGATTTCATTTATTCATTTCTCTATTAAACTTTATCAAAAACTAGATTAATATTTGGCAATAATTTTAGTGAAAATCTATTTTAATTCCCTTTAAACTATCAAGTATTGGGTTGATTTTTTTTCCTATCGTAAAAGTCCTTTCGGATTTTTTGGGAGAGTACCTTAAATTTGTCGAATTTTGACGTTTTATAGCTCATCCTAAAGCTGAATTCAAGACGGATCGATTGGTAAAAACCGTTTTGAGATATCTCTTTTCTAAAAGTTTTTACAGCTATTTTAGTAAAGGGACAAAAAATCCGAAAGGACTTTTCCACCAACCCAATACAACATTTTTTTTGAAATTTTTCTTCCAAACCAACCAGTGATCTGTGCTCGAGATCTTTCCTCGCACAGCTCACAAAGAATGCCCGGCTCTGATTGAAGAGTATCGAATTGCGAAGAAGCACCCCTAAAATCATTTTGAAAATTGAAAATTGAAAATGGAAAATACAAGGTTTCCCAAAAAAAAAGAGGCCTTTACAAAAAGGATTTTTTGAAAAAGTTTCGATTTTATTTCAGTAAAAATCCTTTTACAATAATAGAAATAACTCCTACTTTGAATGTCTCAATGCTGGAGGAGATGGAAGGATCAGATGTTGATGGATACTGTTTTGAATTGATGTGCAAACCTGGAAATGTGGAAATATTCCCATTGTCTATCCAATTCCTCGGCAAAAATCAATACCCATTTTGGCATTATAATTTTCATTTTCATACCTCTTTCCATAGTTTCACTAGCGGTTGCAATGGTGTTGGAGCCATGGAAATTGGAACGGATTGAGAACAAGGCCAGAGCTAAAGTTTTTCAAAAGTTATTGACTCGGGAATTAAAGTTGCTCCAAAAAAATGGATTCAGATTCTCTATCCTGCTTTCGATTACAAATTTTCAGCTGTCTGCAGCTAACAGAAACGACAGCCAAGCTAAAAATGACTTTGTCGTGAATGTATTAAAGTTCTTTTTACTATTGATGGCTTACTATTTTGTAATGAAATTTTAAAACAAACAACCAACAAAAGAAATAATAAAAAAACAATGTACAGCAATGTACAGGAATGCACAGCAATGTACAGCAAAGTACAGCAATGTACAGCAATGTACAGCAGTGTACAGCAATGTACAGCAGTGTACAGCAATGTACAGCAGTGTAGAGCAATGTACAGCAATGTACAGCAATCTACAGCAATCTACAGCAATCTACAACAGTGTACAGCAATGCACAGCAATCTACAGCAATCTACAGCAATCTACAGCAATCTACAGCAATCTACAAGCAATCTACAGCAATCTACAGCAATCTACAGCAATCTACAGCAATCTACAGCAAGGTACAGCAATCTGCAACAGTGTACAGCAATGCACAGCAATGTACAGCAGTTTCTCAATTAGGGTTTTCTTTTGTCAATTAATACCGACAATTTTGTAAGCTTTAAAAAAAATCAAAAGCTAAAAGACAATTTTAAAATCAAAAGCTCAAATAACCCGCTTGGGTAAGGATAAATGGCATTTTTTAAAAAGCTTTTTTTAACAATAAGAACATTGAACACATTACAATCTCTAATATCTTTGATTCACAAAGTTTTCAAATCTCTTTCATATTATTTGTACTCACATTGTGCAGATGTGTATGAAATTTGAGATAAGCCGCGGCGGCCATCGCATCTTTCACCAAATGCTCATGCCAGAGGAAAGCGGCGAAAACTGAAAATGAAAAGGTGAAACGAGAATTGAAGAAATGAAATTCTCAGGGCTCTTGAGGCTGCAACTGTCTGAAAATTGAAATCTAATAATATGTGAAGCAAAAGATCAATCGACGTTTATCAATGTTATCAATCAATTGACAATTGTTTATCTGAAACAATTGTTTATCTAAAACATTGAGCTTAAATTCTAACCATATTCTTTGATAACATTCTTTGATAGCTTAACTTTTCACTTTAAAAAATAAACACAAAACTTCTGAAAGTCTATGAGTCCTTTTTTTGAATGTTAACACTCACCCGTTCGACAACAATCGACAACTGAAGGCCGCAGAGCTTTCACCGAAGAGGCTGAGGATCTGAAGAATGATTTTCAGCTAAAACTTGCTATCCAAGTTCAGGATAAAGCCAGGATAAAGTCAAGATAATTGACTTTAATTGACTTTCTACTCTGGCTGGCTGGCCGGCTGGCTTACAACTGGCTTACAACGCTGAAACACATTCATTGTGATACCTTGTCTGTAATGGTCGACATTCTTTCGTCTCTTCATCATCGTTTCCATTTGAGCTTTGCACTTGTGAATGCACTGAGGATCGACCGCCGATATGATCCTGAAAGATTTCTATAGGTTTTTTTTCTACCGAGATTTATTCAAAGTTAATCCCACGGTTAGTTCAATGAAAGGTTTTTTCGTTTTAGAAATTCCAGTCACCTCCATTAAGTTTGTGTATAAATCTTTTACAATAAGAACTCCCAGACTTTGGAATCGATTCCCCAGAGTTTTGAGAGAGTCCAATAGTCTCGAAACATTTAAATTATCTGTAGATGATCTTGTTCTTGAAGCTCTAGTGGATTCTTGACGTTATCTGTACTACCCATATATTATATAAATTATATCGTGTTGCTTTTTATCGGTCCCTTTTCGTGTTATGTGTATGAATTCATGTGTATTTATCTTAAATATCTTGCGCGCTTTATTTCATGCCCTGTATCTATCAAACGCAACCCATCAGGCGCTCGTTTAAAGAACATTTTTCGAACATAAGGGAGTAAAAGGTTCCCCAATTTAATAACTTGATTAAAAAAGAAGTTGTGGAAGCTAGAAACGGAAACGGAAGGTTAGCGGTTGGAAACGGAAAGGTTGGTGTATGAGAAAGGGCCTTCTTCTGGAGGCGCCCCGTAGAGAGCCGAATTCAAAGAGACCAGAAAAAAGGGGTCGGGATGAATGCCTTTAACAATTATCTGTAGATCATCTTGTTCTTGAAGCTCTAGTGGATTCTTGACGTTATCTGTACTACCCATATATTATATAAATTATATCGTGTTGCTTTTTATCGGTCCCTTTTCGTGTTTATGTGTATGAATTCATTTGTATTCATTTTAAATATCTTGCGCGCTTTATTTCATGTCCTGAATAAAGTATCTATCATAAATCTTTCTATAGATTATTCAAAAAATAAACCTCAGCCAAAATGAAGCGCTTCGTGTGCGCTAAACGAATCCACACACCCTGTCCATTGTGAATCCATCCATCGGTGAGCAGCTCTCTTCTACCTGTAAAAGAAACAACGAAAAGTTAAATCGTGAAACAGTTAATAGGACTTTTAAATGTTTAGTTTAATAATGAATTCTGTTTTTTTTAAACTTTCAAATTTTCAAATTTTCAAATTTTCAAACCTTCTAAAAATTCTCCATCAATCGCCGAGTCTAATGCCGGTTTTTGATAGAGATCCACTCGATCGCCGTCCTCCAAAACGTACATCTGAAAAAATTATAGCTGAAATATATGGGCTAGCTTTGGATATTTATATTTTTTGTAATACGAGGCATAATCAGTTGCCATTTGTCGATCTACTTGGAAAATCTTCAAATTAATCACTAAGATTCGAGATTAAAACTGGATTAAAACTGGTTAGCTTGAAGGAAAGTGAAAAATATTACTTGAAAATATATTTTAGCTTAACAGATAGTGCAAGTTAACAATGAGAAATGAAAATAATTGCAAAAATCTCGGTTTAAACCTCTTGTGTCTCGATGAGCACACTCTGTTCCCCGGCTCTCTCCATCGATTTTTGCATCTCAACACTTTCGCCACGAGAGAATTCTTCTCGTGGTGAGCGGGCTAAAACATTATCGTTGATAACTAGTTAAATTCAGCTTCAGAGTGAGTTCTTGCTAACTAGAAAAAGGCATCAGATCAAGGTGACCTTTTTGATGTGATACAGCTTTGAATGGGGGTTCCGAATCCGCTTTTAGTTCTTCCAATGGAGCTCTTTATCGCAAGATATCTTGCTTTCAAGTTTAGGTCAATTTTCGAAGCTGTCGAAGCTGTTAGAGGTCTTATTTTACTCGCAGGTTGTAAGTAGTGGATAGTGCGAGTGCTCACAAGTTTTTTGTGCTCTTTCGAATCCCCTCTATGTTAATCCTTTTTTGTTTTCTAGTTAAATGATCAAAAAGTATTTCAACGCGTTGTTGGAGCGTGAACGCGAGGAGCGAAAAAAGTTGGAGCTGACCGAACCAGGGTTCTTCTGGCTTCTTCTGGCTTCTTCTGACTTCTTCTGGCTTCTTCTGGCTGAATGCCGCCGACTTACCTCTAGATCACAGCTGCTATCATACAGTGTGGGGAATTTCGCTGAAATACTGTCGGATTCCGGGTCTTAAACTTTGATGCCAGATATCTTGCGATACAGAGCACCATTGGAAAAATTAAAAGCGGATTCGGAATCTCCATTTAAAGCTCTATTAAATACACTGAGTGCGCATCAAAAAGCAAACAAAAAGGCCACCTTTCCCTAATAAAAGCCAAAAATTTTGACTTCATGTACTTTACCTGCTGAATTCTCCAATTTGATCAGCTCTCGGTCGAGAGCTTTGTGAAATTGGAGACACCAAGCCTAAAAACAATGCTTAAGTTATCGGTTGATTGTCTTTTTGTTACGGGAAACGTTGATCAATCAGTTCAATGGTCAACCTGTGCCGGGAAATGTGTTTCTGCGTGCAAGGCGCTCGTCTCTTCCGTTAATCTCAACCATTTCCCATCTCCATTCTCGACTTCTTCAATAAAGGAGAGACTTGCTCCTAAAGAATCAAAAAGAATCAAAATTGTTTAAGAAGAAAGTGTTCAAAAATTTTATATTCGCATCACAATTTTAAAGTTTTAACCAAATTGTCACCTCTTGGCAGAAATCCGATCACTTGCGCGCTAAGCGAAGGGGAATTTCGAATGCGCACCGCTTGGAATGGAGCTGTCGCTTGGATTGAGGCGAGTTGAGCTCTGGAAATGGATTTTGATTCGAATTATTGTTTATCGAACTCTTCAAACCTGCTCAATTGTGCTACGCGATGTTTTCCCCGTTTTCCTTCTGAAAGCTCGCCATTTTCGACCACCTAAAATGACAGTAACGACTACGCAGCTGTACGCTTAAAATGTTGCACAAAAGCCGCTCAAAAGCTGCTCAAAATGCTCAAAATGAATCAAAAAGAGTTCAACATTTCTACCTCAACCGTGTAGCATTGTGGCACTTGAAATCCATCAACTCGACATTCGACTCGATATGTTCCTTGTTGTCTTGGAATCCATTCACCGCAGAAACTAAAGTAAACAAGCTTTAAATGTTCTAATCTTCTGGAACCATAGAAATCCCACTGAAACATATTCTTTTGTGCCTTAAAATCCCACCTGAACGCATTCTTTTGTGTCATCACAATGGTTTCCTTTGCAATGGCGTCTCGAAAGAAACCAAGACTGCAAATATTTTGATTGATATTTCATTTTACTCATTCTTTAACTCTATAGCTCTATACTTTAATAGACTTCGTGCGAGGCGCTAGCCGCTAGCCGAAGCCTAAGCCTAAGCCAGCCTAAGCCAGCCTAAGCCTAAGCCTAAGCCAGCCTAAGCCAGCCTAAGCCAGCCTAAGCCTAAGCCTAAGCCTAAGCCTTTATTTTCTCTTTCAACTCACCGTAACTCTTCATTACTGTAATTTGAATAGACGGGCATCATACAGATCGACATATATCTCGCTTTATTCAAGTAGACTGGTTGAAAGGGATTCTGAAAAAGAAATGAAAAGAAATGAAATGTTGAAAACTGAAAAGTTTATCATGTTTTATTTATAAGTCACTGAAATTTACTCAAAATTTCAAATTTACTTGTTTATATTGAAACTAGGCATTTTGGATTGGAAAATATGCAAAAACAATAAAACCGTAATGCAATTTAGCACTCACTTGTACCATCATTTGTAGGGTGGGCAAATTGTCGAGCGTTCGAATCGATTCACCCCTCGTCGAGTCATTCGCGCCACCCATTTGCACGGTCACCTAAATTTATCTACTGTGTTCGTTTTGGATTTACTGTGAATGTCCGATTTCGATTAAGTTTCATAAATTCTCATTGGAATCCATCTGATTTAAGTTTCAAACTAGACTTTTGTTATTTTCCGTGACTTTTTTTTTACGGCATAGGCTGGAAAACAAAAAAAAAAGTAATATTGAATTTTTTCATCATTATACTATTACTTTTCGATAAAATTAGGATAGCATTGAAAACTGGAAATCTATATTGATCTATATTGACTGGGGATTGATTGATGAACAGATTTCCCAAGTCAAACCGCAACTTTGGCTTGCCTGGGTTTTGACTTTTGCTTTAATATTTGATATTTTTACTCACCTCAACGCTCAACTCACTGCACTGCGCCACTCGGGCCAATTGGTCACGCACGACGAATTTGATCTGAAACGATTTCATTTCATTGCTAAAAATGAATAATAAAAGAACGAAATTCAACAATTCTATGCAACAATTCTAAGCTTTTTTTTGTCTCCCTTACCGTATTCCTCGATCCAACACTCAATTGTTCATCTCCCATCACCAATTGACAGCCAGAGAGATCGACGATTGGACCTAATGGAAGCCATCTAAAACAAAAAGAATCAGATTCAGTTTCAATATTGAAAAGCTTGAAGTGTCTAAAATCCTTGAAGTGTCTAAACTTCTTTATTTCTGAAATTGTGATTAACTTATTTATATTCACTCACCTAGCCTTTTTATATTTTATATTTATATCCACTCACCTAGCCAACAATCCAGCGACAGTTGCCGGTGAACCCGAAATGAATTCTCTCAAGAAACGGAGATCTGAACGGGGAAAAGTTAGAAGTCAAAATTGGGAATTGGCTAGGAGACAATTCGAACCCAAGCAAGAAAACTTTATAGGTTCTATAGACTAGCGCTAGACTAGCGCTAGACTAGCCATATGCGCTAGACTAGCGCCTTATGCGCTAGACTAGCCCTATGCGCTAGACTAGCCCTATGCGCTAGACTAGCGCCCTATGCGCTAGACGTAGCGTAGCCGACGGACATCGGCCTTATGACCGCCTCATAAAGACTCCGAAATTTGAAATTCAAGCGAATTTTCTATACCAGATTGCTCTATAAGGGTTTATTAAGGCTATTCCACTCTCTTCTTACCCAGAGCCTTTTATAGATTCATAAAAACTAAGAAACAGTCAAGATAACGGTAAAAACATGTTATTCTAGCGCTTAAGATTTATTCAATCTAAATCGAACACAATATGTTCAAGAGAAATGTCTGTCCGTCCGTTTGTCTGTCGAGTTTGTCTGTCACAGTCAAGTCTTTAACACATTGCAATGTGTAAAAGAGGAAATGTTTGTCCGTCCGTCGTCCGAGTTTGCAGTTAATTTTTTAATTTTAATTTTTGCAGATCAGCAATCAGCATTTCCGATTCTAAAAGACCTTAGCTCGAATTGATTTTCAACTTTAAGCTAAGACCATTCCCTTTATTCTTAAAGATTTTCCTCACCACTTGTGAGTGTCGGTGGTGGAAGACTTCTTGATAAAAGCTCGTGCGCTGTTGGGATGTGAGAGACGTTTAAACCCTAGAAATTTTAAGTTGCAACAGTAAAGTTGAACCGATTGGAAAGTAGTGCTTAACACATTCGGAAAAACGGTTTTTTTTCGCGTGATCGCGTAGTCGTTAACTCTTTTTACTGATAATTTGATGAAAATTCAAAAATAATTCAAGCTATTACAGTCATTCGATAGCCTTGAATCTTCTCTTTAAACTAGTAAAAAAAGTTATCGAACTTTCTGCGAACTAAATAAGAAAATAGGAGTTTCTGAGTTCGGAGACCCTTCCAAATTCCGTGGTGAGTCTCGGAGTTTGGGGACTTTTCTATTTTACTCTATAACTCGACTTCCAATTATCGGGTCGATTTGGGGTTGGTTTTAAAAGAATCCTTATGAAATTTGGTTTAGAAAAGTGCAATTTACTTAGTACACTCCAGTGGAAGAACATAGAGAAAATTCGAGTCAAAGTTGAAAAAGTTGAACTACCTACCTGAAAAGGCTGATCAACTTGGATGGTCTATAACTCGAGTTATAGAAATGAAATCAACTTATGATTGGTTTTATTGGAATCTCCATTAAATTTGGTTATAGAAAAGTAAAATTCGTTTTGTAGATTTACCGATAAAAATATAGAGAAAATTAGTGTCAAAGTTGACCTTCCAGATAGGAGTCTCTGAGTCTGGGGACTTTTCTATTTTACTCTATAACTCGACTTCCAATTATCGAATCGACTTGTGGTTGGTTTTAAAAGGATCCTTATGAAATTTGGTTATAGAAAAGTACAATTTATTTGGTACAAATTTGAGTTTTTACACTAAAAATAATCGTCATTAGTGCAACAAACGGTGGACTTTATCGTCCAGAATATGTTTTAAACTCAAAATTCTTTTACCTTTCTCAACAATTGTCCGTGTTTTTCCATCAAATCTCTCGTTTCTTCTTCTTCAATCAAAATTTGTGAGAGAGCTTCGGGATCGTTTGGAAGCTAAAGAAAAAAGATTCATTCAAAAATCAAAATTTCCAATAAGCTTACCAAATCTGAATTGATTCTTATTTTTTAATCTTATTCTCTAAAAGTTTTACGTAACGAGAAGGAAAGCCAAAGAATTGCTTTCAAGTTTGAGGGCACTTAACAAATCTTGTCACAATATTTTATTTTCAAGATCCTTGATCCAAAATAATAACAACTCGAGTCGGCTTTAATTAAGATGCCGTTGATTTACATTCTTAAAGCTTTACTGACTTTTTTCTGTTTTTTTTCTCGTTGTTTGATTATATTTTATATTATTATACAAAAACTTCGTTTTGTATTTTGTAATTTTAGGAATGGCCAAGAAATCTGCTCATCGAGATTTGATCTTAGTCTTCTTACAACCGACACAATTGCACAATTGCACAATTGGATTGAATTGCAATTGGACCGACATCGCCAAGCGATTGAAGATCAACAAGACCGTTGTTTATCGAACGATTCAAAGGTTTAAAGTCTTGGAAATGAAATGGAAATGAATGAGGATCGGATTGGAAGAGATCGGATTCGAAGAGATCGGATTCGAAGAGATCGGATTGGAAGAGATCGGATTGGAAGAGATCGGATTCGAAGAGATCGGATTGGAAGAGATCGGATTCGAAGAGATCGGATTGGAAGAGATCGGATTGGAAGAGATCGGATTGGAAGAGATCGGATTCGAAGAGATCGGATTGGAAGAGATCGGATTCGAAGAGATCGGATTGGAAGAGATCGGATTGGAAGAGATCGGATTGGAAGAGATCGGATTGGAAGAGATCGGATTCGAAGAGATCGGATTGGAAGAGATCGGATTGGAAGAGATCGGATTCGAAGAGATCGGATTGGAAGAGATCGGATTGGAAGAGATCGGATTCGAAGAGATCGGATTCGAAGAGATCGGATTCGAAGAGATCGGATTGGAAGAGATCGGATTCGAAGAGATCGGATTCGAAGAGATCGGATTGGAAGGTTTAAAGTCTTGGAAATGAAATGGAAATGAATGAGGATCGGATTGGAAGAGATCGGATTGGAAGAGATCGGATTGGAAGAGATCGGATTGGAAGAGATCGGATTGGAAGAGATCGGATTCGAAGAGATCGGATTCGAAGAGATCGGATTGGAAGAGATCGGATTGGAAGAGATCGGAATGATTTTCCGAAACGATTCAATGCATTAACGCCCAATGCTCTCACTTTAAGCTTGATTGATTTTTTTGTTGAAAAATGAGTTATTGTTTTTGTTATTGTTGTTATTGTTATTGTTATTTTATCAGTGGTTTAATGATTTTAAAATTGGCTGAACTTGAAATTGAAATTGGCTGAACCCAGCAAATACCGAGTTGCTATAATTTTAAATCACTCTAGATTCTAGAATTCTAGATATTTTGCGGTTATAAACAAAATCACTTTCACCTCAACCAATATCCGGCAAACATTCGCCGAAATCCACGCCAATTCCTGTTCGATTTGGAGATTTGATGGCTCGTCGATTGATGGATAGCCGGTGATCGTGCAACGGAAACCGTACATCTGAAAGAGAAGTGAGAAATTGCAATTGTGGTGATTGTAACGTTTGATTTTCAACATTCAAATCCAATCCTTGTTCTCGTACCTGTTCTTCCGTATTTCCATCAACTCTCGCGCCACTCTCCAAGACAAACCACAGGGTATTCCCGGGTAAAAGAAGTGGACGATTCGGCCAGCCACGAGAACCACAAAATCTAGAAAAGAAAGTTCTTATGAACGTAGAAAAAAGAGAAATTGAAGTAATTTCTTTTCTTCAAGACTGATTTTTTTCACAAGTAAAAGGTAAAACTAGAAAGGTTTTTTAAAAAAAGTCGTGAAAACCCAAGTTTGAGTCTCTCTAGCTCGCTCGACAAGCTTTAAATCGAATTTTTAGTTTATGTTTCCTATGTAAACGATATGAAGAATCGATTGGCGGTGGTTAGAAGTTTCCCGGATAACGGTTAAGAGCTAAAAGGCTAAAAGCTCTCTCATAAATACCCAAATCGTGGCTCTGAGTCAAAAAAATGTGGGTTTGGGAAAAAGATAAAATTAAGGATGAAAAACAGAGAAAGGAAAAGAAAAGCAGTAAGAAAAGGCTATAGAAACCCACGGATTTATAGCTTTCAGCTTATAAATAGGGAATTCTAGATATTTTGTGGTTTAATGGCTTTTCGAAACTCGTAAACCTTCCAATCGGTACATAGCATTCCCGATCGACACAAATGTACACAGTGAGAACGTCGTCCGCCTGAATTATTATTTCATAAAGTTGCAAATTTCTTTAAAATATTAGACTACAATTCTATTCAAGCTTTACAGGGTGCGTCATAATTATTGCAACAAGATACTCAAGGCATTGCACACCAAGAAGTTTCACTGGAAGAAGATTTTTAAACAGAAATAGCTTTATTTAACAGTAACAAATAAGGAAACAAGAGATCATTCGATATGACCGCCTTTTGCCTTGATAACAGCCCTTAATCGGTTCGGATATGCCTCCACTGCGGCCCGAATGTCATCTTGAGGAGTCGCCTTCCATCCTTTGGTCAAAGACGTCTTCAAAGAATCCAAACTTGTGTGTTTTCGAGAGCAGACATTAGCCTCTAAGATTGCCCAAATGGAAAAGTCCATCACATTGAGATCCGGTGAGTTTGGAGGCCATTCATCCTTGGTGATCACTGAGGGAAAGTTGGCGACACACCAGTCCTGAACCGTCTTCTTCGTGTGAGCGGGAGGCAATTAGGCAAGAATAAAAAAGATAGAACGCAACACAACAAAAAAAGGAGGCAAAAAAATAAGAAAGCTGTTTGGAAAACGGTCTTTGAACTCTTGTTGCAATAATTATGACGCACCCTGTATTTCCAAATATAAACAATAAAATATGGATTACTTGTGCAGTTTGGCATTCCTCGGAGAACATCAAGCACATCAATGTGATCTCTTTCTCTAGGGTTATCGTCTGAAAATTGTTAATGTTCGATGTACATTGTTACTCTAAAATTTATCATAGAATCTCATAGAATCTCATAGAAACTTATTTTATTTATATTATTTATTTAAATGAATGAATTTCTTTGAAAACTGACGATCGACTGGACGAAATTCGGCTTGTATGGATGTGGAGATTCGACGATCGTTTGCTTTGTTTTTCGGATTTCTTCAGAATAACTGAAAAGGCGCAAAACATTAGTTTATTAATATATTTTAATAATTTATAAAACAATCCTTTTCCAATTCTATCACCAATTCTAATCACCTTGAAAGAACGGGACTGACTGGAGAGTTGACTTTTGAAGCCGCGTTCACACTAGAGATCATCGGCAACAATTGATCGATTGTTGAGACTACCTAAAAGCAAAGCAAAGTTTATTTTGATTCTTTGAAAGGATTATATTTATTTTATTTCATTCAAAACACTCACTTCAAGTGCTTTTTGTGGATTTGATTGAAGAAAAACCATAATGAGACCCGAGAGTTTTCCGATGAGATTTCGAGCTGCCGATGAGACTGACAAGGGAACGATCATTGGGTCTCGTCGTCTTTTCCGATCAGATATAGACGTAGAATTTTACGCTGATTTCAATGATGTAAAAATTAGCTGTGAAATGGCGCGTAATCACCGCCAAACTGGCATCAAAGTTTTGAACCTCTCCTTTTAAACCGTGTTTTAAACAAAAACCGTTGATCGGTGGCGGAGTGTTTGATTGCTTGTACAGCAAGCTGGGGGTCAAGAGTTCGAACCCGACTCGTCTCATTCTTTTGCTTTTTGCTACGTTCTTTTGTGTTCTTTGTGGGTTCACATAATGAAAGAAAAAAAAGCAAAAACATGAGACGAGCCGGGACCGAACTCTCGAGCTTCAGCTTGATGTACAAGCTCCCAACCACTCGGTCAACTCGGTCAATCGGCTTTCAGTCTGTAACAAAACATAGTGTTGAGAACTAATATTAGGTTAAGTACTAAGTCTTTCACCCAAATTCATTTTCTAATTGAATAAGTCTCAAGCTACCAAATGAAAAACGGTTTTTCTCATTTGATAGCCCAATCATTCCTCTTGAATTTCTCAATCTTTCTCTTGCAAATCTTTGCTACGTTCTTTTGTGGGTTCACATAATGAATTGAAAAAAAAGCAAAAAAATGCGACGGGCTGGGTTCGAATTCTCGACCCCCAGCTTGCTGTACAAGCTCTCAACCACTCGACCAACGATGAACGGTTTAGCTTCAAAAAAATCGACTTAAAAGGAGAGTCTCAAAACTTTGATGCCAGTTTGGCGGTGTTTACGCGCCATTTCGCAGCTAATTTTTACATCATTGAAATGAGCGTCAAATTTTGCGTGGAATAGTTTATAAATCATCGGAAAAGATCCCAGGACTCAATCATCCTTTCCTTACGAGAAAATAGATCTGTTTCAATGGTTTTAAGACGAAAAAAAGAAAGAAATTTAATCTTTATATATTGAGACGATAATTTATGCGAAAATATTATTCCAGACTTTCCAGAAAGTTTTTTCGTTTCTTTTCGTTTCTTTTCTTTAAAGGACTAACCCTTTAAATCAAATTTTTTATATCAACTTACCATGTTTTGAGATAGATTCAAATTTGGAATAGAAAAAACAGTTTCAAAGTAATCAAGTTTCAATCTAGATTCTGTTTCCGTAATTTGATAAACTGACTTGCACTTTTAATGCAGATTTTATACAGTTGGAATCAGTGGCACGGCAAAAACTTGTGCACCGCCGGGTGCTCGAACCCCCGAGCTTTCGCCTACCGGACAATTGTGCTAACCACCACACCATAAGGCCCATGGTACCCCCCCGCTCCGAAGGGAGTTAACTCACTTACTGGTGCTCATTTTCTGTAAAATTAAGTAATTTTTTATCTTTTAAAATTCAAAATGCATTTCTAATTTGAATCAAGAAAATTTATGAGTAATGACCGTGAGAAATCGAACCCCAAGATACCCCAAGGATCAAATTTGCCTATTGCTAATTTGCCTATTGCTATTGCTATTGCTTGCTATTGCTTATTGCTTGATATTGCCTATGCCTAAAGCTCTTTTTCCCATCCCTTTTCGCTTGAATATCTTAATCTCAATTAACTTCTTAATCTAATCGCCAAAAACAGATCAATTGCTAACCCTTTGACCTTTTTTTTGCCTTTAAATGATCATTTAATTCCCCTTTCCCCTTCACTTCTCACCATCTCCTATCGCGAGACATTCACTGATCTTCGTTGATAACAGTCTCATCAACGCCACAAACCATCGACTCAACTAAATATTAAATTGGTGATCTTTTTTTTTATGAATTTCTGAGGTTTTGATTTTTATTTGATCTCTTATCGTTTTAGCATTAAATTTAAATCAATTTGATCCACTTCTAATGGCCGATTCGGTGAATTTGATTCATTTTCAATAGAAACTATTCTATTATTTGTTTTCTTGAAGAAATAGGAACTAAAACAAGAAAATAGGCATTAAGGATAGTATTTTGTTTGATTGAAAAATCGGCTTTTTTTTGCCACTTTTCAATCATTTTGTTCTAAGCGCTGGTTAATGATAAAAATATGTTTTATATCCCAAAAAATTACCCATTCTCTCTACTTTAATTTGATACCAAAGCGAGCAAAAGCAAATGTCTGCGCGCCGAGATATGAGCGGTTCTTTGAGTGTAGACTTAGACTACGCGACGCTCCTATAGAGGGCCGTTCTATTAGAGTTTTTAGGGTAGATTTTAGATTATATTTTACCGGGATATGATCTTTTTTCAAAAAAGGCAAAATCGGCCTTGAATCCTATCACCTCTTGCAAAGGAGCTTATTTTTAAAATTTCCGTTCAATCGAAAAACTTATCTGCTGAGAATTTCAACGAAAAATCTCCGGGAAAAGTTTTTCTTTTTTTCTATAGTTAAAAAGAAAGAGAAGAGTTATCAATCAGAGTCCATTTGCTTTTTTTTCTTTTTTTGAAACACTCAAGAGACTCAGAGAACGGCGAGACTCATTTATAGGCGATGTTTTTGTCAGCTGTTGTAGGGGAATTGGGAAGGGGTGGTCTTGAGAGATACTGGAGGGGTCAATCGACTCAAAATTGTCTGATCAATGCTCCCCTTTCTTCACTCCCAATCGGGTGATCTGATAAGTCTTTCTCTAATCTTTCTCTTTATCTTTCTCTAACAATGCTCTTATTATTAGATTTGTTGACATTTTCTTAACGTTAAAATCTTTGAACATGATTTCTTGTTCAATTCAATGAAGTTGATTTTCGTGGACGAACTCTTGGAGTCTTTCTCTTGTCTTTGTCTTGTTTTTCTCTTGTTTTTCTCTTGTTTTTCTCTTGTTTTTCTCTTGTTTTTCTCTTGAAAACGATTTCTAAACGGTGATACAGGCCATAGCTTTCCCAACTTCGTAGCAAATTAGAATCTACTATATATAATTGAGAGCTGTCTGTCTGCCCGTCTGTCTGTCCCTCTGTCTGCCCGTCTGTCTGTCCCTCTGTCTGCCCGTCTGTCTGTCCGTCCGCCTGTCCGTCCGTCTGTACTCAACTTTTATCTCGAGAACCGGAGAAGCTAGAGCTTCAAAAACAACACCCTTATAGGTTCTTGAGGTCGCGGATTTCCCCGTTGAAGCCTTTTTTTTTCTACGGGCAACGGAAACAGTAGTATGACGTACTCCGACCCTAGATCTCAGCCCCCAGGGTACCGATTTTCATGGTTAATATATCATTTTGTAGGAAATTTAAAACTAGAATAATTTCGATGGGTGCCAGGACAATTTCTCCATGCGACCGCGTAGTGAACGCCCAGCGCAGCTAGTTTAGTACTTCAGAGAGAGACATAGAGATATAGAGATCTTTTTTAAGTCTTAAAACTACTGTACCCCAGCCTTGTCTCTAGTTCGTTTGATATTTTCAAAAGTTTTTGTTGTAACTATTTAGCTATAAAAACAGTTTATTATAATCTATAACGGTTTTGCTAATATTTTCGAAATATTTTTGAAGCTCTACGACCTTTCCTAAGGCCTTTTCCAGCAAAAAAAAAGGTCGCATTTGTCCCACCCCCAATTTCTCAGCTAATTTAATTGAGAATTTCTTTAATAATTTACTTCTTCAAGTTTTCTATCAAAAAGAAATCAATTCAATTTCCTTTCTGCTTTTTTATTAATTTCATTTTAAACTTTACGTCACAAGCTAAATGCTAAAGCTAAATGCAAGAAATTTTAGGTAAATCTGGGAAAAGTCTCTCGGCGACAAATTCTTCGATCTTTTCTTTAATCGATCTATTATTTATTCAAATTTGATCTCATCATTGCCATAAAAAAAAAGAGAGAAATGGAATTCGCTGGGAAAAACTTTTTTCTGGACAAAGATGGAGAGCTTGCTTTGTGGTTTGAACAGTCGTTTCTCTGTGCGACTTTCATTGCAACGACTTGGATTCTTTCAACAATGTACTCAATTCCTGTATAGTGAAGTAGAGTGAATAAAATATTGAAGGAAATGTTGAAGAAAATATTGAAAAAAATACAGAAAATACTGCCTATGAAAGCGCATCAGATTGAAGCAGAAAGGTTTTACAAACTCTGAGCTTTACTAGATTTTTTAAAGCTTAGAAATCTTAGAAAGAAATCTTAGCCAAAAGAATTTGTTTTTTTTTTGTAAAAAAACCTGTTCCGGATCGTTTTTTGCTGTTGTTGTCGGCTGTTTTTGTGGATCGTTTAGCGAATAAAGAAGAAAAGGAATCTGAAGAATGAATTCGAGAAGAATGAATGAATTTTATTGAAGGAATGAAAGAATGGAATGAAAGATTCTTTCTTTAGTGAGTTGATTAGTTAACTTGATTAGCTCTTTAGTGAGTTGATTAGCTAAAGTGATTAGCTCTTTAGTGAGTTGATTAGCTAAAGTGATTAGCTCTTTAGTGAGTTGATTAGTTAAATTGATTAGCTCTTTAGTGAGTTGCTTAGTTAAATTGATTAGCTCTTTAGTGAGTTGATTAGCTAAAGTGATTAGCTAAATTTTCTAAGTTCAATTTTAATAGCCAGTTTTTTTTGTTGATTTTGATTTTGATTCGAAACCTGTCCTCTTGTCAACGACGTCCCATTCTCACTCAACGTGCAATTGTTGAACACTAATCGAGCGCCATTTGAAAGACGCACAAAATTCATGCCTCCTAAATTGTGTAAGCTTTCTTTCTTTTCATAAAATTAAAATTAATGCTTTGGGTTATAAAAAGGTCCATTTGAATTTAAAAAAAATAACCTTTTGATATCAAAAAAGTACAGTAGAAATTGGTTTATTCAATAAAAGTTGAACCTCACCATATTTTAAACTTTTAAACTTTAATTTTAAAATAAAATTCATTTATATGTTGTGTTCATGATACAATTATTGATTGAAAGTAGGAGAAAAGTTGTTAACAACTTCAGTCCTTCGTTTCAAGTGCTGCAGATCCCCCTGTAACGAGTCCGCGCGCCATTTCTCCTACTTTCAATCAATAAATGTTTGATGCAGCTTCACTATGTCAACTCCGAGCCAAACTGATATTTAAGTTACTATTGTTATTATTGAATGATTTGCTTATTCTTATTAAAAAGACTTTAAAAGATTTTTTGAATTGAAAACAGGTTCAAATAGGTGAGAGATGACAGTTAGATGACAGTTTCCCTCTAGTGCACTACAATGTTTCTTTGAGGAACTAGATAGCTCTGTTTAAGATGGTTTAGGTGTAGAAATGCTCTCAAGAATTTCAGCTTCAAAATACTATATAGTAAGCCGAATTTCGATTTGGGTTTTAGTTGAAAAAGGAAGTTTCTTTTCTAAAGGAAGCTTCTTTGTAAAGGAAGTTTCTTTTGTGTTTTGATCACCTAGTAGAATTGCACCGCCTTTTACAGTAATCTTGTAATCCATCATCTATATTTTAATTTCATTAACTCTTACCTTCACCACCAAAAGTTTTTGTTCCGCCTTGTGTGGAGACTTTTATGGCGTAAACAGTGCCTGGTTGCAAGCGAACGGGTTTCGAAAATCTGAAAAGAAACTTTTTGAAAAGAAACCTGAACCAATAGAATAGAAACCAAAAAATGTCACTATTAAACTATCAAAAAAACTACCGTAATCTGCTCTTAGCTCTTACAAATTCCATCAATTTCAAATTCAAATTCAAATTCAAATCTTTACACAAAGATGCCAAGTACTCACTTGCAAATGATATTCTCTTTTCCCTCTTCTGTCGGCGGGATGATTATTGTGGTCATTTCGAGGCGATTCCATTCCATTTCTTGTGAGGAAACTTGATGAAGAAGAACCTGGAAAGTGCTTTTTCTTGTTTTTTAAAAAAAATGAATGATTCTTTAAAGAACATTTTCCTGTAAATCTTCTCACCTCAACAGTGGCTGTCATTTCAGCGGAATTCCCTGTGTATATCCCAACTCCATCCAGAGTCACTCCAATGATATCAGTTCTAAAAGTTCTTTTTATCGAACCTTTTAAAAACTTAGCTATTCAACAGCTTAATAAGAAAAAAAACGAAAACTTTTAATCCTGTAAAGTGAGTTTCAATTTAATCAACTTAAATCAACTTTTTTTTGCCAATTCCTTCATTTCTTTATTACAAATACAGTTTCTGATTTTCAATTGCTCATGGTTCCATCTTTCTTCCTTTCTTTCTTTCTTTCTTTCTTTCTTTCTTTCTTTCTTTCTTTCTTCTTCCTCCTTTTCTTCCCCTTTTTCTCTTGACAAGTTAAGAGACCGAATAGCTCACTGGTTAAAGCAATTGCCTGGAAAGTAGAGGTTAAAGCAAGAGGTTCAATCTCCTCTCCGGAAATCTACTTCTTCTTGCTAATTCCTTTACTTCTTTATTAAAGTTCTTCACAATACCAGGAAATTGCTAATGACAATTGCTTGGGGAAAATTTACCGAAAACATATTGCATCTGGGGCTCCTGAAGAGAGATCCCAATTCGGGTGAGCGGATCGACGACGAAATCTGCAATACTTACTCAATAATTGAATACCAGATCCTAATCTTTTCAAGGATTTTTCTTTAGTTAAACTTGTCTTAGTTAAACTTTCTTTAGTTAAAAAAGACAAGTGTCTGTCTGTTTGTCCGTCACACGCATTTTTCTCAACACCTAGAGCGAATTTCGGAGTGTGCATTGAAAAAGCGTTTTCATCAGAAAGAATTTATCTTCTTTTTACTTTTTTAAAACCTAATCTTTATCTTTGCTAAATAAAAAAACGTAAAAAAAAACGCACTTTCAAAAGCATTCTTTCAGTATACGCTAGATTATCCATTCTTTAGAATTCAGAATTGTCATTAGCAAGTTTCGAGTTTGAGCCTTAAATTTTATCCCTCTTTTAATGAGATTTTCAATTAGAAATTCCCAATCCACATTCTACAGGGTGCGCCAAAAGTTTCCGTACTTGTATTTTCTGCATTTTTGGTAATTTTAGATAAAAGATACGATTTTAAAAGTAAGAAATTTGAATTCCTCGCGAAAAACTGATTTAGAAAACGTTTCTGGTTAATTTATAAGTGCAACGCTATTTAAGACAAGTGATTTAGAAGAGGGTCCGCTCAGGAGTGCTTTGGTCGCACAGTTACAGGGCACAGTTACAGGGCACAGTTACAGGGCACAGTTACAGGGCACAGCTACAGGGCACAGCTACAGGGCACAGCTACAGGGCACAGCTACAGGGCACAGTTACAGGGCACAGTTACAGGGCACAGCTACAGGGCACAGTTACAGTTATTTCCTTTGATGGAAATTTGTGCGACCAAAGCACTCCTGAGCGAACCCTCTTCTCAATCACTTGTCTTAAATAGTGTTGCACTTATAAATTAACCAGAAACGTTTTCTAAATCAGTTTTTCGCGAGGAATTCAAATTTCTTACTTTTAAAATCGTATCTTTTATCTAAAAATTACCAAAAATGCAGAAAATACAAGTACGAAAACTTTTGGCGCACCCTGTATTTACCAAGCTCAGATTGAGACTTTAGAAATTGAGTTGCTTCGTCGCTAAACAAATGAAAAATTTCCTTTCAAAAGAAATAATCTTGTTGTCAAATTTTAATTGATGTTTCCCCTGACCTTGACGGTGTTTGCATCAGCGTTGGTGACATTAATCCCGACACATCAGGCACAACCAATTCCTTAGCGATTCGCACGATTAAATCTTGTGCCAACACGGGCACCTTATACATCGAGAGATTCTAAAGTTGTTTTAAAATCAAAACGTTGTCTTTGTCGTCACAGCCGACTGGCTAAGAGCCTGGTTTTAGCCAGCCAGCCAGTCTTAGCTAAGGCTTAGTCGAGAGGTCAAGGGTTCAATCCCGCCAGCTAGATTATTGGTTTCTTTTTTTTCTCATCTACTAGGTTGATGCAAATGAAATTTCGGTTCTTTACAAATATAAAATTCAATCAAAATCCTTTTAGGTAACAATTTATTGGACATAGCTGGTCAAAGGACATAGCTGGTCAAAGGACATAGCTGGTCAAAGGACATAGCTGGTCAAAGGACATAGCTGGTCAAAGGACATAGCTGGTCAAAGGACATAGCTGGTCAAAGGACATAGCTGGTCAAAGGACATAGCTGGTCAAAGGACATAGCTGGTCAAAGGACATAGCTGGTCAAAGGACATAGCTGGTCAAAGGACATAGCTGGTCAAAGGACATAGCTGGTCAAAGGACATAGCTGGTCAAAGGACATAGCTGGTCAAAGGACATAGCTGGTCAAAGGACATAGCTGGTCAAAGGACATAGCTGGTCAAAGGACATAGCTCAAAAACTCTTAAGTCTAAATTTTAGACTTAAGATTTTTTCGTTTCTATTCTTTGTACCACATTATTCGTGTGAATAAATGTATTTCTAAATTTTTGAATATTAAGATTTGAATCGTTACCATCACCGGAATCGTTGACCCAAAAGCGACATCAAAGAAAAACTTGAGAATATTTGAAAACGAGGTGATTTGATGGATTTTCTCAAGATTTCGAACGCCGAAAGGTGTCTGAAGAAAAGATTTCAAATTCTTTCGCAATCAACGCATTTTTGAAACAGTTTTTCTCAATAGAATACATACCGTAAATATTGTAATAGTACTCCACCCCCATAATGACGGTGCGGAGTGTTGCGTAGTCTAGCTTTGAACGAGTTTTTCTCGCCACTGGTTTATGCTACGATGCGCGCTTAGGTATCAAAAAATAGCTGAGATTCAGGGCTATTTTTTGATACCAAAGACGCATTTTTGAAAAAAGGCGCTTTGCAAAAAATGAAATACTAAAAAACTTTTGTGACTACGCGACTGTACGAGGGGGCTGGGGTACTATTACAGTATTTACGGTAATAAAAGGTTTGTTTCAGTAGATGTCACTCACAGCATTCATTTTCTCAGCCAATATTGGAAACGAGCTGGGCTCGGATTCGTTTGTCGCTGGGGATAACAAAGTGAGAATCTAAAAGATTTTTTAAACAATTTAGTGCAAAGAATGGAAATATTTCAAAAGCTTCAAAAGAATGAAAGCTTCAATTCCAAAAAAAGCTCACCGATTTGTAATTGTTGAGACTCAATAAAGTGGAAGCTAAAGCCCAATCTCTTGCCGGATTTCCAACACAAGCCGCAAGTCGACTCAAAGTGAGAGCTTTTGAGGGAAGAAGACAATGAGCGATCGAAACAAAAACGGACACCGATTCATCCAATAAACAGATTAGGCATGGATTCTAGAAAAATGGAGATGATCTTTTGATGATTTTGAAGTTTTAATCATTTTACAGCATCAGTAAGTCATCAAGCATTACGGGATGCTCAATAAATGTGTGTGACGCCTGGTATGAAGGCAAATTGAGTCGACAAGAGTGTTAGATTACTTAAAGTTTTGTTATAATTTCATTTCTATAACATTTTCATGTTTATGTTTCAATTTTTAGCTCAATCGATCGGCTATAAGAAAAATTAGAGTCATTAGAAGGTTTGTAAATATTGGGTTGTCCAGTTATGAATGCGCGTTTTTTACTATTTTGTAAATTTCTCAAGATATCGAACAGATGTATATGAGTGTTATATATCATTCGAAAGCTGAACATCTCCTCTACATTTTGGAATAAAAAAGTTTTTGAATCCATTCAACTTTTCGGGAAATTGACTGCACAAAGGGAGAAGTCGTTTTCGAAATTTCAGCTTAGCTATTTCCCATTTCAGCTTAGCTATTCCTCAAGTTTTATGGTGTAAAAGAACCGAAAATAAAAGTCAAGATGCTCTGAAGTTGTTATACCGATCCCTCCCCCCCCCCCCCCCCCAGAGAAATTTAAAAAACAAAAACCAAAGTTTTAAATTGAAAAGATATCAATTTTCTCCGAAAAAAAAGTTTGGCTTCATATTTTTTTGCTTTAACCGTAAAAACATTAACAAACAGTAAAAAAAAAGATCAAAATTGATGTATCACTTTCACCAATATCTTCTTCCAATTGGGGACCCCCTATTTTTCACCCCCCCAGACGACCCCACTATTAGAGAGGACCCCACTAATAGAGTAAATACGGTATTTTAAAAAAAGTTGTATTGATATATCTATTGGCCAAACAGCAAACGGTTAACTCAATTTGAGCGGAGCCAAAACTTGATCCAAAGGCACCCTTCCATTTTTTGGCCACCACTTCTTCTGTGCAGTCAATTTGCCCAAAAGCTGAACCAAATTCAAAAACTTTTTATCTCAAAATGTAGAGGAGATCTTCAGCTTTCGAATAATACTCATATATATCTTTTTCTTGATTTCGGTATCTTGAGAAATTTACAAAATAGTGAAAAACGCGCATTCATAACTGGACAACCCAATAAAAGTTTCGCATTTTCCTATGAAATTATGCTGAAAATGACTCAAATCTCAAAAAATTTTGTTCAAATAATGCTTTTCTTTGATTTTTCTATGTTTTTAGTTCAAGAATCTAAACAAATTTTAGCATAGAATCGAATTTTAATTGCTTTAATTGTCGTCATTTTGAAAACGAGATGAAATCAGTTTATTTTGAGTGTTTGAAAGGCTTTCAAACATTAGTTTAAGCTTTTAAACACTAGGTTTAAAAGGTTAAAGCAAAAAAAAGTAATCATTTTACTTTTCTTAACCATTCTAAAGCACTAATAACGAATTAAAATCACTGAAAAGTTTAAGGGTTTTGGTTTGAATCATCGGGTTTTTGTATGGACAAAAGTATCGCTTTCATTTACGAAGCTTTAAATGATCTTGACTAGCAAAGATCAATGATCTTGACTATCAAAGATCAATGATCTTGACTATCAAAGATCAATGACCTTGACTATCAAAGATCAATGACCTTGACTATCAAAGATCAATGATCTTGACTAGCAAAGATCAATGATCTTGACTATCAAAGATCAATGATCTTGACTAGCAAAGATCAATGACCTTGACTATCAAAGATCAATGACCTTGACTATCAAAGATCAATGATCTTGACTATCAAAGATCAATGATCTTGACTAGCAAAGATCAATGATCTGCTATCAAAGATCAATGTCTTGCTATCAAAGATCAATGACCTTGACTATCAAAGTCTGATCTTGACTATCAAAGATCAATGATCTTGACTATCAAAGATCAATGACCTTGACTATCAAAGATCAATGATCTTGACTATCAAAGATCAATGACCTGACTATCAAAGATCAATGATCTTGACTATCAAAGACGCTTCAAATCGTTCTAAAATCATGTTTTTCAGAAAGAACATCAAAAAGCGAGTCAAGAAAAGTTGTTTTTGACAAGTTATAACAATTTTGACTGGTATTGTACGATCGTTTAGACATCGTATTCATAAGTGCTATAAAGCATCTGAAAGCTCTCATTGAGCTCTACAAAATGCGCTATAACACTTTGAGAAATACGGTAGTTTAAGTCAACTTTTAGGGGCTTGAAATCAAAGGAACTTTTCATAAGTTGCTCTTGTTCTTCTTGTTCTTCTTGAAGTTTTGTGTGATTTTTAGGGCAATTTTTGACTATCAAAGACGCTTCAAATCGTTCTAAAATCATGTTTTTCAGAAAGAACGTAAAAAAACGAGTCAAGAAAAGTCGTTTTTGACAAGTTATAACAATTTTGACTGGTATTGTACGATCGTTTACGAGAATTGGGCAGTTTCTTCGGTAGAGTGTACGCTATTTTCCAGATTACGCCAGTTTTCGATTGGAGTACTCTTTTTTGACAGAGTTAGAGTAGCTTTTGTACGCTAATTATTGTCATTATTGACAAGACTTTTATGGGATTACGGTAGCTTTACCCAAGAAAAGTCTCTTTTAAAGTTTACAAAACTAAAGTTACTAAAGTTAAGAAACTAAAGTTCTTATAGCCAACCGATCCGGCTAAAAAAATGGAATAGATGCTTGTAAAAAAATGTATTAAAATGTAATAGAAAGTTGAAATTTGTCAACAACATCAATCAAAATCAAAGAGCTCTTGTTAGAAAGTCCAAAAACTCTTGCAATTACCCGGTACTTTTGAAAGCGACAGCAAATTGAAGAAAAGTACAGAATTGGCAATTCTAATGTTTCAAAATGATCAAAATTAAGTGCTAAACTAATAGGTTGATGCATAAGTGTTTTTGTTCCTTTTCGTCTGCCGTTTCAAGCCAACAAATGCACGAATTAAACTACGGTTGATTTCATTAGAAAAAGCAATTATTTTTCTGCAAAATAACATTAAAACGGGTTTAAAAATATTGAATGCCTGGATTTTCTTGAGAGTATGAAGTCGGGTAGTCAAAAAGGGCTAACTCGATGATGCGGTTTAGACACCTTAGCTAAAGAAAACCTATCTTCGTGTCAATAGATAAAAGATAGAGAAAAAAAAACGTTTGATATTTCGCCAAAATTTCAGAGAAATTCATTCAGCCAATTTTTCCGTAGAGTTTTTTTATAGATTTTTACGAAAAAGGCGTTTTTCACTCTCGAATTTGCTTGAAAGTGAACCGAAATTCATTTAAAAAGATGCAAATTGAACAAAAAAACACTTTTTTTTATAGAGCAAACTATAGATTAATTCGTGAATTTGTTACTTTTTAACAGAAGTACGAAAAAAACGAAAAGACTTATGCATCAACCTAATAGTTAAAATAATAAATTTTTAAAGCCAAGAAAAAATAAGCATTCAAAAATTCAAACTTCTCACCGGTTCATTGATTCTCTTTGTGGCCAAGTCGAAAAGTGTGTTGAAAACGGTGGAAATCTTGACGACACATTCGGCAAATTCTGGGTAAATAGATGAGTATACTGTAGCTACAAAAGCCTACTATAGCTTGTTGACCGTGGCTTGTTAAAGATACTCACAAGGGAAGGTCAACTGGATGATGCCAAATGACATGAGCCAAATGATATGAGCCAAATGATATGAGCCAAATGACATGAGACCATTCAATATGGCTCATGTCATTTGACCAGCCTATCCATTTAGCCAGCTTATCCATTTGGCCAGCTTATCCATTTGGCTAGTCTATCTATTTAGCCAGCCTATCCATTCAGCCAGCCTATCCATTTGGCTTTCCCTTGTCAGTGATCTTATTAGAATACAGTCGACTATCTATGAAGGAAGGGACCAAAAAATGTTTCCGTTATATAAAGTGCCGTTTTATATAGCTTAGCATCAGCCGGGACCAAAACTCCACTCCTTCATATAGAGTTTTCCGCTGTTCAGAGTTCCGTTGCAGAGAGAGTCAATTGTAGAGCAAGTCAATTGTAAACAATTGTAACAGTCTTGCTCAATATTCTGATTATTTATGCGCATACCTGTCGATGTTTCTTCTCCATTTCCCGAATTTGTCGAGTAAAGCATTCGAAGGTAAAATCTAAAATGATAACGTATTCAAATATTTTAGCATTTTATGAGTTAAATTTAATTTCACCTAATCATTCGCAATGATAGAATCCCAAACGCGACCGCTCTTTCACTCAACCATCGCTGATCTTCATATTGCAAATCTCGATGCTCTTCGAAAGCCCTAAAAATTATTTTTTTTTGTAAAATCTATGTCTTTTACTTTTACAATGTCCAAATTATAAAGAAAATTCTTAACTGGTTAGCTTAAAGCCAATAAAATAATTTCATTTTTGGTGTAAATATATTGAGTTCTTGAATTGAAAACTGCGGGACTTTGAACTAAAATTTATTCAAAATAAAACCATGAATTCATTCGAAATAATTTCCATTATTATTGACGACTTCTGCCCATTTTATAGGCAATTTGCGGATTCCTCTTTCGTAGTAGGATTTTGGTTTTGAATCGAAAAACTTTCAAAGCCAATTTTTGACTGCTTCTTCCGAATCGAAGTGTTCTCCCGCAAGCTCATTACTCATGATCCGGAATAAATAGTAATCAAAAGGGGAGAGGTCCGGACTGTATGGGGGATGCGCCAAAAGTTCCCAAACAAGGCTATTTATTTTAGAGCGAGTCAGTTTTGCAACATGAGAACAATCTTTGACTTGGAGGGCCTATTCTTCTGCATGGATTCATTCACCTTTCCCAATTGTCCACTGTATTTGATTGCATTAACGGTCGTCTTGCTATTCAGCAACTCCCATTACAAGTGTGTGAGACAAGTGTGAGACTCAAAAATCGAGGACTGGAGATGTCCCAGTTTGAGCACTTTCTTCAAAAGAAACCCATTTTGGTGTTAATGGAAAAGTTGTAGAGAATCAAAAATTAGGCTTATAACCAAATTTCCAAAAAGATACACTTAGTAGTTTCGCTTAAAATGCAAGTTTTGTGAAAATTCGTAAATTTGGCATTTCTTCAAAACCAGTTTTTGAATCGTTCAGAAAAATTTGGATATAAGCTTGATTTTTGATTCTCTACAACTTTTCCATTGACACCAAAGTGGGTTTCTTTTGAAGAAAGTGCTCAAACTGTCACATATGACAATAGCCGGCAGTTTTCAATTCACCAATCCAATAGTACCCCACCCCCATAATGACGGTGCGGAGTGTTGCGTAGTCTAGCTTTAAACGAGTGTTTCTCGACACTGGTTTATGCTACAATGTGCGCTTAGGTATCAAAACATAAACCTGAATTTCAAACTGTCACATATGACAATAGCCCGCAGTTTTCAATTCACCAACCCAATAGTTTGCTCTTTAATGTAAAACGAGAAATGAAGACTTTAGCTTTTTTTCGGTGACATTTTGATTTGATCAATATTTGAGTCAATTAAATTCAAAATAAATCAATGAATTAATGAAATTAAAGTTAAATCAATCGATAATTTAATTGTAATTCATATTTCGGATCTTTAAGGTTAACGGCGGTGGGTAGCGATTATTGGCGGCGGCCAATTTTTGGCCAACTTGCAGCTCATTTTTAAGCATCTTAAACTTGTCATATCAGGAAGTTTTAATAAGATTTAGATAGCTTAGAACATCAGCGTTCAGAAACTATTTGTTTTATCAAAATTTAGCAACATAAACTTGTATAAAATCGGGCTGCAAGTTGGCCAAAAGCTTGGGCCCCGCCGTTAGCCGTAAAGGTCCCATATTTCTTCTATAAAGTTCTAAAAACCGGTAAAATCAAAGTCAAATCTTTTGAAATCTCACCTTGTAACAGCCCAATCGAAAATGCGAAGCAATGAATGAAAGACTTCGGGTGTCGGTGTGAGGAAAGTTTTCGAACGGAGTAAAGCCGTGAAATCGATTCTGGGAATTTTGATCAGAATCAGATGAGAAAAGAAAATGAATTAGAGATAATCATCAGAGATCATCAGAGATCATCAGAGATCATCAGAGATCATCAGAGATCATCAGATAATCATCTGAGATCATCAGAGATCATCAGAGATCATCAGAGATCATCAGAGATCATCAGAGATCATCAGATAATCATCAGAGATCATCAGAAATCATTAGAATATCACTTTGACTGTTTACTATCAATACAGAAAAGAAATTCATTACGTTAAAAGTTTTTGAAACAGAGTTTATCCGAACTTACGAGGCTCGATTCTCGTGATCTTTCGGTAACTCGTCGACTTGGTTTGGATCCGATTTTTCGACCTAAAAAAATGCAGATAATAAAAATGCAGACAGAAGTTATATTATGTATTAAGGCATTTAGATATTGTCTGTTTGTTTAGTAAGAAGGTGATAGGTTCGATAGATGGGCTATGGAATATCAAATCAAACCTGATTGTAACAAAATTTGTTTATAGCACTTGATTGAAAGCTTTTATGCAGAAAAGAAATTTTAAAAAGGGCTGCTACGCAGGAGTACGCGATGATACTCTTTACCCGGTCTTCTATTCGAAGAAATACGGTATTAAGATTAGTTCAAATTTTCTCAAGATCTACACTACTGGACAATGAAATATCATCATTGAAAAAAGATCGTCACTTTCGCGCGTCTGTAACTCCCTTGTCTTTGAGTTTAAACTATTAGTGTTATACATTTTCTGAAAGCTCTTTTCAAGGGCTACACAATGGTAAATATTAATATTTAGAAATACGGTAAAGACAAGTGAGTTACAGACCCGCGAAAGTGACGATCTTTTATCAAATATGATATTTCATTGTCCAGTAGTGTAGATGGGCTATGGAATATCACCTGATTGTAACAAAATTTGCTTTAAATAATAACAATAAACATAAACAACCTAATAAAACAATTTTTGATAGAGTTTTACCTGATAAAACAATTCTGGTATTTGTCCCACATTCACATCAGTTCCGTTATTCGAGAGAATCGAGTTCCGAAACGAGAAAGTGACATCATCACTCTCGATGGTCGCTCTCCCCGATGCACCACAATCCGATGATGGACCACTGGAAATAAATCATCTGGCTAGCTGATTATTTGTACAGTATTATGCTATTTATCTCTTAGTCTTTCTTCCAAGTTTCCTAAACAACTAAACAACTAAACAACTAAACAACTAAACAACTAAACAACTAAATTATCGATTCTCATAAAGTTTACTGCTAGATTAGTTTATCTATTCAAACTTTCATTGGTTTATTAGCGGCAAACAAGGGTTTTGCTTTTGTTTTTTCAAAAACTTGTTCAAAGCTAGACTACGCAACACTCCGCACCGTCATTATGGGGGTGGAGTACTATTACAGTATTTACGGTATAGTAGATTGTTGAATGTTTACCTGATTTTTGCGGAAACGACATGCCATTGCCCGGCGGTGATGACGATTGGACGAGAGAGCATCAGAGCGGCTGTTTGACGAGCGCCACACTGAAAACACTTATTTAACACATTTGCGACGATTTTCGGCGGTATTTTCGGCGGAAAGTCTCGTTGTCGTCACTGTTTCACTGATAATTTTGGTGAGCATTTAAAGATAAACTAAACTTTTATAGTCATTCGATAGCCGTGAATCTCCTCTTGAAAACTAGTACAAAGTTAGAGAACTTTCTGCGTAATAAATGATAAAAAGTTCTTAAAAACTTGAGTGAAACAAAAGAAATAATCGACATTAGTATGACGAAAGTCAAAGTTATCAAAGTTTCTGCAAAATAACCAACGTCGTGAATGTGTTAAATACTAAATAGTAGAGTTAATTAAGGTTTTTAATTTGATTTCTTTATTCATTTACTGAATAGAATCCAGATTTCATTCAACATTCAAAAGATTTTAAATTTAAGTTTTAAATAGTTTTCTTTTTATTTTAACGAGTTCTTGATAACAAGGATACCGTATTTTCTGTAATAGTAGTGCGCACTACTATTTTTTCAACCCCCCTCCAGCCTGCACTACTATTATAGACTGCACTACTATTACAGAAAATACGGTAACAACAATTTAATACAACTGAGCTGTTAATTTGCTTTATTATTTCACATTAAACTTTTCATTTTCTTAATTTATAATGGTCGCATCCGTTTCCTTCCTTTTTGCGTTCCTATTTTGCAATTATTCGCGTCGCATTTTTTTCGTCTTTTTCTCTCTTCCCGAAATTATTTTTTTTTGGGGGAGCTTCTGGCCCTTTTTCGGGTTGGGGTTTTTGCCTTCGTTCTTGAGGGACTTTGATGTTTCTGCCTTCATTCTTGAGGGACTTTGTTGTTTCTGCCTTCGTTCTTGGGGGACTTTGATGTTTCTGCCTTCATTCTTGAGGGACTTTGATGTTTCTATTCATGCGCATGCTGCTTTTGTAATGGGTATCGTTGCATTTTTGGTTCTGTACTAATAAAAAGTAAAATTATAAATTCAATTTACTTTATGCTACTTTAACACTGTAGAAAGAACTTACTAACATTTGTGTCGCCATCGACGAAGTATCAATCCGTTCTGTACTCTTATCACGAGTATTAACCTTATGTTGCATGCCGCGTGTTCTTGTTATGTTGTAAGCGTTTTGGGGAAACCCTTTTAACCTTTTTGTGCTACTCGGCTATTCTGAAGCAAAGTCATCCCCGATGATAAGGTTAAAGCGGGTCGCACCCCAAACTCAATGATTAATAATAAAATATGATTCTTTTTTACTAATCCGCTTACTTCATAAAGTGTTTCATCTGTTTCTGTCACTTCTTCAACCATCAATTCATCCGCTTCACTGCCGATCAAACGATGGATTCGAATTCTAAAAATTTTATGTATTAAATTGAATTAAATTTTATATTTTATGATTTGTTTATACAAATTCTTCTTTTAAACTTTTAACAGTTTGATTTCAGTAATAAAGCGTAACAAAATCCTTTCTGGAAGCCGATTGCCTTGGATTTAATGGAAGAGAGTTTGGAAAAAGAGGATGAATCTCTTTAACAATTTTAAAGCATTCAATCTAATCTATAATAAAGCGGCGTTCAAGAGTGAAGAGCTTGAGTTTATGCTTTGACTTCCTCTCAGCTAGCCTTTCCACAAATCAGTCGTTTCCATTGAAAGTAAATTTCGATGGAAATGGCTGAAATTTTAGTGTCTGAAGTTGAATGCCTTGTTTTAAATAAGAAATACCGTATTCTCTCTAATAGTAGTGCACTATTTAATAGTAGTGCACTCTCTAATAGTATTGCGGTTCGAGAGGGGGTTGAAAAAATAGTAGTGCACCCCCGGAAAATTTGAATCTCTGTTTGCTTCTTTTTCATCTAAACCTTTTTAACTTTATGTTTATGTGACATTCTAAAGCTATTCAAGCAAGCAAAAGTGAGGCTTTTTTATTCATTTATTAACTATTCTTCACATGAAAAAGTTAGCAAAAAATCTAAAAAATCTAAAATTGTTGTGCAAAGTGCAAAAACATCTTTTTGTTGTTTGTCAAGACACAAATTGTCAACTCGCCGGCCCACAACTGTATGTCAAAAGGAGCCAAAGGAGTACGTGAAAGAATGGCAAGAATTTTTGGAACAAATCTTATATCTGTCTTACTTTGGTAAATGATAAAACTCTGTAATAGTAGTGCACTCTCTAATAGTATTGCGGTCTAGGAGGGGGTTCAAAAAATAGTATTGCGCACTACTATTAGAGAGAATACGGTATTTCATTTATTCGAAAGTTCAATCGAATTTTTTCAGAAATAAATCAATAAAACATTATTTTCTTTTCTCAAACTCACTTTGCAATATATTCCCCGCGTCCACCAAAAAAGCCCGACACCAAGCAAGCGAATTTGACGACTCACGCGGAATTGAATTGCTTCGACCGAATGAGCGCTAGAAAATTGGTTTCTTTCTTTTAAGATCATTTTAAAGTTCATTTTAAAGTTACATTGATTGAGTAGATAAACTTTTGGTTTGAAATAATTTTTTATTTAATTCTTTCACCTATATCCCCATCCACCGCCGTGTCCTTCAAATCGATTGATCACCGAGTATCCCTCGTGGAGAAGAGTTGAGGAATCGATTCGGGAAAGATTTGATGCTTCCTGAATCAAGATTATACTTGAATAATCAAATAATCAAATAATTTGTAATAGTTATTTTCTATAGCTTTAGCCGTTTGAAATCATTCGAGTTTTAAAGTTGAGTCTCTCAAAGATGTCTAATATCTTGTTGTGTGAGTTTCTTGAATTCAGATTGCTTGAATAGTCAAATGATAACAATTAATGATTAACAAATATTAGGTACATGCATAAGAAATGCGGATTTCAACATTTTCATAAATTTCCAACGATAGGAACCTGATATCGATGTAGAATGTTATATACTATTTGAAAGTTGATGTAGAATGTTATATGTAGAATGTTATTTACTATTTGAAAGTTGTAAATCTCCTCTACAAAATACGCTAAAACGTGTTTCAATTCATCGAACCATTGAAGAAATTTCGAGGGCGAAATGCGAGTGACCAAAAAAGGAATCGAGTCACTTTAGGGACAAGTTTAGTGTGGTCAAAATAGAGTTAGCTTCTCAAAATTGAAGATTTAAAAAAAGATATCTATATATGAATTCATTAAAAAGTCTAACGGAAATGCATTTACAGAAATTTAGATAGAGCGTAAGTGCAAAACCCTCAAAATTGTCAAAAAATCGGCTTTTTCACAAAAAAGAAAAACTATTGTAAAAACAAAGTCTTTCCATCCCAACTCTTAATTATTTTGAATGATATTTTAGGGCGGTCATTTTCCACTATATAGTCAAAACCGAACTCTTGTGAAAGTGGAGTTTTCAAAAAGTGCCCTTTTTTGGTCATTCGCATTTCGCCCTGGAAATTTCTTCAATGGTTCGATCAATTGAAACACGTTTTAGCCTATTTTGTAGAGGAGATTTACAACTTTCAAATAGTAACATTCAAATAGATATCTTTTTTTAAATCTTCAATTTTGAGAAGCTAACTATATTTTGACCACACTAAACTTGTCCCTAAAGTGACTCGATTCCTTTTTTGGTCACTCGCATTTCGCCCTCGAAATTTCTTCAATGGTTCGATGAATTGAAACACGTTTTAGCGTATTTTGTAGAGGAGATTTACAACTTTCAAATAGTAAATAACATTCTACATATAACATTCTACATATAACATTCTACATCAACTTTCAAATAGTATATAACATTCATCGATATCAGGTTCCTATCGTTGGAAATTTATGAAAATGTTGAAATCCGCATTTCTTAAGCATGTACCTAATAATAAAGTAACAAGTAACAAATAATAAATAGCAAATAGTAATAAGTAATAAAATACTTGCAATCTTTTGCGATAAAATCTTTTGCGAACTTGTTTCAATCAAGCAAAAAAATCTTTTCATCTAATCTTATTCGTAATCCAATTTTTATGTAGGAAAAGCTTTTTGTATAAAAATTCGTGTTTTAAAGTAAACTCAAGAAAGAAAACCTTCCTGTAGTAAGCAAAAAACCTGTAAGCAAAAAACAAATCTTTTCATATAATCGTAACGATTCACCTTGTGATTGATCGGTTTCAGACTCATTATGCTCAATGCATATGTTGATGAGAGAAGACTTAAAGCCATCTGAAAAGTTTGAGATTAATTTAAACAACGAATTTGATCTTTTCCAATTGCAAATGCTTTAATTTTAAAGAAATTTCCAATAAAATCACCTGTGTGGAGCTCAACTTCGACTCTGTCTCGCTCGGATTGAAATATTCGGCGTTTCGAAGTAAACTATAAAGAAAAGATTTAAAAAAAAACTAACCACAATAAGATTTTGAAAATTGACTATGAATTAATAATCATTTAGATTTCTTTGCTTAAACTCTAGACTTTCACCAACCATAAATCGTCGTTTTCCTTTTGTGCTTCACTCTCCGAGAGTCCCTTTGCCTCGATGAAACCTTTATTTAAAAAAATTAATCATTTTTCTTTTTAAAAAACAACCTTGTACTCGCATTTCGGCTGCTGAATACGACCAAATAACACTGTGTTCTTGGTCGACGCACCAGCTAAAAATTTCAGAAATGGCGGGAGTGTGACAAATGCGACCTTTTTCTTGCGCACCCAGACATTTGCGCACCTTGCCCATTAGCGCACCTTTTTTCGCGTTTTAAAAAAGCTCTAAAAAGCTAATATTAACCAATTTCTATTCCAAAAGTTGTTTTTCTAGGTAATTTTAGGGTGTCGAATTCAAATTTTGACATAACACAGCGTGTGGAAGCGAACGGACGGAGTTATACAAAGAGAAAAATCAACAATTTTCTGTAATTTGACCTAGCCGTTTTGTCTTTCAAATTGGTTCCACACGCTGTGTTATGTCAAAATTTGAATTCGACACCCTCAAATTACCTAGAAAACAACTTTTGGAATAGAAATTGGTTAATATTAGCTTTTTAGAGATTTTTTAAAACGCGAAAAAAGGTGCGCTAATGGGCTAAGTGAGGAAAAAAAGGTCGCATTTGTCCCACTCCCGAAATGGTTCTTGTCTCACTGAAAAGATTTAAAATCCAGGAAAATGAAAGATATTCAGCTAAAACGCTGAATATCTTTGCTGATTTTGTAATGAGAAAGACGTTAGAAAGCTTTAAACTTAAACCGAAACTTTTTCTTGCTTGTTTTTTGCTTCTGAAACTTTTTTTCTATTCAAGATTTTATTTTTATTTTTAGGCGATCGATCGTTGGATGAATTTGAAGTGTTCTGAGACTGCCGCGAGAACGAGATGCAGGGATTTTTCGAGGAGGAACATGAGCGCATGCGAGGCCTCTACGATTAATTCTGACCAGAGAATGAGGCGGATAAGGGAACTAGAGAGGAAATGAATGTTCGGATAGCGATTGCTCAAATGAAGAGAATGACGAAGAACCACTTGACCCTTACCGAAAGCGCAAAGGAGCTTAAGTTGGAAGCCGTCAAATACGCCAAGGATTTTTCTGTGCATGTGGCCGCAAAGAAGTTATCGAGTTGATCGTGCTTCGACGATAGATCGGACAAGAAAAAAAAACTTGTGCAGCAAGAAAGTCAAGCAAAATGTTTGAAAGGAGGCGACATTTGAAGTTTGGAGAACGGGCTGTTGAAATGGATCAGAGAGAATTGAGAGGCGAAAATCAAGGGTTTCTCGGCGTTTGATCCGAAAGTAAGCGCTCAAGATTGGAGCCAATTGAAGAACTCAATAATAACTTTGCGGCGACGAAAGGATGGTTACAGAAGTTTCTCAAACGAAATGGTTTTTCACTTTGAGTGCCTACTTCGATCGCTCAGAAACATCAAAAGAACTCCGGATGTCATCATGAACTTTGTGATTTTTCTTTTCTCAAAAGAAAGAGTACGAGATGATCTACGTGATGAAATTGGAATATGGCTCGATCCAATTGGATCGCACTGTTTGTATTTTCTTGTTGTTCAAAAGTTTGACAACTTTGTTACCGGGATTGTCACCAGGAATCTATCACAAAGATTTTTTTGTAATTTCTAATTTTGTATTGAAAAATAGAAAGCTCTGGGATTTCTATTAGAGTATTGACGGTACTAATTTTGACCACAAGCCACTCACGATGTGTAAAGCCCGACTGGCCCCAGTTGATGATGCGCAAAAGTGTGCTGTCTTCGTCGAATCACCACATAATCTTTACCAGCTTCTCTCGGAAAAACGAACAAACAGGACTGAATCGATTTTTTTTTGTATAATCAAAGCTTCAATCAGTTCACCTTATTCGCAATAATTTGCGCATCTTGGATACTTTCATGAGTGAAAAGGGAGCGAGCCGAGTGAACGATCGTCACATCGCCCACACAACCAATCCATGTGGCCAAAATCTGAAGGTATTGTAAAAGTCTGTGAGAGTTGAAAAGTCAAAGTTTACTCCAGATTGTGGCCCAAAACCAGGCACAGCCTGCGGTCGACAATGCCACAAAGGATCGGATGAATCTCTGGAAAAAGTCGAGTTTAAGATTTCTCTCAATTTCTCTCACCTTCCCAATTGCCCTTGTTTATGTGCTCCAAAAGTCCAAACTTGGCCATCGGATGTGCGCAAAACGCAGTGATTCGATCCGGCTCCGACTTGCACAACTTGCACTGATTGGGGTAATTCGATCTGAAAGCGGCATAGGGTTTTAAAGAGCTAAATTGTAAGCGCTAAATTTTAAGCTCGAAATCCTAAATTTTATACTATTAGTTACACGTTTGAACTCAATTTCTTCATTCGTAACCCACCCTGCACGGCCCCAAATGCCTTTTCGTATCTCCGACACCCAATTGCCCATGACAATTCGATCCGAAAGTGTACACGGAACGATCGGCTCCGAGAACGATTGTGTGAAAGTTTCCGCACGATACCATGGCCACCTGAAATATGAAAATTTTTACATAAATTTATAGAGTGTTCAATATTTATGGGGACTTTTGAGTTCGTGCTCTCAAAATTGGTTTTTGAAAAAAAAACTCGTCAAGAAAGCACTGCAGGAGTTGAAACAAACTCGAATTTCTAGATTATTTTTATGGTTTACTAAATTAAATATTCCAACAATCGAACTTGATCATCAAATTTCACCAAAAGAAGAACCAAGTTGTTCAACGATGGGAAAAGCAAGAGAAAAATCCAAAGTGAGGACCTGAGGTCTCGCTATGGAAACGAGCGCTGTACCACTCGGCCACGTCTGCACCGTGATCGGTCCTCAAGGACGCCACTAAGACCCAAATGGCGTTACCCAAATGATCCCATTTTCAGAGTCCTAACAAAACTTTAGACGCCTATAACTCCTAACAGATTGTCATTTAGCAAAAACCAAATATATATTCGGAATCAGCATAAAATTCTGCGTTGGATGGTATAGATCGCATAGCATTTAGCTCAACCAGTTGACCTTTCGATGTCAATTTATCCATCGCGCCACAGTAGGGGCTTTCCACAAGTGTTTCTAGGGAAGCAAATGTGCAAAAGGTAATAATTCTGAAAAAAGGCACTTAAAATTTGTTAACGTTGGGCATATTAATAAGTGTGTTTCGTTTTTAAGCATTAAACTTGTACAAAATGAGCTTTAAATCTAGTAATCAGCTCCCAATAAATATTAAACATCCTGTACTGTAAAAATTGCTTCATTGAGGTTGAATTTTGAAATCTTAAAGTTAGTAGAGAAAAGCTCGGAATTATTTGGTAAATCATGGTAATCATTTCACTCACTTTTGTATCGATACCCGTTTTTGCGAGCTGTACTCGCGCGGGCGCGAGGATGATTTTGTGTGATGTTCCGTGTGTGTCATCTTGATGAAGATTCTCTGGATTTGAGATCCCCACTTCCGCATCGCCACACAAACGACAGATGCCACAGCTGGGAAAAGCAAAGTTTTTGATTTGAAAATTTAAAAGAATTGGTGGTAATGCTTGACTAGAATGGGCTGACTAGAATGAGCTGACTAGAATGGGCTGACTAGAATGGGCTGACTAGAATGGGATGACTAGAATGGGCTGACTAGAATGAGCTGACTAGAACGGGCTGACTAGAATGGGCTGACTAGAATGACTATAACTCTGTAGCATGATAGCTCTGTATAGCTCAATGATCCTTCCAGACTGCTAGCTCGGGTTAAAGACTAAGCCATGCATATCTTAGTTCAGATATCTGGTTGATCCTTCCAGACTGCTAGAATGAGCTTCGAAAATTTGTGACTTTATTGGACTTTTGAAACTCGGCGTTTCAAATTTTATGACTTCTTTTAACCAAAAGCTTTCTTAATAGCATTTTTTCTCTTTTACTGCTTTAAATTACTGTCATTTAGTTTTACAATACAAAAAAAACCGTTTTGACTTTCAAATTCAATACCGTAGACAAGCCGTTTCCCCAGGCCCACACGGGCACAAATCGCCCGGTTTCACAGCATTCGATCGATTACACGAGACACCTCTTGCAGAGCATTGCGCACATTGACTGAAAAGGATTTTGGATATGATAAATGATTTCAATATTTAAAGTTAATCTAAAAAAGTATTCTTCGAAAAGATTTTGGCTCAGAGCGCGCGAACAGCTCCTCACAAAAGTTCAAAAAGGCCCTCTTTGGTCATTTTTGATCTTTTTAAACTTTTTTTCTTTTTTTTTGGCGAACTATGTGCGCGCTGAGCCAAAAATTTCAAAAAATACATGGAGAATCCGAATTTGAGATCAGATTTGCTCAAAGATTTGACCTTCCGCCGAACTCAGGAGAATCAAAACTTTTATGTTAAAAACTCGAACTAGCTAAGAGCTTTTAGGCTCAAGGTTTTAGGCGAAAATGATCAAGGTACAATTTTGTTTTTGAGTGAAAGTCGATATCGCAAAAAGAGAAAGAAAAAAATACCACCGTCATTATATACGACACTTTTTAAAGATACTCAGCCATTTAACTGATTTGGTGGGAAATTCCCTTCCAATGTAAAAATTGATTTTTTTTTTTGAAAAACCTGGGGGTAGGCTAGTTTCCGCAATTTTTTTGCGCAACAGGATCATTTGCGCAACTGGGTCGTTTGCGCAACTCGCCATAACTTTCTTCTAATTGGGCCAATCTTTATGATTTTGGTTTCATTTTTTTGCACTTATTGAGAGCTACTGTTGCGTTGCGCCAGTTGCGCCAAATTTTTTGCGCAAAGTAGCCTACCCCAAAAATTGCTTTTCTATTTTTTTTCGCGCAGGCGCACTTTTTAGAAAACGCATTACTCGACAATTACTCATGCAAATTTACTCGAGTAATTACTTACTCGCGAAGAACACACTCTAGTGTAATCCCGTCTTCAAATATCACTCACATGCAAACACTGGCCACATCTTTCACAAAGAGATGCTCATTTGGTGGACAAATCGATGTCAATGGAGCATTCGGATCATCTTTCTCTTGTTGTTCTTGTTTTTTCTGCTTTATTCCCCCACTTTTCATCGGTTGATGGGGTGTCGAAAATGGAGAAGTGCTTGTCGAAGAAGCCTGAGAATTTTCTCATCAATATTTGTTTAAAAACACTCAGAAATTTTAAGCAATACACTTCTGGTTATTTTCGTAACCAGAAGTGTATTGCTTTTCTTTTTTTTTACCTCAACTCGTCCACATTGATGTAGATTATTGAGTCCCCATGTGAAGAGAAATCCGTGTCGACTCACCGCCGCCGCATGCGTTTTCCCCAAAGCGATCGAAACGAGATGCACACCCTCCAAACCGGCTACTGAAATCGGCTACTGAAACTGAAGTCGGCTACTACTGGCTACTGAAATTGGCTACTGAAACTGAAGTCGGCTACTGTCGGCTACTACTGGCTACTAAAATCGGCTACTGAAACTGAAGTCGGCTACTACTGGCTATTGAAATCGCAAGACTAGCTTTCAGTTTAGCTTACTGTTATAGAATAAGATTTTATTTTTCACACACTTATTTCAAAAAAATTGAAGCAAACTGCTTTCGCTTGAGACTGATTTCTTTCAAAACAAAGCTTTAAACTTTTTCCAACTAGCTCACCCCGGCATAGTTCAAATTTCTTAAATCCTTGTTTATTTTGTTTTTCTCTTTTCTTTGAATTTATATCTTTAATCTCTTTAATCTCTTTAATTGAATTCTACCAAATTTCCCCAATAAAACAATCTTAAAGCCACTTGCGACCTTTTTCCGAGAAAATTCTGGATTGTGCGCTTTAAAGCGTGGTAAAACAACCGTACTCCTAATTTGCAGGTATAAAATAAAGAACGCAATTTCATTCTTTGCGTACTTCTACACTTAAGCGTCCTCAAAATGCCAACTCTGATTCTGTCTTTCAGTTTATAGTCCTTACTTTTCAAAAAGTTTACCAAGAACGACTGTTCTTCGGAAGTGCGGCGAAAGCTGTTTTTTTTAAAATTCTCTGTTTGTTATTATTTTATAAGTGTTTATAGCCAAAAGATAGCCAATCTTTTAAAGAATTTAAATCTTATTACATTTTTTAAATAGTTGGTCAAAAGCTTGGCTCCCGCCGATAATCGCTACTCCCGCCGTTTAAATCTTATTACATTTTGAGTTATCACAATTTGCGTGAGCTCTGTGGTCGCACCAATTATTCGTATTACCAGTGTAAGAAAATCTGTCAAACTTAGAACTCAGACGATTAGAAGTATTCAAAAAAAATTGTTTATCAGTTCCAAACTGGGATCTTTACGGTTAACGGCAGAGATAGCGATTATCGGCGGGAGCCAAGCTTTTGGCCAACTTGCAGCCTGATTTTATATAAGTTTATGTTGCTAACTTTTGATAAAACAAACATTTTCTGAAAGCTGATGTTCTAAGCTATCTAAATCTTATTAAAACTTTCTGATGTGACAAGTTTAAAGTGCTTAAAAATGTTGTTGAGTGGTGCTTAAGCTTAAGTTAGCCGAAAACTTGTCCGCCGTTTTTCACGAACGATAACTCAAAATCTAAAGAAGTTATTTAAAAACTGTAATAAGATTTAAATTCTTTAAAAGATTGGCTATCTTTTGACTATAAACATTTATGAAATAAATTCAACCAGGAAGCTTTTAGAGAGAATTCTAAAAAGGACGAAACGACTTTCACCGCACCCTTCACTCATAAGTGTTTTATTGATGATTAGAAACAATTTGAAAGTCATTCAAAATCTTTCTTAATCATCATCAGTAAACTCTTTCGTTTTTCTTAACTCACCAAGTCCCGTTTCAGGATGTGTTCTCATTCCGTGTCTTCCCATTGCATAGACTCGTCCATTCTCAGTCACATACGCGAAACAAGCACCACAAGCGGCGATACCGATTGTTTTACGTCTAAGATTCTTCACTTTTGCAGCAATTTGCCTTTTATTGAACTACCAGCCGAGAAACCCGCCTAACGGCGCGTTTTTCTAGATGTTTTGGGGATGAACGGTTTTTGTCGCGGTGGAGCAGTGGATAGTGCGCCAGTTTACGATACGATCCGGGTTCGACCTCCCCGTGCGACTCGAATTGTGCTTTTTAAGAAATCCAAAAGCACGTTGCACAACTACATGTTCAACGGCGCAAAAATCATTGCAATTGCTCTGGGGGCTGAGGAGTAGCGCGCACAGAAAGAAAGACGAACAGACAGACGAACAGACAGACAGACAAACAGACGAACAGAGGCAGACAGACGAACAGACAGACAGACAAACAGACGAACAGAGGCAGACAGACGAACAGACATACAGACAGACAGATGAACAGACAGACAGACGAACAGACGAACAGACAGACAGACAGACGAACAGACAGACAGACGAACAGACAGACAGACGAACAGACGAACAGAGACAGACAGACGAACAGACATACAGACAGACAGATGAACAGACAGACAGACGAACAGACGAACAGAGACAGACAGACGAACAGACATACAGACAGACAGATGAACAGACAGACAGACGAACAGACGAACAGAGACAGACGACTTAGTCCCTTTATCTATCGTAGATTTTCTTTCGAACTGAATTCATAAGTAAAATTTCTGTTTTAAAAATCAAAAGATTCAATCAATGAATTGAAGAAAAATTCAGCAATGAGAAGCAATCTTTCACTATATAGATTATCAAGAAACAATCTTGGAACAGAAATAAACAAGAAACAGACGGATAGAGAGAGGACAGAAAGATGGATAAACAGACGGACAGACAGACAGACGTCTTAGTCCCTTTATATATCTAGTAAATACTCAATTATTTTGTTAGACTTTAGAATCTAATTGTAACGCAGAGACACAGCGTTACCAGTTCAAAAAAAAAACCAAAAATCCAATTTAAATTTCAAATAAATGACTTATTGGGGCACAAAGCTTAGTTGATTTTGATTTCCTTTGATTTGAAAAGTCTTTTGTGTTAAAAATTACAAAAATTATATGGTAATCCCTTTATTCTATGGTAATCGATTGATCAAAATCCCAAATCACCTATTTGATGTCTGAATTCTCCTCAATTTCCCGTGTTTTTGTTGTCGATTTCTTTCTTCTCCACCAGCCATCCAAATATGGCCACCACCAGAGCGGAAAAGGACCAACTGTAAATGAAAGAGTGATTTTGAAAGCGTTATAACTTTAGGCAAAACTTTAGACAAAACTTTGGCCAAAATTTTCCCCCACTCACCTCACTTCCAACACATAATTGAACGATGGGCTCAGGTAAAACAAGCTCCATCCAAGTGGTGCCCGTTTCCTAAAGAAAATTTCCTTTCTAGGTTTCATTTTTTTCAAATTTCTTTCCTATTTATTACCGTATTTCTTCGAATAGAAGACCGGGTAAAGAGTATCATCGCGTACTCCTGCTTAGCAGCCCTTTTTAAAATTTCTTTTCTGCATAAAAGCTTTCAATCAAGTGCTATAGGGCTGGAAAATGACTCAAAAATACCACATGAGCTAACAGATTTTTGAGCCATTTTCCAGCTCTATAGCACTTCATTGAAAGCTTTTATGCAGAAAAGAAATTTTAAAAAGGGCTGCTAAGCAGGAGTACGCGATGATACTTTTTACCCGGTCTTCTATTCGAAGAAATACGGTATTTATAGATGTTACTTTGTTGCTCAAAAAAGCTAGAGTTTCAGAGTTAAAGTTTCAAAGTTTCAAAGTCTCAAAGTCAACAAGATTTTGATCTTTTCAATACACCAATTTCATAAATTTTAAAGAACAATTAGACTTCCCATGTTAACTTTCATGTTAACTAGTTACGGAAATAAAAAGTACATTGCCTAAGGCTTTTGATTTTAAAAGTTAACCACAATGTCTGTGTATGTCTGTGTTCGTCTGTCTGTCTGTTCGTCTGTTCATCTGTCTGTCTGTTATAGTTATAAAGTCTTTTTTCTGAATCAAAACCTGTAAACCGAGTCTCATCCCATTGCCACTGTAAAAAACTTTGCCGCTTCTTGCCAACAAAAAAGCGCAATCGGATCCCATATGCAAATCGACGGCTTGATCTAAAATATTCTATTCAACATTATTAACTTGTATTAACTTGTAAAAATTAGTTTAGTATTCAAAAATAACAACGTTCATCACTGATTGTTGTTTTCCTTTAAACGTTTTTTTTCCAATGCTATCGTTCTAGTTTATTTTATTTCAAATCGAAGATTTCGGTTAGATTCTATTCTAAAAGAATTGTCAAACTTTGCAAGGTTGTCAATCGGTATTTACTGCATAAATTACTAGCTAAAAACTATCGATAAAACTTCTTAAATTCGAGAATTACAAATAAAGTATCTAAAGATTCGATTCTATTCTAAAAAAATGTCAAACTTTGCAAGGTTGCCGGCAGAGTGTTGGGCAAAGCATTCGGAATCGCCTCGATATCTCCAAAAGTTGAGTAGGAAACCTGGGAAAATTTGCTAAATTTGTGGATTTCAAATTTAGCTTTGAATCTAGAACTATTGAATGCTTTTGTCGGAAACTTTTTGCCAAACTCACCTCCGTCAATCGGTATTTTTGTTTAGCTTTCGGATCGGTTGATGGAACGAAACTGTCGTTGAGTGAAGTGATCTAAATAGGAAAATTGTTTAAAAAATATATTTAATAGAACAAGATTTAAATTGGATCAACGAATCGTTGCATAAATTTTTGGAAAATGAAATCTAAAGATAAAGATAAAGATAAAGTTAAAGAGGTCTAAAGATAAGACAATGATATCTAAAGATAAAGATAAAAGTACCAAGTTTCAAAGACTTGTTTTAAAGACTCAAAAAATAAGCTAATCCAGTCTATTTTTAAATCTTAATAGTCCAGTTTTGAAAATCAATTGAGATTTTTTGAAAAAAGCAAGTAGTAAAACGCGATCGATTTTTCCACTGATCGAGTGATCAGTGAAAAAATCGATCGCTTGATCTTTTACTCAATCATTAAATCAGTTTCCGTTCTATTGAGGGTATACCCCCCAATAGAACGCAAAGGAATAAAATTTAACATTACAGGATTTAGCTAAATATCTTGTGCAGTTATAATGATTCAAATTGATCGAGTGATCGAGCTGGTCAAGCTGATCGATGATCGAGTTTTACTATTTGCTTTTGAAAAATCAGTTCCCAATTATTAGGTTGATGCATAAGTGTTTTTGTTCCTTTTCGTCTGCCGTTTCAAGCCAACAAATGCACCAATTAAACTACGGTTGATTTCATTAGAAAAAGCAATTATTTTTCTGCAAAATAACATTAAAACGGGTTTAAAAATATTGAATGCCTGGATTTTCTTGAGAGTATGAAGTCGGGTAGTCAAAAAGGGCTAACTCGATGATGCGGTTTAGACACCTTAGCTAAAGAAAACCTATCTTCGTGTCAATAGATAAAAGATAGAGAAAAAAAACGTTTGATATTTCGCCAAAATTTCAGAGAAATTCATTCAGCCAATTTTTCCGTAGAGTTTTTTATAGATTTTTACGAAAAAGGCGTTTTTCACTCTCGAATTTGCTTGAAAGTGAACCGAAATTCATTTAAAAAGATGCAAATTGAAGAAAAAAAGACTTTTTTTATAGAGCAAACTATAGATTAATTCGTGAATTTGTTACTTTTTAACAGAAGTACGAAAAAAACGAAAAGACTTATGCATCAACCTAATAGCTAAATACCTTGTGCAGTTATAATGATTCAAATTGATCGAGTGATCGAGCTGGTCAAGCTGATCGATGATCGAGTTTTACTATTTGCTTTTGAAAACTCAGTTCCCAATTATTTGACAATCTTAAAACTGGTATTTTTTAAAGTTCTGTATGTAAATTTATCTTTGATACAGCTAAAATTTACCACTAAAGTCGAGTGTTGATCGACGGTTGCTTGAAAGAAATTGTCTCCATCAGTGAAAATGGCTGTTTGAGTGCTTTCCGGTGGGAGAATGATCTCTCCAATTTCTCTGAATATCAAAAAAGCAATTTTAGCTCCATTTTTAAGTATTTAATCTCAAAGGGATTTGTTTTTTTTCACTGATTGCCTTTGTGAATGTTTCAAAACATTAACTTAAAGTAATTTTTAACAAATTTTTAACAACTGCTTGTTTTTAAAGGTTTTTTATTAACAAAATTTGAAATTATTCTATTTTTTTGAGCTTTTTATATCCTTTTTTATCTATTTTTTAAACTTTTTATCTATTTTTTATATTCCGATTTCACCTCAATGTGCCCGTGTCCAGAACCCAAACTCGACTCGATTGCCCTCGTCTCAAATAAAGCGACGATTGACACAAAGAGAGCACGCAATTACGACTGAAATCGGATTTATGTGAATTTAAGCTTTTGCTAAGCTTTTGTTAAGCCTTTTTAATAAGTTAAATAACCTACCTGGCCCTCATCATTGTATTTGATGCGTACAATTTCCCGATCACCGTCTCCCCTAAACCCGTGCCCATCTTGAAAAGGCCCAAATAAGTGAGAACGTAGAGATAGGCGCCTGGAAAGAAAGTTGAAAAAGATTATATCTTTTGTTTATCTTTAGAAAAAACTATCTTTAGAATCAATGCTTAAGATTAAAGCTTTGTTTGATTAAAGCTTTTTAAAGCTTCAATGCTTAAGATTAAAGCTAAAGCATGTTAAGCCTTTGCAATTGTTCAAAAATTGAGTTTCAACAAAAATAAATATTGCTGAAGTTGAAAAATTAAGTCTCAAGTTGATCTCGCTGAAACGAAATATTGCTTAATTAATGTTCATCATTTTAAAATGCATTTAATTTACGTTTACTCGGAGAAATGAAGGAAAATTTAAGCCTAACAAATGATAGCGCTTAAATGTACATTGTATATTGTATATTGTATATTGTATATTGTATATTGTATATTGTATATTGTATATTGTATATTGTATGTTGTACATTGTATACTGTACATTGTATATTGTATATTGTATATTGTATATTGTATGTTGTATGTTGTATATTGTACATTGTACATTGTATATTGTATATTGTACATTGTACCTTGTACATTGTACCTTGTACATTGTACATTGTACATTGTACCTTGTACATTGTACCTTGTACATTGTACATTGTACCTTGTACATTGTACCTTGTACATTGTATATTGTACAAAATGATAGTACTTTTTGAGTTTTAATTCAAAATCTTTCCCCCAACCATCACTCGCCGACGCGGAAAACAATCGTCGATCCTCGTCGGGAGTTGTCGGAGAAAATTCGATTGGAAGTGTTGACATATCGAAATTGGAAAGAACGCACAAAGATGTCAAGGGAAGAGAACACCAATCGATCCTGGAATTCGACTAGTGGAATCGATTTTTATAGCTAAAATTTTAGCACATTTAAAATTCTATGAGGTAAAGTTTGAGTAGAAAAAATTGGTAACCCCAAAGCTTATTTTCAATTATATTTTCTTTATTTCTTTATTGAATGAGAAATGAAAAGAAACAAAATAGATTCGTATTCGTTAAAATCAAAAAAAGCCAGACAGATCCCGATGCCAGACGTATCCCGATGGACTCGAACCCGAGCAAACAATGTATGTCTCGCTTTGTATACGAGCATCTTACCCACTAGACCACCAGCTCACCTTGCCCCCGTGGAAGAAAAGCCTTTTAAGCTAGATGTTGAAAACTTCAATGTGACTAGGGGCAGCTAATTTTGATCATTTTGATCAGCTTAGTCGGTTCAATAACTGCTTGGGTGTCTGGCAATCGGTGGTGGCGAGCTGAGGGACTTTTCTTGTCAAGGTTTATTCAAAAGCTTTACAAGTAATCAACTGTGCCGACCAAAAATACAATTAAAGAATTTTTTTTGTATACGTTTTGAGTTATTGTTTCGCGTAATTCTATTTTTTTCAATGTTAATCTTTCCAAATTTTCACTTTCGCGTACCCTGTCTCGTTTCCGTTGAAGATCCGATTCTGAATGTAAATCCCTAAACGGTGATGATTCTCGGGGATTTGAATTAAATCCAAATCGGCGGATGTACTCTAAAATTTTATTTGTATAGAATTTTAGTACCCCACCCCCATAATGACGGTGCGGAGTGTTGCGTAGTCTAGCTTTAGACGCGTTTTTCTCGACACTGGTTTATACTACAATGCGCGCTTAGATATCAAAAAATAGCCCTGAATTTCAGTTATTTTTTGATACCAAAGACGCATTTTTTGAAAGTACGGGCGCTTTGAAAAAAATGAAATACTAAAAAACTTTTGCGCCTACGCGACTGTACGAGAGGGGTGGGGGAATATTACAGTATTTACGGGTACCTCTTTAAACAATAATAATTAAATTTTAAATGAGAATACTTAAAATTAAAGTTCACTTCTTTATGGAACAAATAAAATAAACGTTAATGGGGACTTTAAATTTTAAATAAGAATACTTAAAATCTTAATTAATTATGAATTAAATTATAAAATACAAGCAAATTCTTTCTTTTATTACGTTTAGATTTAAGATAGATTTAAATAGATTTAAATTGGGATTACAAGAAACAAAAAAAAATCGTTCAGGAATTAGGTAATGAAATTTTGTTAAAGCTTTTTTCTTGTTTTACGGAAAATTTTACATTACCGTATTTTCTGTAATAGTAGTGCAGGCTGGAGGGGGTATGAAAAAATAGTAGTGACGACTACTATTACAGAAAATACGGTATATGAAAAAATTTTCGGGTACTTTTGGGCTCTATACAATAGAAAAGATCAGATTCTTGTGAAAATGTCAACTTCTTATTCTTATAGACTTCAACTTATAGACTTTAGAAAGTGGCTTAGAAAGTGGCTCTCTAAGTAGACTAGTTAAATTTCGCAACTACCCCCTACTTTACATTTACGTTTACAATATTATTTTGATTCTCTTAAAGAACAATTTCTCTATAAAAAAATCAAGCAACAAACCATTGTCCCAGTGAGATTATCGCACAAAAAAGCTGCAGTGGTTGAGAAGAGAAATTCGGGTGATGCAGAAGAAATGGATAAAGCTGAGAGACAAGCTGAAGCTAAGGAGGAGACCGCTGATGAACCTGGGAAAGAAAGGGATTTTTTGGGAAAGGGATTTCATTGGTGCGTCAGGGTAAATAGTTCAAAAAGCTTAGAGCTTAAGACTTATTTATCGCACTTAAGCTGATGAAATTCGGGCTTAGCTTTAAAAATTACTTCAGAAAAAGGGTCTTTTAAGAATAAAAAAGCGGCGTAAAACGAAACTGACTAATGTAAAAATTTTGATTTGATTTTATTTTATTTTCAAGAATCTCACCTTCAATCCGGAGCCTTTTCAGCGTCTCGTGCATATCTCGAATCGCGCTTTTCGGCTCATTTGAAAGAGATTCGGGTGGAAGACATTGAAGCATTGAAAGAAGTGAGGACATTGCCTTAAATCAATGAAAGCAATTGTTTACCATGCCAAATCTTTTATCTTATCTTCTACATTTCAGTCTTCATGAAACTCATATCGGTCTCGACACACAGGCTCCAAAATGTCAATGTGTTCGGCAATGTGGGTGAGTGGATATAGATTATCGGTACTTATGGGTACTCTGCAAGTGTACTCTGACTACTAGACATAGGAAAATTCCAAGCCGAACCTAATTCCACCCGCGTTTTCTCAACTGTTTCTTGTCCGATTCCTCTGAAATTTTGTCTACAAATAGAAATCGACATTTTCAGCATGTAGACAAAATTCCAGAGCAATCCGCCAAGAAACAGCCGAGAAAACGAAGGTGGAATTAGGTTCGGCTTGGAGTTTTCTCATGTTTAACCTAATTCCACCTTCATTTTCTCGACCGCTTCTTCTCCGATTGCTCTGAAATTTCGTCTACAGATAAAATCGAAATTTTCAAGTTGTAGACAAAATTCCAGAGTAATCCGCCAAGAAAATGAAGGTGGAATTAGGTTAAGCATGAGAAAACTCCAAGCCGAACCTAATTCGGCTTTGAAATTTTCTCATGTCTGCTCTGCACTAATTCCAGTACTCCAACATGGTAACTCTTATACTTCTAAACGAATCCAGTACTTTCTACGGTGCCCATGTAGCAACTAGAATACAGAGCAGCTGCAGAATACAGTACCCGTAAATCAACCTACTAGGAGTATTATCAAAATCTGAATCTAAATCTACAAGTTGAAAATTTCGATTCTATCTGTAGACAAAATTTTAGAGCAATCGGCCAAGAAACAGCCGAGAAAACGCGGGTGGAATTAGGTTCGGCTTGGCGTTTTCTCATGTTTAATTTGTACAGTTGAAAAGCGAGCTATTCGTAACTATATGCCGTTCTGGAATTGTCTGTGTACACGTAAATATACTGTAAGTCGTGTCTCACTTCAGTAAGCTGAGATGAAGGATAATAGAGTCGAATATTTTCGAATTTTTTGTTCTTTATTCACCTGTACACATAGCTCGGGATCTCGTCGACTCAACTGCCACAAAACCGAGAATAAACAGTGGAGATTGATCGAGACGATTTGGGAATTCGGCTGTAAATGATTCAAATTTTCATTTAAACTTTGATTTGAAGTCTTTAATTTGTCATTTAAATTCTAAAGCTTAAAATTACGTTTTGGTTTTGGCTTGTAGATTTTGAAAGTTTAAAAATACTATCAATTGCCGCCATGGTCGATCAAGAGCCCTGTATCTTAGTCGAGAGATTAAGGGTTCAATCCCGCTGATGACTGGTTTGGTTATAGATTATTGACTCTTTTTTCCCATATATGAGTTGAGCATTTACCGTATTTTCTGTATAGTAGTGCACCGTGCCGAGCCGAGTTGATGCCTATTTTACGGTTTCCAATTTTTCCCAGAAGCTCAACATTCTAATCCCCCACTAGATCTCATCGTCAGCTACATTTTAAAAATGGCTGGGTCGTGAATGTGTTAAAAAGGGTCCAGTCCAAGTTAAAGCTAGTTTGGGCCTTGGGCCAGTCCAAGTTAAAGCTAGTTTGGGCCTTGGTCCAGTCCAAGTTAAAGCTAGTTTCAGCCTTGGACCAGTCCAAGTTAAAGCTAGTTTCAAAAAAAGAAAATAAAATAAAATGTTTTAATGATAAACGAATAAATTCTATAAAAGTTTGCAAAAAAGCAAAAAAAATAAGCCCGATGCGGGGCTCGAACCCGCGACAGCCAGATTAAGAGTCTGGTGCTCTACCGACTGAGCTAACCGGGCTGCTAACTGCTAAGTCTCATAACAAATTCGTAATCATGGGCCACCGGTAGGCCACCGGTAGGATTTAGCATTTTTTTGGGCCAAATTTGCTGAAAATTTGCACCCGGGGGTTTTCGGGGTCAAGGAACTCAAATCCGTTATCAGTTTTTAAAGAAAGCTGCCCTATTTCTAGATATTTCATTTGGTTTAATTATCCAAGTTTTTCAAGAGTTGTGTGATGATTTGCTTGGCTTGGAAATTAAAGTTGCTCAAAAACTAATATCGAATTCAGATTCTCTTTCCCAGAATGCCCTCGGTTACAAATTTTGCCGGTCTACAGCTAACATAGATAGCTGTCGTGAAACGGCAAAAATGGCTGGGCGTGAAGGAAAAGAGAGGGTTAAAGTTTAAGCTTTAAATTTCTAGATTTTAGTGGCTCTACTTTCTACAATTACTGATTTGCCGGTCTACAGCTAACATAGATAGCTGTCGTTTGAAACGGCCCATGTACTGATTGCCGTTTGCCCATGTCCGTTTGCTCCCTTTGTCGCGTTATATTCTTTTAGGCTTTGTTTTTTTGTCTATTTAGTACCGCTACCAAATACCGTTTCTCTCTAATAGTAGTATGTCCCGCCGAGCCGAGTTGATGACTTTTCGGTTTCTAGTTTTCGTAGAAGCTCAACACTCAATCCCCGACAAGATCTCTCGTCGCTACTTTTCCGCCCCCTCATAGGTTCTGATAAGCGGTTCTCGAGATTTCGAGGAATTTAGGCGAAGCTCAGGGTGCACTACTATTAGAGAAAATACGGTAATTGCCATTTATTTAGTTTTTTTTTCCACTTCTCTCAATCAATCACCTTTTTCTCATCATTCCCATCTTGTTGATTGTCCAATTGGAGTTGCTGTGCCTCTTCGTTGTTTTCTTTTGATGACAACAAAGGGGCGAATCTAGAAACATCAAAAATTGTCAAATTAGAACTATTTTAAAAGGTTTATCAACAAATCTATCAATCTAGAATCTGTCACTAGGGAGAGAACTATTAGAGAAAATAACGGTACTAATGAAAGCATTCATTTAAACGTTACAATATTACGCTGTGTATACTTTGCGTTTTTGAATTAAAATCTAATCCTTAATTTTTAATCATCAATCTAGAATCTGTCAATATTTAAATTTATATCTATAAATATTTATTGAGCCTGAATCCATTCATAGAATTTCGATTTTTGTTTTGACAGGTTTTTGACTCAAACGATTATTGCTAAAGCAGTTTAAACAGTTTAAAATGTTATAAAAGTATTTTAGAATGATTTTTGTGTTGATGAAGAACAAAGTATAAAGCATCAAGCTTTCAAACTTTGAAACTAAACTTTTTCAAACCAAAAATGAGAGAGATTGCGCATTAGACACACTTTTGGAAAAAGTTTCATTTCAAATTTGGCAGCTTGAGGTAGGCTTTGTGTATTTTACGTAAACCCAAACCGTGAAACGATTGCCCGAGCAATTGCATGAGTGGCGAAAATCGATGGAGGGGCAACGATCTGCAAATTTCTCTCCACATTGAACGTCGAGTTGGGGAGGCGTTTCTCGGCTGAAAACTTGTTTGGTTTTGGGAAAAATATGACCGTAAATACTCTAATAGAAGCGCACCGTCTGCATACAAAATTGGTGGCCTAAAAAGTCATGACTTTTGAAAAAGAGTTGCGCTGAAAAGTGCTTAGAGTGGTGTATATGTGCTATATGTATAAACTAGAAGGGTTAGACATATAGCTCATATACAAAAGAAGGCATGATGTACACAAGAAGGGTTGGCAGTAGAAGAAGGCGAAATATAAAGAGAACTAAAAAGAATTCTGACGGGGAGGAGGACCATTATCATTTTCGAGAGTCCGACCTCGAACCTCGACCTCGAGGGATCAAGGCTGAAAAAGAGATTTAAATTTTGGTTATGCCAGTCCAGCCAAAAAATTTAAGTGTGATTCCTAATGTTATTAAGTGATATTAAACGCTATTTTTTGCATTGAAGAAATATTGAAAAGCTTTTCTTAACAATTTTTAATAGAGAAAAGTGGCCAAATGACAGATTCGCCGGAGAGATGTCGACTAGCGCTCATTCAAGCTCTTGTTAAATGAGTTGTATAAGTTCAATCGGGATGTTTTTGGTAGATAAATGTTGCCGAAAATTAGGCCTACAATTCTCTGTATAACACTTGCCACTTTTGAAATCAATTAGACATTTCCCAGATACTCTTCCAAAAAGTTGTTGCGGTAATTCTCGGTCACCCCCAGATACTCTTCTTACTGTACACACGAAGGCAAGATATACACAAGAAGGGTTGGCAGTAGAAGAAGGCAAAATATAAAGAGATCTAAAAAGAATTATGATGGGAAGGAGGACCATTATCACTTTCGAGAGTCCGACCTCGAACCTCGACCTCGAGGGATCAAGGCTGAAAAAGAGATTTCTTGTTTTAAATATGCTTTTCGTTTATTTTAGAGCATTTCCAATCGAGGTAGAGTGATTTTAAAAAGATTTTTAAAAAAAATTGTATATGGTGCCCCTTATGTGTCTTATGTGATTTTTTGGGAAATCCGAAAAAGGATAGGGAAAAATTAGAAGCTCATGCTCATGCTTAGAAGCTTCTATTAGAGTATTTGACAGTAGTAATTGTACACGAGTAACACCAAAAATCAATTGATTTTTAGAAATAATCAAACAATCTCTATTGTAAAATTGTTCTACGAACCTTCATTTTCTTCGTCGATAAACTCGGCATTTGAGGGGATATTCAGAACATAGCTCTTTGTGGGTAACGAGACGGAATGGCGAAGTAGAGCGCCCAGATCTCGTGACACTTCAAAGCTTGCGTTTTTGCCTGAAATTCAAATTCTTTATAGCAAATTATTATGGTTTAAAGAGGCTATTGGACATTTCATACACGCCCACCCCTTTGCCATTAGCAATCTAACTTTAAGCTCAAGTTTCTTGGTGTTGGGGTGTCCAATTTAAATAGTTTTTCTACCGATCGACAGAGAAAGACTTGGCGTATCCAATGATACCAAGAATATTGAAATTCGACAACTCAACACAAAGATATTTGTGCTCAAAGTTGGATTGCCAATGGCAAAAGGCGGGGTGCGTATAAAAGGTCCGTCTCCCCGCCCTTTTGTCATTGGCAATCTAACAAACTAAATTTATTTACGTAAAGTTGTAAAAGTTGAATGCAATCTGAAAACTATGATAGGGCTCCAAGTATCATAGGGCATAACCGCCATCAGAAATCATCAGAGCTACCTTTTGTGCTATAAAAACGGTCACATTCTATTTTGACATTTTTGCTGTAGATTTATTCAATTTTACAAATTAGACGAAATCTTTTTGACAATTCATAAAGTAATAACTTAACTATAAAGAATTTATAGTAAGGATTTCAGTTAAAAGTTATTTTTTTCAAACTTCATAAAGTAATAATGGAGATACAGGTATTTGAAGTGCTCAAACAATCCCATTCCATTTGAAACTAACAAATAATGCACCAGTTATTGCAAGAAAAAGGTGTTAGGAACTATTTTTACAAGAAAATTTCTCGACAAACCATTTGTAGGCGTTTTATAGCTACAATTGACCCCATCTTCGCCGATGAGATGACGAAGATGAAACATTTTGAATTCGAATTGAAAAGCTTTCCTCTAATCGGTAAAAAGAAAAAACATTTTCTCTCTAAAATCTTCAGTTTATTAAGAATCAATTGGGAAATATTGAAATATTGAAATAATAAAAGAAATTAAAAGAAAGAAAATCAATTTCAACTATAAAAGCATTGTAAAAGCATTATTTAAATTACCGTAAATACTGTAATAGTACCCCACCCCCATGCTTGTTTTAAAGCAAATTTTATGTAGATTCTTATAGTTGTCCGTTCCTATGAGTAAACGGATTAAAGAAAATGATGAAGCCCTGCCCACACCTACCGTAAATACTGTAATAGTACCCCACCCCCATAATGACGGTGCGGAGTGTTGCGTAGTCTAGCTTTGGACGCGTTTTTCTCGACACTGGTTTATGCTACAATGCGCGCTTAGATATCAAAAAATAGCCCTGAATTTCTGCTATTTTTTGATACCAAAGACGCATTTTTTGAAAGTACGGGCGCTTTGAAAAAAATGAAATACTAAACAACTTTTGCGACTACGCGACTGTACGAGGGGGGTGGGGGAATATTATAGTATTTACGGTAGCTTCATTTCATTATCATTTCAATTTCAAATTAATGTATCAAATTTGTTGACTTTAAATTCTAAAAGCAGATTTATTTCAGAAAAAAAAAGAAAAAAAAGAAAGAAGAAAAAATCTTATAAAAAAGATTTGCTAAAAAACAAAGAATGTGAAGCTTTTTCTTGTAAAATTGTAAAACTATAGCCATTTTATTTAGCTTCAAATGATGAGGCTCTTTTTTTCTTTTTTTTTATGTTTTAACTGTTAATAAAGAAGTTTATATAGCAAATACAAATTAAAAGTTTCAAAGAAAATTTTTAGTAATTTGAGAAATATCGTTTACTGTTTAAATAAGAGATAGATTTTATGAAAATAACTAGAAAATAAAATGAAATGCAACTGAAAATGAAAATGAAATAAACATTATTAAACTCTAAACATTCTTAGTTATCTTTAATTAAATAATGACATAAAATGAATCGTTAAAAAAAACCAAATGTAAAATTTTAGTGGAACGGCAGAATCGATAGGTGGGACACTTCAGAATGGGGCAAAAGGGGAGAAATGGGAAAAGATATTGTGGAGAATCTAGAGAAATCGAAAGAAAAGCTTTTAAAGAGAAGCAAAAAGGGAAAAGAACCTTTTTGACCTTTTTGGGACCTCTTTGAGTCTTTTCCAATTCTTTCCCCTTTCCTCTTTCCTCTTTATTCCATTGATGGACATTGCTTGGTGGCAGATGGTCACTCTCGATTTGGTCAAAGAAAAGAGAGAAAAAAAAGGGTCAACAATGGATGAGATGCATGATTTTTGAGAAACAAGAAGGCTTGGCAAAGAAAATTTTAAAGCTAAAAGACGCATTGCTGCTTAAGATGTTAGTGTTTCTTTTAATTCTGTAAAATTTGAAACGCATTTTAACTGATTCAATGGTAATCAAAGTTGGGTTCAACTAGCGTTCAAAAAAAGTGAAAATGGTCAACTTCAAACACGAAAATCTCGAAAACTAGATGGCCAACTGTTTTTTATTTTGGTCCGACCCCTAGTCATATTCCCTCTATTTTCTGAAAATCATAATGAAGTTTTGTGAAATCAATTATTGACGCCTAAAAACGCGTTACACTAAAATGCAAAAATCTCCAGCTGTTTGAATTTTTTCAAAAAAATTTTTAGACAGTTTTGTAGCCTGAAATCTTTAAAAAATATAATTCCTTGGTCGAAAATTGATTGAGGGTAGCCTCGAGGGGCTCGGGCCGTTAGACTGAAAGCTACGTGTGCAGGCTACGCCTCTGCACACGTATCCCATTGCCGTCAGGGCCTTATGCCTTACTAGTACCCCTGTGAGACTGTGAATCTAGTCACGAAATCCTGGCGACGCCTCTGGTGGCCATATGGTGTAGCAGGATAAAACGTTAACCTGCAAAACGCGCGCCACGCTCTTTTGCTCGAGTTCGATTCCTTTTTGAGCAAAACTTTTGTTTCCTGTTTTCTTTTTCGAATGGTCGAATGGTTTCGAAGTTCGAATGGTTCAAATGACTTATCTCATTTGCCTCGTTTGGCCTATTGTTGCCTTTCTCTTGTCAGATTTTTATAGCCGAAGACTCAAATTCTAGCTCTAGATTTGACTTTTTTTGAAAACTGATCCTGGATTCAGATTTCCCATCCGTGAAAAGCCTGGTTACAAATATTTTCAGTCATTTTTAACCCAATCAAGAAAAGTATTCAATCCCCAGCTTTCCTTTGGGTCAAATCGTCTCCAATGTTACTTATATTTAGTTTTATTTCTGCACAATTTAATTGCCTTAATTGCCTTAACAAATTCAATTGTGGATAAGATTTTTTGTTGAAAGAAATGCCTCCCTTTATTTAATTAGCGGCGTGCTTTTTTATGTTATTTGAACTTTTTGCAAGTCTTAGCAAGTCATTTTTGCTCTGTTTTTGTTTACACTTTATTATAACTCATTCGAGAATAGAATCGATTTCAGTAGTTTCTCGAGAGCATTCGTTTTCTCGTTTTCCCCGTCCGGACAACGACCGATTCGCTGAAAAATGAAGGATTAATAATGTTTTTGCGGGAAGAAAGGTATCATAAGCTACATAAAAGTGGATGGATTTGATAAAAAAATAGAGGTCGATTAGAATCGATTGAATATAGAGGTCGATTAGAATAGATAGAGGTCGATTAGAATAGATAGAGGTCGATTAGAATAGATTTTGAAAAGTGACATGTCGTAGGGGTGAGTGGAAAAGATTTTTCAACTTTTACTTTTAGTACTAAACCTTTTTTCAAGAAAATCAAACTTAAACAATCATCGGCTTTTGTAATGTACCATTAAAGTTTTCGCAATATCTGTTATCAGTATAATCGCTTAAATCCTTATCGCTTAAAAATATCAGTATATCTGTTACGTTCGTTTACGAACTAAATTTAAACGAAAAAATTTGATGCTAATGAAATTGTTACTTCCGAATCTGAACAGTCGTCGTGTTCCAAACATGAGGCCCGAATCGGAACACGATCTCCATTATAATAGGTGCCTATATTTTCTATGACTCCGCACCTTAAAGACCTGATTCTCGCATCTCCGGCCATCTATTCTCCTAGAGACCTAATTCTCCTAGGGACCTAATTCTCCTAGGGACCTAATTCTCCTAGGGACCTAATTCTCCTAGGGACCTAATTCTCCTAGGGACCTAATTCTCCTAGGGACCTAATTCTCCTAGATTCTCCTAGACCTAATTCTTCGGATTCGGACGTAACAGTTCCATTAACATCAAATTAGGATTTAAGTTTAATTCGTAAACGGACGTCCGAATCCGTTCCAGAAGTCCGAATCCGATCCAGAAGTCCAGATTGGATTCGAACGTCCGTTTACGAACTTAAGAGTTTAGTCAACGTGAACTTAAGAGTCAACCCAGAAGTCCAAATTGGACTCGGATGTCCGTTTACGAACTTTACAAACTTTACGAACTTTACGAACTTTACGAAAAAGAGTTTAGTCAACGCAAACGCATGCACGGAACGAATCTGTTGGTTTTAAACGAAAGTATGAAAAAGAACGAAAAGACTTTCTGGAGAGCTTAATATATAAATATTAAACAATAAAATAAATCAGTACTTTCAAGCTGCTGTATTCTATAAAATCTAACCGAAATCTTCAATTTCCTTTCTCCATTCGTTCTCCTTTCGAGTCGACATTGTGCTTTGTAAAAAGAGCAAAGATCACGATGAGTTGAGCCTTCGGAATCACAAAAGATTTGCGAATGGTGATGAGCTGAAAAAAAGGCTGTTGAAAGGCTGTTGAAAGGCTGTTGAAAGGCTGTTGAAAGGCTGTTGAAAGGAAATAAACCATAGCCATCAATAAATCGTTCTATCAATTATTAGCTTTATTTGATGAATATAAACATTATGAAATGTTTTGCCTATTTTAAAACCCACTCGCAATGCACATATCATCACAGCAAGTGCCCAAGTAATCGATTTCGATGTTCTCTTTTAGTCTAAACATTCGTATTTTTAAAAATTTCCCTTAAAAATCAGAATCCAATGCACGATTTCTTTAGAAAAACCCAAGTTTAATGCAAATTTTAAAAAAAAGCTCACTGCATTTTGTGAAAGCATCGATAGTTGAGAAAAGTGCACAGATTAGCATGAGTTTTTCCATTCGTATCGCAAACGGGTTCCCATTCTCGTCTAAAAATTGATTTCTCTTTAAAACTCAATACTAAAATCAAATTTTGGTATAGATTTAGCAATTAAAATTTTCTTTTATTGGGTTGGTGAATTGAAAAGTGCGGGCTAGTGTCATATGTGACAGTTTGAGCACTTTCTTCAAAAGAAACCCATTTTGGTGTCAATGGAAAAGTTGTAGAGAATCAAAAATCAAGCTTATATCCAAATTTTCAGAACGATTCAAAAACTGGTTTTGAAGAAATGCCAAAATTTTACGAATTTTCACAAAACTTGCATTTTAAGCGAAACTACTGAGTGTATCTTTTTGGAAATTTGGTTATAAGCCTAATTTTTGATTCTCTACAACTTTTCCATTGACACCAAAATGGGTTTCTTTTGAAGAAAGTGCTCAAACTGGGACATCTCCAGTCCTCGATTTTTGAGTCTCACACACAAACCAAAATCCTACTACGAAAGAGGAATCCGCGAATTGCCTGTAAAACGGGCAGAAATCGTCAATAATAATGGAAATTATTTGGAATGAATTGATGGTTTTATGTTGAATAAATTTTAGTTCAAAGTTTCAATTCACCAACCCCATATTACAGTATTTATATATAAATGTAAATATAAATAGCCTTGTTTGGGAACTTTTGGCGCATCCCCCATACAGTCCGGACCTCTCCCCTTTTGATTACTATTTATTCCGGATCATGAGTAATGAGCTTGCGGGAGAACACTTCGATTCGGAAGAAGCAGTCAAAAATTGGCCTTGAAAGTTTTTCGATTCAAAACCAAAACCCTACTACGAAAGAGGAATCCGCAAATTGCCTGTAAAATGGGCAGAAGTCGTCAATAATAATGGAAATTATTTCGAATGAATTCATGGTTTTATGTTTGAATAAATTTTTAGTTCAAAGTCCGGCAGTTTTCAATTCACCAACCCAATAAAAGCCTAAACAGTAAGGCTAAATTTACGCAGAAAGTAGCTAGATAGAATTCAAATTTTGAAGAGTTTTTTGATTTGCTATTCTGTGCTATTTTCACTATTTATTACTTTATAAAACTCTAAACATTGAATTATTATTAAAACGAATAACAAAATGATATAAATTACATAAAAAGGGACTTGTTGACACCCGAAAAATTCTAGATTTCAACTTGCACCAAAAACCAATGAAATTCGTTAGAATTTGATTTTGAATGATCTAACTTTAACTGAAATTATGCTCAAATCTTCAACTTATTTATCTAAACATATTTCGGTTTAGATTCAGATTTTGATAATGGTTGATTAGGTTGATTTACGGGTACTGTATTCTGCAGCTGCTCTGTATTCTAGTTGCTACATGGGCACCGTAGAAAGTACTGGATTCGTTTAGAAGTATAAGAGTTACCATGTTGGAGTACTGGAATTAGTGCAGAGCAGACATGAGAAAACTCCAAGCCGAACCTAATTCCACCTTCGTTTTCTCGGCTGTTTCTTGGCGGATTGCTCTGGAATTTTGTCTACAAGTTGAAAATTTCGATTTCTATTTGTAGACAAAATTTCAGAGGAATCGGACAAGAAACGGTCGAGAAAACGATGGTGAAATTAGGTTCAGCTTGGCGTTTTCTCATGTTTAATTTGTACAGTTGAAAGGCGAGCTATTCGTAACTATATGCCGTTCTGGAATTGTCTGTGTACACGTAAATATACTGTAAGTCGATGTCTCACTCCAGTAAACAGAGATGAAAGATAATAGAGTCGGCTTGGAATTTTCCTATGTCTAGTAGTCAGAGTACACTTGCAGAATAGCCATAAGTACCGATAATCTATTTCACTCACCCACATTGCCGAACACATTGACATTTTGGAGCCTGTGTGTCGAGACCGATATGAGTTCCGTGAAGACTGAAATGTAGAAGATAAGATAAAAGTTTTGGCATGGTAAGCAATTGCTTTCATTTTTGCTTTCATGAAAAGAGTTTCCTCACCGATGCGCGATGCACTGTGACAACTCGAATTCGCACGTGGACGAGTACATCTGAAAGAGATTTTTTCTTGTAAACTTTACGTCTTTTTTGACGTCTTTCTTGTTATTTTCTTGAGTTTTACTTTATTTTTAGATGCAAGTTGACATTTTTAAAAGAATAATTATGATTAATAGAAAAAAAAGAACAAATATTGCATCAACAAATTTTTTGAATTTCCTGATCCGGAAATGTTGGTTTTAAAGTTAAATTTATAGATTATAAGATGCAATATTTGTTTCTTTTTCTATTGATTATGGGGGTGGGACATTTGCGCACCTTTTTTTGCTGGAAAAGGCCTTAGGAAAGGTCGTAGAGCTTCAAAAATGTTTCCACATAAGGGAATCGTATGCGTAGTTTCCGAATTTCGACAAATCAGACCTCACTGACACGTCAAATTTGGGCTAAAAGGCAAAAACTGCTGAAAAGCGTTAAGTTGCGTAGTTTTTGCCTTTTAGCCCAAATTTGACGTGTCAGCGAGGTCTGATTTGTCGAAATTCGGAAAATACGCATACGATTCCCTTATGTGGAAACATTTTTGAAGCTCTACGACCTTTCCTAAGGCCTTTTCCAGCAAAAAAAAGGTGCGCAAATGTCCAGGTGCGCAAAAAAAAATGTAGCATTTGTCCCACCCCTTGATTATAATTCTTTTGATCAATTCTTTTAAAAAATATCTATTTGCATATAAAAATAAAGTAAAAATCAAGAAAATAATAAGAAAGAACTCAAAAAATCTTGTAAAATTCAAGAACTGAATTTTTTAAAGAGTTTTAATGGTGATTACGGTAAAAAGGATAAAGAATGCTTTGGGTTTAGATTAATATTATGGAAAACAAACATCTACAAAGAATAAATCAATACTGCTTTGACTGTAGATCAATATTATTCAAAACAAACATCTCCATTCATGTCACAAACGGGCGCATCAAATTGCGTGCAAGTAGCTGCTCGACAGCAAGTCCCTTTGTACAAGAGTTGAGTTGCTAGATTTATATTTTATTCATTCTTTTTTAAAAACAGCTAATCACCCATAACTTTATCAACTTTATCAACTTTAAAACTCACGTTTTTTGTTGAGCTGAATTGCGCATTGAAGAACACATTCATTTATGTACGTGTACTCGACATTACCTTTCAAGGCACAAACCTGGAGTAAAATTGAGATTAATTAATTATTTCTAGTTAATGCTTAGATAATTATTGATATCAATGTTTGTTGATATCAATTATTGATATCTAATAGGTTGATGCATAAGTCTTTTCGTTTTTTTCGTACTTCTGCTAAAAAGTAACAAATTCACGAATTAATCTATAGTTTGCTCTATAAAAAAAGTGTTTTTTTGTTCAATTTGCATCTTTTTAAATGAATTTCGGTTCACTTTGAAGCAAATTCGAGAGTGAAAAACGCCTTTTTCGTAAAAATCTATAAAAAACTCTACGGAAAAATTGGCTGAATGAATTTCTCTGAAATTTTGGCGAAATATCAAACGTTTTTTTTCTCTATCTTTTATCTATTGACACGAAGATAGGTTTTCTTTAGCTAAGGTGTCTAAACCGCATCATCGAGTTAGCCCTTTTTGACTACCCGACTTCATACTCTCAAGAAAATCCAGGCATTAAATATTTTTAAAACCCGTTTTAATGTTATTTTGCAGAAAAATAATTCGCTTTTCTAATGAAATCGACCGTAGTTTAATTCGTGCATTTGTTGGCTTGAAACGGCAGACGAAAAGGAACAAAAACACTTATGCATCAACCTATTATATCAATGTTTCTAAGTTTTAACTTACCGAGAGAACATTATGTTTCAACTTTTCTGATTGTCCGACAACTTTTCAACTTTTCTGACTTCAGAAAAAAATTGCCATAGTCGATTAGAAAAAATTCTCGAATTCAGCAAATTCTTATAGCAAATTCTTTCTTACAGCAAATTCTTTTTCTCCAGCAAAAAAGTCCAGCGAAACTAACCGGTTCAATAGCAAACGCACACGAACAATCACCACCAAAAGTCAAATTAAACGGGAATGCGGGTTGAATGAATGATGAACTAAAGAGGTGAATGATCACAGAAAGATTGCGTTTAAGTTTTGATTTGAAATCAAATTTCTTTGCATTACTAAAAGTTTCTTATTTATTTATTTACTTTATTTACTTTATTTCTTCAATTTAATAAAGTTTCATTTTAAAAAATTCAAATTTTCAATTGATTTATTGAATTATTTTATTTTTTAAATTTGAGAATAGAAATTTCATTTCAAAAACTTCAAATTTTGATTTATTTCCAATACCTAATCTCCTCGATCCATGCGATAATAAAAACTAAAACAATTTGAAAGTGCATAATCAAGAAAATGAATACAGTAATGGAATTGACAAAGAAAGGGACAATGGGCAATGGTCGAGAGGGGAATTGGTTTCAAGCGTTTGTAAATATGGGTGGGAAAATTTCTGGGTGCATGAGATGCTTTCAAGAAAGAAAAGGGGGGATATTTGGAGATATGTCGTGGCCTCTTCAGATCATCGAAAAAGGATTTAAGAGAAAAAGGGGGAAAAGAAACGGGTGTTTGTGGGTGTTTGTTTGTGTGGGATGCATGGATATGAATGCTTTGCTTCTTCAGCATTCCTCTGTGTGAAAAGAAAAAGCAAAATCGTTTAAAAAGATCAACTTTTTCTCGAGTTTACACTCTTTAGTTTCCTCTTTTTTATCTAGAAAGAAGAATTTGAAATAGAATACCGTAAAAACTCTAATAGAAGCCAATGGGCTTGTATTTTACTTTACGTTGGATAGCCACTGGCTTAAAACGTTAAAAAGGCGCATTTAAAAGTGAAATACTTGTTTGGGTCCAAGTTAAAGCTAGTTTGGGCCTTGGGCCAGTCCAAGTTAAAGCTAGTTTGGGCCTTGGGCCAGTCCAAGTTAAAGCTAGTTTGGGCCTTGGGCCAGTCCAAGTTAAAGCTAGTTTGGGCCTTGGTCCAGTCCAAGTTAAAGCTAGTTTGGGCCTTGGTCCAGTCCAAGTTAAAGCTAGTTTCAAAAAAAGAAAATAAAATAAAATGTTTTAATGATAAACGAATAAATTCTATAAAAGTTTGCAAAAAAGCAAAAAAAAATAAGCCCGATGCGGGGCTCGAACCCGCGACAGCCAGATTAAGAGTCTGGTGCTCTACCGACTGAGCTAACCGGGCTGCTGGTAGTCTCATAACAAATTCGTAATCATGTAATCAAGGCAATCACCGGTAGGCCACCGGTAGGATTTAGCATTTTTTTGGGCCAAATTTGCTGAAAATTTGCAGCCCGGGGGTTTTCGGGGTCAAGGAATTCAAATCCGTTATCAGTTTTTAAAGAAAGCTGCCCTATTTCTAGATATTTCATTTGGTTTAATTATCCAAGTTTTTCAAGAGTTGTGTGATGATTTGCTTGGCTTGGAAATTAAAGTTGCTCAAAAACTAATATCGAATTCAGATTCTCTTTCCCAGAATGCCCTCGGTTACAAATTTTGCCGGTCTACAGCTAACATAGATAGCTGTCGTTTGAAACGGCAAAAATGGCTGGGTCGTGAATGTGTTAAAAAGAGAGGGTTAAAGTTTAAGCTTTAAATTTCTAGATTTTAGTGGCTCTACTTTCTGCAATTACTGATTTGCTAATCCCATTTAGTCTGCGCTTATTTTAAAATATTACTTTTTAAAGGCTTACTTGTTTTTTTAAAATTTAGTACTATTTAAAGTACTGCTACCTAAATACCGTATTCTCTCTAATAGTAGTATGTCCCGCCGAGCCGAGTTGATGCCTATTTTACGGTTTCTAAGTTTTTGTCGAAGCTCAACACTCAAATCCCCGAGAAGATCACATCGTCAGCTACATTTTCCGATCCCACATCGATAGGTTCTGATAAGCGGTTTTCGAGATTTCGAGGAATTTGGGCAACGCTCAGGGTCCACTACTATTCGAGAAAATACGGTATTATTCATGTAAATAAGTAAAATGTAGATGACTTTCTGTACAGATCAGACTATCACATGCTCCTTTTAAACTCTTTTACTCTTTTACCAACCTCTAAGTGATCCATTTCTTATCAATCCATTTCTCAATAAGCGGTTTTCGAGATTTCGAGGAATTTAGACGAAGCTCAGGGTGCACTACTATTAGAGAAAATACGGTAGTTGCCATTTATTTAGTTTTTTTCCTCTTCTCTCAATCAACCACCTTTTTCTCATCATTCCCATCTTGTTGATTGTCCAATTGGAGTTGCTGTGCGTCTTCGTTGTTTTCTTTTGATGACAACAAAGGGGCAAATCTAGAAATATCAAAAATTGTCAAATTAGAACAATTTTAAAAGGTTTATCAACAAATCTATCAATCTAGAATCTGTCAATAGGGAGAGAACTATTAGAGAAAATAACGGTACTAATGAAAGCATTCATTTAAACGTTACAATATTACGCTGTGTATACTTTGCGTTTTTGAATTAAAATCTAATTCTTAATTTTTAAAATAAAATAACTAAAATTTTTGAATTAATAAGAGTTGAAATCTTATCGCAATCTTTTCCTGTTCAAAATCGGAATTTTGAGGGCCGAGTTTCGAATTTACTTTAGTACAACCCTCAATGACTAATCTCAATTCCCTTTGCAGCACATCTTCTATAATTTTTATGAATTCTAAATTTACTTTATTTTTACTTTGCTTGATGTATATTATGCGAAAATTAAGGAATAATTTGATGTATATATGTTGTGTCCGATTTAGATTTCCGTCCGATTTAGATTCAATCTAAATCGGACGTCCGATTTAGATTGAACTTATCGCGGACGTCCGATTTAGATTACAGTCTATATCGGACGTCCGATACAGATCGAACAATAATAAACGTGCTTAATATATGTTCTTAAGCGTTTTTTTGCAATTTTCTGCGCTTTTCAAAGAAATTTTCAAAGAACATATGTTAAGCACGTTTATTATTGTTCGATCTGTATCGGACGTCCGATATAGACTGTAATCAATAAAAGACCTTTGAAAAATGCAGAAAACTACAGAAAACGTTTAAGAACATATATTAAGCATGTTTATATTATTGTTCAATCCATATAAGATTTAGATTGAATCTAAATCGGACGGAAATCTAAATCGGACACAACATATATACAGTACTGGACAATGAAATATCATATTTGAAAAACAATCGTCACTTTCGCGCGTCTGTAACTCCCTTGTCTTTGAGTTTAAACTATTAGTGTTATACATTTTCTGAAAGCTCTCTTCAAGGGCTACACAATGGTAATATTAATATTCAGAAATATGGTATTTTTTTGACGCATTTCAGCGCGCACAAGATGGGATACTCAAAATTGTTGATTTTCAAAGCTGTTTTTCTTTATGATAGAGTGCTGGAATCGCTCTGAATTTGTTAATATTTGTTTTCCAGCTTCTTCCTCGCTTGACCGCTCAAGAAGTGAGAATTTCGCAAATGTGGTTTTTTCGCTATGAAACTTTGATAAAATTTTACAAATATTGATTATTCACAAGCTCAAATAAGGACAAATGCTCACCGATGACAACAAACGGATTCGACTGTACAAAAAAAAGCCAAAATGCTCAACATGGCTTAATCTTTTCGCTTTCTATTGTATAATGGCCGTGCATACTGGATTAACAATTTCCATTTCGATTGCGCTTACATTGAAAACATTGATTTTTCCGTTCCGTTTGTTCTTTGAATTCGTTTTTTTAAAGTTTTATTCACTTACAATCAACATTTCCATCATAATATTTACAAACAGAGCTTAGAAAAAAAGCAAAAGCTTCAAAAAGTTGAGTATCACAAGCAAAGTGAAAGTGATTTTTTTGTCCTGAATCAATTGGGATTTTCTATAGCTAAATTCATAGTTAAAGTTATAGCTAAATAGCTAAATTACTAAAAGAAATCTTCTAAATTCATCAATAAATTAAAATTAGCAGTTCAAATTTTGTGAAAGACTTCGAAATTTGAAAGCACAAAAAGGAGAATAGGATTAAAATGTGAATTGAGGAAGACGCGAAAATTGAAAGCTCAATGAAATGCTTGGGGATTAGTTTTAGTTTCAAAATTACTATCGTAAATACTGTAATAGTACCTCACCGCCCTCGTACAGTCGCGTAGTCGCAAAAGTTTTTTAGTATTTCATTTTTTTCAAAGCGCCCGTCCTTTCAAAAGATGCGTCTTTGGTATCAAAAAATAGCTGAAATTCAGGGCTATTTTTTGATACCTAAGCGCGCCTTGTAGCATAAACCAGTGTCGAGAAACACTCGTCCAAAGCTAGACTACGCAACACTCCACACCGTCATTATGGTGGTCGGGTACTATTACAGTATTTACGGTATCTTGAAAATATCGAAATTATTGTTGTAAAATGTATCTAACACTTCTCCCGAAGCGTGGCTTCACATAAGAATCAATCTGAGTGACAACACTCTCCACTCGGCTCATTCCCTCATCGTCACGTCGGCGATGATGATGACGTCTTTTATGGCTGAAAATCATTTGGTTATTGACTTTTTTGATAGCTAATCAAGAGATGAGATTAACAAAAGTAGCCAAAAGTTTTCCAATAGCCTTTAAAACCAGAAGTCAGACTTCTGGACTCACAAGGAACCGGTTGGAGCTCGCGGTGGAATCTCAATCTTGGTCTAGCACATCGCATATCTTGTAGAGCTTGGAAAGACGAGTTGAATGATGTAAAAATTGCTGCTGCTTAAGCTGCTTATGAGCATTAGCATTGTAAACACACTAAAACTGGCTTACAATGATTTTATGATAATATTTTATAGTAAGTACAGAAATAAAAGTTTATTTAAGATATGTTTAAAATTTTTGTAATAGAAATCTTATAGTATGTCATAAAATCAAACAAATTTTCAATAAAAACAACAAAAACTTCTTTTTGAATCTTAGCAAAAAGCAAAAAGCAATCAAAAACTCGAAAAGGAATTGAACCCCGGACACTTTGCTTGGTAAAAGATTGCACTAACCACTAGACCGCCACTTTAACCAGATCTTCGAAAACGCCTTTAGATTATATAGCAAAAACTGCGCAAAAGCAAAAGCTAGTTTTCGTGTGTTTACAATGCTCATAAGCAGCGAATTTTTACATAATTCGACTCGTCTTTTCAAGCTCTACAAGATGTGTTATACAAGTTATTGAGATTCCAGCTTCAACCGGTTCAGATGAAGACCTCACCGGTTATGTGCCCGGTGAGGTCTTCATTGTATCTTGTTTCTGGCTCTGATCTAACACCTTTGAAACCAAGTCAAAAGCCAGGCCAAGGCTTGGCTCTGATGGACTCAGGGATCCTTCCCAGGCAAGACAAAGATAGGACTTTCCCAACTCACCGATGATGTCTTCGATGTCTATGATTTGCTCTCTTCCAATCGTGCAATGTTTGTCGATGAATTCTCTCCAATCGACCGCCACGTCGGATCACAAAACTGAAAGAAAAACGTTGAAAAAGGTTAAAAAAACTGTAAGTTTGAATTCAAATTCAATTTCTAACTTTTGCTTTTTCAATTTCAGTCACTTTCCCCCATTCAAAATCGCATTTTAATCCAGTGTTCACTCGCTAGATTTTAAACAAAACAAAACTGACAAATCTTTTATAAATTATAAATTACAAATAGAAAAGAAAAAAAAATTGATTGACTACGATTAATATGATGCAATTATTTTTATTTTTATTTTTTTTTCACTCACCGATCAGCCGCTATACAAATTTCCATAAAAACGAGAAGTAAAAAGAATATTGTGACGAGTTTTTTCATTCTAAAATTGAGCAAATAAGATTTAAATTGTATTTTGAAGAGCAAATTTTTAATTCTCAAAAAAATGAGTTGGAAAATTCTCCGGAGAAAATGAAGCAAATAAAATGAAACAAATAAAGAAAATGACCGGATTTGGATTGTGATGGGAAATAGGTGAAAATTGAAATTACAAATTGGCAAAATTATGAAGTATTATCAATTTATGTTACTAAAAACGTGCTTGCTTTTGTTTGTTTGCTGCTGTACACGAAGATTTGTGGGAAAAGATCTACAAGGCGGATATCCGTGTCGATTATCCGTGTTGACACCCATCAAAAAAAGAAGAGAAACAAGAAAAACAAGAAAAACAAACATCATTCACTAGCATAACGTGAATGAATGGTAATGCTTTTAAGTGTTTGTTATAGATTGTTGAAGAAATCTATTAGATATAAAAGAGCAGTGTCTGTCTGTCTGGCTGGTTGTCTGTCTGTCTGTCTGCCTGTCTGCCTGTCTGTCTATCTGTCTGTCTGTCTGTCTATCTGTCTGTCTGTCTGTCTGTCGATCTGTACGGGCTTCTTCTTAGCCGTCTTTGAGCCAAAAAAACTGAAATATAGTTATGCCTAAGACAAAAACAATACAGTTATGCCACTTAGAATAAAAAATTCAAAAAGTCCAAATTGGGTAGCAAGATCGAACCTAGGTCGTGTGGACCGTAGACAAGGGCCCTCCCGACTGCGGGCGACAAAAAATCCGACCAGAAAAACCCACCGTTATGCAGGTTTTTCGACTGGGATTTTATAAGGACTGTAAGTTGTTTTTTGAGGCATACGACATTATTAATCAGATGAGGCATATGAATAACGACTATTCGTTGGTTTTGCCACCAAGCTTCCTTTAAAACCCAGTTTTTTCTGATGGCTCTTGTAATTGGGATAAAAAAAACTGCTTTGCTTTGCAAGCTGATCCAAAAATACAATGGCAAAATAGTAAAATGGTTCAAAAAAAGACTTGATCTATCAACCTTCATAAATCAATGTCTTTTGGGTGATTTTTAAAGATATAAATAGTAAATAGCTGAAAAACAACGGATTTTCAAAGGTCAAAAAGAGATGAGAGTTGATGAGAAGTGAAAATTGGAAATTCGATCATTTTGTTGCTTTCAAAAATCCCAAATTTTCTTATTTTTATCTTTTTCCAAAAGGCTACACTCAAAAAAAATAAACAGGCCAAAGTTCTGTCGGAGATTTTGATGATGAGAATGAATGAGAATAAGAAAAAAAATGTTTGAGATTTCTGGTTTCTCCTCTCTTTTTTTCTCTTGGTTATGAGATCCCGGCTTTTTCTCTTTAAAACACGAAAAAAAATCAAAAGAAAAGGTCATGGAAAACAAAAAAATAGATAGAAATTGAAATTTGAAAAGAAAAAAAAGTTTAAATGATGATAGAAATTTGTTTGGTTTCAACTTTGTCAGCCAACTTTGTTGATTTGATATTGAGAAATTAGTGGGTTAATCCTAGTTCATTTGTACTTAGAAATACATAAAATTTCAATAACTATAAGAAAACAAAGTTTACAATTAGTCCGTTTAAACATTTAGCTGTGATAAAGCTAAAGAATTTAATTTAGTTAAGCTAAGGTTAAGCTAAGGTTAAGCTAGGATTAAGCTAGGATTAAGCTAGGGTTAAGCTAGGGTTAAGCTAGACATCTCTAAAAGCTAGACGTCTTCTAGAGGTCAAGCTAGACATCTCTAAAAGCTAGACGCCTTCTAGAGGTCAAGCTAGACATCTCTAAAAGCTAGACGTCTTCTAGAGGTCAAGCTAGACATCTCTAAAAGAGAAATCAATTTAAAACCCTGTCAACGATCAAGGCCAGATTGATTAGACATTAAAATTTCACTTTGTTTTTGATGGCTTTAACTTAAAGGGGAATTTGCTGTTCGTTCATTGCGGTTCTTTAAAATTTAAAATGCTGTTCATATAGATCTGGATATGTTTCTAAGTTTAAAACTATGAAAAAGCAAACTTTAAACTACTTAAACAGCAAACTTTAAGCTAATTAAACAGTAAACTTTAAACTACTTAAATTTATGAAAAGAAATACCAAGTAACTTTGATTCGATTCAAAAATATATAGGCGCCTTCCGCCGCAACCCACAAAATACCTCAGTTTTTAGTCCTTTTATCAATTAATAGATGATTCTGGATGTTCAAAATACCATTTGATAGCAAAATTTTAACTATCTTTTGCAGAATGATGCTTATTGGCAAAGTCATGGTAATTTCATGGTAATTAACGATAAAAATAATTCAAATAAAAAAATTACCCCAAATTTGTCAGAGATTCTATTGTAAACTTGCTTTTTTATTTAAATTTTGATAAAAATTGATCCCCGAGGATTCATTAAAGTTTAAGAAAAGATAGAGAATCAAAAAAAGCAAAGATACCCGCTTTTTTTTCTTATTTCCGGTGCGTGTAACTGTTCGAATTAGTTTGGGCTTTGCGTTGAGATTGGAAAAGAAAAGAAAAGAAAAAAAGGAAAGGGAAACGATCGGAAACACGGAAAATCGGGGATGACAGAAAAAAAAGGAAACTGGAAATGAATACGGTAGGAAAGAGATCCCTTTTGAGTGACATCAGAAACGGTTTCCATTGAGGAAAAAAACACGTGCTATCGAAGATTTTTCTTGAGAACAAATGAAGACTTTGAAAATTGATTTGGATAGGATTTTGAGTTGATAAAATCGGGAACTATTGTGTTTGGTGCTAAGGTTGGTAAATGAATTGTTTTCAGAATGTTTCACTATCACGACATGGGGCTAACTCTAAAGTACAGTAGAAATTCGATATAACGATCCTGAAGGGACCTCAAGAGACCTCAAGGGACCTCAAGAGACCTCAAGGGACCTCAAGAGACCTCAAGGGACCTCAAGAGACCTCAAGGGACCTCAAGAGACCTCAAGGGACCTCAAGAGACCTCAAGGGACCTCAAGAGACCTCAAGGGACCTCAAGAGACCTCAAGGGACCTCAAGAGACCTCAAGGGACCTCAAGAGACCTCAAGGGACCTCAAGAGACCTCAAGGGACCTCAAGAGACCTCAAGGGACCTCAAGAGACCTCAAGGGACCTCAAGAGACCTCAAGGGACCTCAAGAGACCTCAAGGGACCTCAAGAGACCTCAAGGGACCTCAAGAGACCTCAAGGGACCTCAAGAGACCTCAAGGGACCTCAAGAGACCTCAAGGGACCTCAAGAGACCTCAAGGGACCTCAAGAGATCTCTTTTCTGAGAACAATTTATAAAAATAGTATTCTTTACATTTTAATCACTTAATCGTTTAACGAAAAGTGAAATTTGAAAATGAAAAGTCTCAAAGTTTCTAAAGATCTTGAGATCTAAAGATCTGAACGTGATCTTGAAACTTGGTAAGAAAATGTGGCAATGGAAAGTCAGTCTTTCAATTAAAACCGATGCATTGATCTGTTGTTAAACAAAAACAAAAAAGCTTTTAGCAATTAAATATGAAAAATTGTAAGTTGAAACTTCAATCTTAAAGCTGTTGATTTTCTAATCCGTTTAACTATGAGCTTTTTCAAAAGATGAATCGCTATTTGAAATGATTAGTCATTCATTTCTGCAATCAGGTCAATCTTTTCTCAAAAATCGGGGAGATCACACGTAAATCTGCATAATCACAAGAGACACAATTTAAGGAATGAAAAGAAAAGAAAAGAAAAGAATGAAAAGATCTTTTAGTGTTATATTTGAGCATTTGAGCGAATATACACTGCTGGACATAATTTTACGTTGATCTGGTTGATCATCTTTCTATTTGTTCACGACGGCACATTCAGATTGAGATTATCCTTGACTTGGGGAGAAGTCAATGTTGTATTTGAGGCTTTTCGAATGATTAGTCGTTGTTTCCGCTTTGTAGTGCTTGGTTTTTGTCCCATCTGTTTCATTCTGCCATAACCGTTTGGATCGTTGAGATAGGTACTGATTAATTGGTGTGAACGGTCGATTTTCCTGGCAATTTCTCGAGAGCTGTCTCCGGCTTGATTCATCGCTTCGTTAATTCCCTTTTATCGAAAAGTTTCTTCCTGTTGCCCATCACTAAAATGAAAGAATTTGATGAGATTTTATTTTTCTAAAGTTGCTGAAAAATGGAATGGTCGTAAAATTATGTCCAGGAGTTTATTAATCTTTAATTGATAGATGGGCAAGCAATAAAAATGAATAACGTAAGGAAAAATACATGTAAAATGAGTCAAATACTTTAAGATTTTAACAAAAAACAACTGAAAGGCTGCAAAAGGCTGCAAAATATTGAGTTCCTCATTTCTCTGCTGATTAGCTACTCTCTTGAAAGAAAAAGTTTCCCTTGTCCAAAAAAAATCACTTAAAATTTGGGCGTGGATAAAAGAAATGTGTTTTCATGGATTCAACTGATGTTATTGTTTTGTCTGAGTGAGAAAATGAAAGTTTTGGAATGAAGAGGGAAATCAAATCAACGAATTAGTCGATGAATCTTTGGAGACAATTTTGGAGACAATGAATTTGATGGAGAAAAGTCTTTTTGAAGAGACAAATCAGCGAATATCATTCCTTGGAAAAGAGAAATGTTCGGTGAATATCTTTTCCTTTAAAAAAACTTTTGTTTTTATTCGATTAGACTTTTAAAAAATTAAAAAATGACGATTATTTGAAAATTGAATTTGATTGGCGATAAATGTAATAAATGTAATAAATGTAGTAAATGTAATCTAAGTAAGCCGTAATAAATGATGCCGGTGCTGAATGAGACTGACTGAAAGAGTCACGAATTTAAACTTCTTCCCACCAGCTCCTCGAGTGATATTTCACTTCATTACTTCCCCAATAGTTTCTAGAATTTGGAATTTGTTGTCAAAGCATATTTGTGACTCCAAATCTTATTATACTTTTTAAAAAAAAACATAAAAAACGGCTAAATTTATTAGATTTCTACGCAAAAATCTTGAATTTAATCTTTTAGTTGAG